AGTCAACTAATTACTTCAAAAGCAACAGATTTACTCATTATTTCAAGTAAAGTCAACTAATCGCTTTAAAAGCAACAGATTTACTCATTATTTCAAGTAGTCAACTAATCACTTTAAAAGCAACAGATTTACTCATTATTTCAAGTAGTCAACTAATCACTTTAAAAGCAACAGATTTACTCATTATTTCAAGTAAAGTCAACTAATCGCTTTAAAAGCAACAGATTTACTCATTATTTCAAGTAGTCAACTAATCGCTTTAAAAGCAACAGATTTACTCATTATTTCAAGTAGTCAACTAATCGCTTTAAAAGCAACAGATTTACTCATTATTTCAAGTAGTCAACTAATCACTTCAAAAGCAACAGATTTACTCATTATTTCAAGTAAAGTCAACTAATCGCTTTAAAAGCAACAGATTTACTTATTATTTCAAGTCAACTAATCGCTTTAAAAGCAACAGATTTACTCATTATTTCAAGTAAAGTCAACTAATTACTTCAAAAGCAACAGATTTACTCATTTCAAGTCAACTAATTGCTTTAAAAAAGCAACATATTTACTTATTATTTCAAGTAGTCAACTAATCGCTTTAAAAGCAACAGATTTACTCATTTCAAGTCAACTAATCGCTTTAAAAAAGCAACATATTTACTCATTATTTCAAGTTAAGTCAACTAATTACTTTAATTAGTTACTTTAAACACATTTACTCAATTCAAGTAAAGTCAACTAATGGCTTTAAAAGCAACAGATTTACTGATTTCAAGTCAACTAATCACTTTAAAAGCCTTATATTTTTACATATAACATATTTATATTTACTCATCTTAAGTCATTTCTATCAATGGCTTTAAAAAGCAACAGATTTACTCATTATTTCAAGAAAAGTCAATTAATGGCTTTGAAAGCAACAGATATAGTCATTTGAAGTCAACCAATCACTTTAAAAAGCAACAGATTTGTTTATTTTAGGTCAACTAATCGCTTTAAAAAAGCGACGTATTTAATCATTATTTCAAGTAAAGTCAACTAATCGCTTTAAAAGGCAACACTTTAACTCACTTTTTAAAGTAAACAAATTGCATTGACAGCAACAGATTTACTCATTATTTTAAGTCAAGTAATTGCTTTCAACTGTGTAAAAAGCAACAAACAAAATCAGATATAACATATGAGGAACATCAAACATTGTTCAATGTATCTTTAAAACCGAATATGATAGACCTTTGATCAAATCATTAATTAAATTTCATTCCCCATGTAAAAATATTGTTAGTATCATGAAGTCAAGCGATACTTTATATAGAAGCCATCTGGTCTCCATTGGTCATTTTGTATTCAGGTTTAGGTGAATAAATAATGACGGCATGTTCAGTTTGTGGGTGAACGACTTTATGGTCACTCAAACCGGGACCAAATCTGCATTTGTGTGTCATTCATTCAAATCTATCACAGCTCTCATACTATAAACTAGCATGTGGCGTTCGACATACAGCCTGGGAGCGTCTGCGTGCAGAGCGGCCTGGCCTTAATTTAAACAGGCCCCACTGAGTCTGACAGCCCCCCTGTTTACATGAATAAAATCGGAAACAAATGTGAACACAATCACCCCCTCCTACACACACACACGCAGCTCTGTATCATTATATGCAAGATGACTGTATCACTCAGACCTTCGAAAACCTTACAGTCATCTAAAAGACAAAAAAAAATTAATCATTAAAAAAAAATGTACAAATTAAAGTAGCAAACAACTGATTAGTTTATCGAAAAACATTTCCAATGAAAGTTATGTTGATTAAATAGTATATTAATAACTGTAGAAGCAGGAAAGAAGGAAAGCACATGAATTTTGAATATTCAGGAATACTGTAGTCACATCATTGGTCATTCTTGAGTCAGATTGGTAAATTATTACAATAATATTGGATTTATTGGATCAATTTATTCCCATAAAGCTGGGAATTATAGACTTGAGCTTAAAGCAAAAATAATACTAATGTAGGACTCATTTATAAAGTCTTACCAGTAATAATTGTAAAAAATTAAAAAAAAAAAAAAAAAAAAAAAAAAAAAGCATTTTGACTCACCGTTCCCCCCAAAAAAGCCAAACTATTAAAGTGGCCGTGGCCGGTTTTACTAAAATGGCTTCAAGTGGTCAATACGATGAGATGTTTTCACCAAATTTCGTACACTTATTTATGAGCCTGTTCTGAGGTTATATTGATAAAATAACAGAGTTTAGTCACTTGATCAAATAAAAACATGATAAAATATCCAAAAGGATAAACAATGCATTGTTGTTCATCTGATTGACGTAAATCAAAAATTATTTTAAGATAAAATCTTACTACAGTATATTCCTCTATAATTGACATGCAGTGCCTTTTTCCCGTGTGGCTTTAGTTTCATCAATAAAGAAATATTTGTGACATTGTGAAATTATGGCACAAGTTCTGAATAAACTCATCAATTTGGAAAATCTTAGTCTAAAAAAGCTGTGAAATTATGTGTTGGAGCTTAAAGCAAGATAAAACCAATGTAGAACTCATATGGAGTCTTAACAGCAAAAAATTAAGCATTTTTAGACTCAAAGTTGCAAAAAAACAAAAAACAAAGGTAAAATGTTAAAAGAGGCCAGTTTTACTGAAATGGCTATAGGTCAGCAATATGATGAGATATTTTCACCAAATTTGGTACACTTTTTTTATGAGCCCATTCTGAGGTCACATTGATAAAATGACAGCGTTTCGTCACTTGATAAAATGAAAACATAATAAAATATATCTGATTGAGGTAAATCAAAAATTCTCTTACAGTAAAATTCTCATTACCGTAACACATTTTAGTCCTCTATACATGGCATGCAGTGCCTTTGTCCAAAGTGCCACGAATCTTATTGATTGAAAAGATTAACCAGTCCCTCCGGGATTTTATTTTATTGTTTACAAAATTTGTGTGTATTTTCACAGCAAAACACAATAATAAAAGCAAATTATGCCACAAGTTCTGAATAAAGTCATCAATTTGGAAAATTTTAGTCCAAAAATGCTGTGAAGTTATGGGTTTGAGCTTAAAGCAAGATAAAACCAATGTAGAACTCATTTATGGAGTCTTAACAGCAAAAATGAAGCATTTTTAGACTCAAAGATGCAAAAAAAAAAAAAAAAAAAAAAGGCAAAATGTTAAAAGAGGCCAGTTTTACTGAAATGGCTTTAAGTCAGCAATATGATGAGATATTTTCACTAAATTCAGTACACTTATTTATGAGCCCCTTCTGAGGTCACATTGATAAAATGACAGCGTTTGGTCACTTGATAAAATGAAAACATAATAAAATATATCTGATTGAGGTAAATCAAAAATTCTCTTACAGTAAAATTCTCATTACCGTAACACATTTTAGTCCTCTATATATGGCATGCAGTGCCTTTGTCCAACGTGCCACGAACTTTATTGATCGAAAAGATTGTTAAAAGTGTGTTTGAATGTTAAAAGTGGCAAAGTCAGATATTTTAAAATAACAATGAGGTATTTTCAACAAATTTGGTACACTTATTTACGAGGCCATTCTGAGGTCACATTGATAAAATAAAAACATGATAAAATATATCTGATTGAGGTAAATCAAAAACTATCTTACGGTAAAATTCTCATTACGGTAACACATTTTACTCCTTTAAAAGTGACATGTACTTCCTTTGTCTAACGTGCCATGACTTTAATTGATCGAAAAGATTAACCAGTCCCTCCAGGATTTTGCAAGTCTAGTGGTTCAAGATCAAAAACAAACTAAACATTTTTTTGGTTTTTACAACATTTGTGTGTATTTTCACAGCAAAACACAATAATTAAAGCAAATTATGCCACAAATTTTGAATAAAGTCATCAATCTAGAACAAAATAGATCTATATTTAAAAGGCCCTGCAAAATCCTGGTAGGACTGAATGACAGAGGCCAAGAGGAACATCTGAAATCACATTCTTTGCAAGTGAATTGATCCAAATCACTAAAAAATTCACTAAAATTGTACCATTTCTGCAATTTCTGATTTATGTAACTAAAAGATTGCTGAATAATCATCAATAGCCTTTTACAAATCACCCTATGATAATTATTATAATAAAACAATGCATAATATTTTACCTAAATACTAAAATCAGCTGAATTTTGCCCTAACTCTTAAATAAATGCCATGAATAAGTCATGAGTACAGAATGTCTGTTACATTAGACGGAGAGAGAAGACGCTTGTGTATATGAAACGGGTTGGCCATTCCTCATGTGCTTCCACAGTTACATGCCTCTTAAATCGCTCACTTTAACCATTACATTTCACATTACACTGATCTGAATAAACTGAACTTTTATACTAAACTGAAAGGAATCACTTTATATCTGGATACAACTACACCATCATACTACACTGACTTTAGATAATTATGGCTTATTTTATTATAGGGGACCTATTATGCCCCGTTTTTAAAGATGTAAAATGAGTATCTGATAATAAAATAATATATAATAAATAACCCACAAATAACTCCCTTTTTAGGCTGTTTTGTTGACCATTGCTTTAAATTCAAATGAGATTGAGCTGTTTTCAGAAGAGGGCGGAGCTAGAAACGCACGTGTGTAAGCATAGTGTCAGATTCAAAACTTTAATGGTGGATTGCTTCTCACCCAGGGCTGTTTATGCTAACAAGGGAGAGACTGTCACTTATGGGCGGGGCTTTTTTCCCTCTGATGACACGTACAAAGGGAGAATGTCAAACAAAATGTTTCTGCACATTGTTTTTATAAAGTGTGAATATAAAAGCATAGATTTATTTATTTTTACCATTAGAAGTTGGTTAAAATCACAAAATGTTGCCACACAATGGTGTATAAACCCCTTAAAAAATTTATTTTTGCATATTAGATCCCCTTTAAAGTGCTTTGACACAATCTACACCGTAAAAAGTGCTATAGAAATAAAGATAAATTGACTTGAACCATTGAGTTATAAATCAATTTTCTTTATTTAAATCAGTGGTCTGGCAGTACGCAACGAACAGAAAAAAAAAATGCAGAAAACAAACAAAAAAAATGACTACAATACCCAAACTTGGCACTGAAAGCACGCATAAGTGAAATCAATGGAGTCGTCGTACTGTTTGTTCCACATGTGAAGAGTCCGAGTGTGAACAAACCCAAAGCCAAACACAGAAACATCACTGATCCAGCTTTCAAAACAGCTGTCAACGAGTACAAACACTAAAATTATTTTCATCATTATCATTACCGTCATTATTGTGTCATTCTTTTTACAAACAGGCAGTAAACCGTTACATCATGGCTGTCTTGGGTCTGGGAATGAAGCGTCTAACCAGAGACGCCTTCATTTTCAGACTGTTAGATGCCGCACGACTAGGACACGAAAATTACCCGACAACCACCAGAGAAGAAAAAAAAAACAAATAAACAAAAAACTGTTGAAGGGATAGTTCACCTGAAAATGAAAATATTGTCATCAATTGAGTTTTTCCTTCAGTATTTGCTTTTCCCACTATAGAAGTCAATGGTTACAGGTTTCCAGCAGTTTAACAAAAGAAAAAACAAACAGGTTTGGAAACACTTTGAGGAAATGGTGAGCACATTTTAATTTTAAAGGTGAACTATCCCTTTAAATGCAAGGAAAGTAAAAAACATGTTGAGACTGTGAACAACCATGAAGTTCCTCGAGGGAGTAAAACACGATTGAGACTCATTAAAACACTAAAATAAATGAGCTGATGAAAAGGATCTGGGGTATTGCAATGGAATGAGCAACACTAACTGAAGCTGCATGGAGTGATGCATGTGAGAAATGCATGCGTGAGCTGCAACTAAATGCACTGCTGCAGCTAATCTGGATGATTTATGGCCAACTCTCCAAATGTGAATCTTGCAAAGAAAAAAAAAAGGAAAAAAAACCCCATCTAATTTCAGAATCAGAATGCTTTTTTGCATTGACATTACACCAATTTACATTAGAAATTCTCATTACCGTAACACATTTTGTTCCTCTATATTTTGTCATTTCCACTAATTTACATTTCTTATTGGATACTATCATTTTTATTCCAAGTCTAATTTTCATTCTTAAAAAAACTACAGCTACATTTTTATAAACGATTATAAACATTAATTCCAAAATAATCATTTCCATACAAAAATTTCAATTTTACATATATTTTCTGATTCTCATTGCTAGTAAATACAGTATTTGTTTACTATATTACCGAAAGAGTACTGTATTTTCACTATTTATTTTTGACTTTGAATCAAGGTAAATGTTTCTTTATGGTAATGATTGTAGTTTTTTTCCATTAGAGTAATTTTTTTTATTTTATGCATTAAATTAATAAAAATTATGCATGTATTTGCATGGTGGTAATAAAAATTACATTATCTTAGCATTATGGTAATGACAATTCAGACAAAAAAGGAGCTTAATTGTCATGAAAATAGCATCAAAATGTATAACTTTATAAAAACGCTAGCTGTATTGGCCAGATGGTAATGATAATTCCATTATATTAGCATTATGGTAATGACGATTCAGACAAAAAAAAGAGCCTAATTGTCATAAAAATAATGTCTAAATGCATTATTTTAAGAAAAAATTATAGATGTATTGGCATGATGTCAATGATAATTCCATTATATTAGCATTACGGTATTGACAATTCAGACAAAACTGTTCCTAATTGTCATAAACAATGTCAAAATGCATTGTTTAAAAAATGATAGCTGTAATTGGCATGATGGTAATGAGGATTCCATTATATTAGCATTACGGTAATGAAAATTCAGACAAAAAAAGTTCTTAATTGTTAAGAAAATAATGTCAAAATGCATTATTTTAATAAAAATGAAAGCTGTATTAACATGATGTTAATGATAGTTCCATTATATGATAGATGTATGGGCAAGATGTTAATGAGAATCCCATTATATTAGCATTACGTTAATGACAAGTCAGGCAAAAAGTGCTAAATTTTCATGAAAATTATGTTAAGATACATTAATTGAATAAAAACGTTAAACGTATCTGCAAGATGTTAATGAGAAATCCATTATATTAGCATTACGATAATGACAATACAGACAATAAAAGTGCCTAATTGTCACAATACCATGTCAATGAATTATAATTTTTATAACAATAATGTATTATGTGAATGAGAATTCCATTGTATTAGCAATTCGGTAATGACAATTCAGACAAAAAGAGTGCTTAATTGTCATGACAATAATGTCAAAATGCATTGTTTTAATATAAATGACAGATTTAAAGGCAAGATGTTGATAAGAATTCTATCGTAATAACATTACGGTAATGACAATACAGACCAAAAAAGAGCTTAATCGTCATGAAAATAATGTCATCACGCCAATACATGTATATATTTTTTTATTAAAATAATGCATTATGTAATTGATAATTTCATTATATTAGCATTACGGTAATGACAATAGAAACAAAAAAGTGACTAATTGTCAAAATTATGTCAATGCAAAAGAAAAGTCCATTTTGATCCTAAAATGTGAATTTGATGAGATACAGATGCGGAAATGAGCTTCTAGTTTTCAGCTATAACTGTACGCAAAACATGCGGCAGAACATTATCACTTCCCTTTCAAACACAGTCTGAAACTGATACTACCGTTTATAAATGTCCTTTAGACTAAAACACAGATCTAATTGCGAACGACCTGTCTATATGACTTTCAAATCCTAACAGCTAAGCAGATTAGCGATGCTCATAGTTAGTTTATTTAAAGCATCCTCATTGACATTATTTGAGCTCAGAGCACTCGTAAAATATTGTAATATTCAGAGAAGTTGGTCCAGGTCATAACCGCATTTCCCTCTTTACTTTCAGGAAATCAGATGAAGCGCACATCTAACAACACTGAGAGAAAGCCATTGCAGAAAATTAAAGGTAAAAAGTAGACACTTCTGCCAGAACGTCTGTATGTTTGATACCATCAGCCACCATTCTTATAGTCTTCATTTTTATTAGCTAATTGGCTGCAACGACTTTTTTTATCATTACAAAAACAACTTCTTACCAAAGAAACCTCTCTTAAAAATACATCTTTTTATTGTTTACTTACACAACATCCTCATGTTTAATTTTTTTAAACTCTCTTTTGAGTGATATTTGACTTTGTTAGAGTCGATGAGAATTCATAAAGCGGACAGGACTCGAAACAAACAGGTCATGATATGGTGGTGCTTTTGTGGATTCATTTTGGCAGCATAAACGGCTTTCGTGAGCAATTCACTCAATATCACTGATATGAGCCTTTACATTTGGAATGTCGTACAAACTTTAAGCACTTTTCATTTTTGGATTGTAAAAGGAAGTTCAAGTATTTGTTTGTGGTTCTCAAGTATTTCCTCATCATCTTTTGAAAAAAACATTGGTGCATTTACGCTGCCAAAATGCCACCCGGCGACTGGGAGTGTGAGTGTGTGATGCTTTGTGTGTATTTGTGTGTGTTTATGCGAGAATGTGTTTGATTTATCTAACAGTGACACCCAGTTTCTCCAGCACACGCGTGCCCTTCTCTTGATACTCCTCTCTGGTCATCCAGAAGTTGTCTTTGTCCTTCATGATGTCTGCTAGCACTGCGCCACCCAAAAACACCATGTGTTTACGACGTGGAGGATCCTCAATGCGGATCTTAAACTTCTGCAAAAGCAAGAACAGACAGATTCAGTAAAACAAGCAAAACAAATAAATAAATAAATAAATAATAATGATTATATATATATATATATATATACACACACACACACACACACACACACACACACACACACACACACACACACACACACACACACACACACACACACACACACACACACACACACACAGAACACTGAAATGCATTTTAGAATAAAATAACAGAGTTGAAGTCAAAATTATTATCATCTTTCTTTATCAAATATTTCCCAAATGATGTTTAACAGAGCAAGGAATTTCTCACAGTATTTCCTATAATGTTTTTTCTTCTGGAGAAAGTTTATTTATTTATTTTTTGGGCTAGAATGAGAGCAGTTTGTATTTTTTATAACCATTTTAAGATCGAAATTATTAGCCACCTCAAGCAATAGTGTGTTTTGATAATCTACAGAACAAACCATCATTATACAATGCCTTGCCTAAAACCCTAATTAACCTAGATAAGCTTTTTAATGCCACTTTAAGCTGAATACTAGTATCTTGAGAAATACCTAGTCAAATATTATGTACTGTCATGATGGCAAAAATAAAAGAAATGAGTTATTAAAACTTTTATGTTTAGAAATGTGTTGAAAAAAGCTTTGTGTAAACAGAAATTGGGTAAAATAAAAATATACAAGAACTCCAATAATCCTGACTTCACCTGACTTTCAATTCGACTTAAACTACAAGATAAAAAAATCAAGATAAAATATTGTATTTTGGCATTTTAAAAATACTTTTACAAGGAAACATGAAATGTTTTCAAAATAGAGACTATAAGATAGATTATATGGGCAATTTATTTATTTTAATGGGTGAATATTATATTTACAAATGTACATTTTTATTACCCAATTTTTAGAATTTTCTTTACAACGTAACGTAACTACTTAATTGAATGTACTCTTGTATTATGAGATAACCTAATTACCACAGTAGAAAATGTTTATAATATGCGTAAAAACTGTGTAAATATAAATTTTATAATTCATATAATTTTTAAATGTCTGCCTCTGTAATTTTTTAAAGATTTTTCTTTTATTATTTTCTTCAGGTTTCCCTGTTAACTACTGTACTAATCGTCATCCAATTTCATGTTTATTGCTGTGTTTGTTTAAATAGACAAAATAAATTACAAAAAGAACGAAAGTATTTAGATGCAAAATATTAAGCCCTTTTCATAAACGCTATCAAATACAAATTACCAAATGCCATTTTATATTTAAAATAAAAAGTGACATAAATACTGTCCATTCCTGACACTAACTAGAGCAAAATCTCAAAACTAAAACCCTAAAATAAATAAATAACCTACATACATATATACACTACCTGACAAAAAGTCTAGTCTTTATCAAAGTTTTAGAAACAACAAATAACTTGACTTCTAGTTGATCATTTGGTATCAGAAGTGGCCTTTCTGAAAGGCAAAGGCCTCTAGATTACACTTATTTTACCAAAATGAAATATGATCATGCCTTGATTTTTAATTGTTTATTTAGAAGAGTAAGCTCCGACTTTGCTAAGACTAAAGTCTCGTCACTTAACAGAAATAACGTCCAGTATGAAGTCATGCTGCAGTGGAGACAGAATGGATATTGTGAATGATTCCCATGAGCTTGGAGGACTGCATCCATTCATCTCTGCAATGACTCAAATCACTTATTAATAGTCATCTGGAATGACAAAGAAAGCGTTCTTGCAGGACTCCCAGAGTTCATCAAGATTCTTTGGATTCATCTTTAATGCCTCCTCCGTTATTTTACCCCAGACATGCTCAATAATGTTTATGTCTGGTGACTGGGCTGGCCAATCCGGCAGCACCTTGACCTTCTTTGCTTTCAGGAACTTTGATGTGGAGGCTGAAGTATGAGAAGGAGCCATAAAAAGCCCCAGTGGTTTTAGCATTTTAGTAATGCTAATATTTTATAATATTTAGTTGGGGAAAATCGAGCTATCAGTTTAGTGCATCTGCAAACATCAGTGACCTTTAACACTGTTAGACCAAAAAACACTACTAATAGTCACAATCTCTTTGTCAATTCTTTGACAGTTCCAGTAGAATTAAAGGCAAGTAGCCCATTACAGACAAACATCTTCACCTACTGGTTCAGCAGCTCTCTAAATAAGAGTTTGCTTTAGCAAATTAAACGGAATAGTTCACACCAAAAATGAAAACTCACAATTTATTCTTTAATCTGCTGAAAACAAAAGATATTTCAAAGAATAAAACCGGTAACCATTAACTTCCTTAGTAGGAAAAACAATGGAGGTTAATGGTTGCAGGTTTCCAACATTCTTCAAAATATCTTCTTTTGTGTTCAACACAAGAAGAGGGAAACTCATAAAGGAGGGAAATGCTGACAGAATGTTTATTTTTGGGTTGAGTCTGAACATGAGGTGTGTTTTACGTACCGAGAGCTTGTCGACGTCTCCCTTCAACACTCTCTCCAGGTAAAGCTGTTTGAGTTCTCGCTCCAGACGAGACGGCAGACCGGGATACATGGTGGAGCCGCCCGACAAAACAATGTGCTTGTAAAACTCAGCCCTTAGATCAAGACAGACAAACAGGAGTGTGTATAATCGTGTCAAATATGCACATAAATATATAGGAGAGTAAGTGAAATGTTCATAAATTACAATTCTAAAGTAATAGCATCATGTGTAGCATGTCAAAACACATCTAAAAACATGTTTATAACATTTAATTGTCATTACAATTCGAATGAATGTAATGCTATATAGCAACTGCATATTGGTAACACTTTAGTTTAGGTAAGCATTCACAGCATTTACAACTGGCTTATTACCCATCTATTATTAATATATGAACTGTTTATTAGCACTAGTGTAAGTATGATCTTAATTTACATCCTCAATCCAATACCTAAACCAAGCCATTAGCTTGCTAACTATAATTAAGCTGCTAATTAGTGGTTTATTCAGGTAAAAGTCTTATTATTTAGCACCTTGTTCACAGTGTGAATTGTATACACACACACATTTATTTATATATGAATTTATTGAAAACTGCGTGTTTAAACTAACCTGGTGTCGATGTCTGCAGCCTGGATGGTGTTGAAGAGCAGTTCAGCGACCCCCACACCCTCCACATTAATGAGGTGAGGCTGAAACAGAGCTTCAGGAGCCTCGAACCGCTCGCCGCCAACTTTAATCACCCTCCCGTCCGGCAGCTACAGGCACACACAAACCAGTGTCCATTCACTCACTAGAAAAAAAACAGCCCACTGCTGCCCTCTAGTGGCCATAATTAACACTCTGCTGCCCTTTCGTGGCGATAATAAACACACTGCTGCTCTCTAGTGGCCATAATAAAAACATCACCCCGCTACCCTCAAGTGGCCATTAGAGCCTACCGTCTGTCAAATACATATTTTAGTTAAACCTTTTAGTGCAGAAACTAATCACAAATTTACATTAAGTGATAATATAATATCCAGAACTGATATCATTAAAATCCACGACCCCCCTACATAAAAAAATACTCAAATAAAATAAGGTGTGTCCCATATTTTATTGTGTTTTCAAAATCTACTGTTTTGCAAAGATATTAAATGCGTGTAAAAATGAATTAATATTTAACTTAATATTTTATATAATATACTGTAACAGAACTAAATACATATAAAGACAAATGCTTACAAAATTTTAAAATATAAGACTTAAAATGTTTATGATATCCATAAATAAAAACCTCCTTTGAACTTTTTAAAAAGAATTATATTTAATAAATTTATGTAGCAAAGATATAAATGGATAATTCATATTATAACATAAAAAGAATATTTATTATGCAATTAATATAAGTAAAATACAAAAATAACAATAAAATGTAAAAAAAAAAGTGTATTTTCATGCTAAATTTCAAGTGTTTTTCTACAATAAAAAATAAATAAAAAATAAATAGTAATAATAAATGTATTTAAATAAAAAATAAAATAAACAAAATATTAAATTAAACTGTTTTGTGTTTTTTTAGGTTTGTTATTGTAGTTTTTCTTTGAAATTAAAAACAAAGATGTAAATATGATTGGGATGTGTTATATTGTCACATTTTTGTTACATCTCATTAAAAAGATTCTTAAAAAAGCTAAAGAAATAAAATAAATACAATTAAATAACAAATTAAACAAAAAAGCACATGGAATATTACATTTATTCATTCATTTCCCTTTAGCTTTGTCCCTTTATTTATCAGGGGAATAAACCGCCAACTTAACTGGCATATGTTTTACACAGCTGATGCCCTTCCAGCTGCAACCCATCACTGGGAAACACTCATACATTCTCATTCACACACATACACTACGGCCGATTTAGTTTATTCAATTTACCTGCTTGTCTTTGGACTGTGGGGTACCGGAGCACCCATTGATTTAAGCTAGCCGCTCATTATTAATCTCTGTTGTTGTTGTTTTAATTTTTAGTGTGTTTGGATGTTTCTAAAGCTCACCGTGTAAGACTCCACCAGAACAGTGGTCTCCAGCGCAAGCTTCTGCTCCTGCTCGATGTTATAACCCACGTAACACAGCTTCTCCTTCATCATCCTCACCGTCTCGAAGTCTGCCGAGTGGTTGAAGGCGTAACCTCTCAACAACAGCAGCTGGAGAGAAAAACACACACACAGACAGAAGGTTAGTTCACCCGCAAATGACAATAATGTTATTAATTATGTTTGTTTTTAACTATATTGTGTCCTAACTACACTCGACTAAACAAGATTCCAGCGATAAGCTATTAGTTTGTTTGCATAAGACACAACAAGATTGAAAGTTATAAATACAGCTATTTTTTTTGTGTGAGATTTAATAGAGCAAGAAAATATTCTCAGTAGTTCTTATAATATTTTTTCTTCTGGAGACCATCAGATTTCTTTTACTGGGCTGGAATAATTAAAAAATAAAATTATTTTTGTAAATAAATATGTATTTTTATTTACATTTTATTAATTTTGCTTTCACGGCATCTGCTATGTGCAAGGTGTGTGTGATGGAATATAGCAACCACTCGACACTGAAGTATTACTGAGGCTTTAGAAAGAAACACGCACCGATTATACAGCGAGTTGAAATGCTAAGGATTCTTCTTTCTCGCTGATATGTTAATATTTACACTGAACTTACAAACGCTACATTAGGAATCTGAAATGATTTTATCCAGTGTAAACAGTGGGAGTGTGTTTACCTTGATGAGGTAGCGTGTGATGTCTCTTCCGGCGATGTCCAGACGGCGAGTGAGATGAGGAAGAGAAAAGCCTTCGTACACGGGACAAATATGAGTGACGCCGTCGCCAGAGTCCACAACTACACCCGTCAGCAGACCTGTGCACATACAGACATTGTATTGTATAAAAAATGCTGCAAAAATGATAATATTTTTTATTATGTTTTATATTGTATGTGTGTGCGTGCGTGTGTGTGTGTATATTAGTGCTGGGCCCGGATTAATTGAAATCAAAATTTAAGTTTGTTTTGACATAATATATGTCTGTGTATTGCATATATTTTCTATGCATAAGTGACATACACATACATAAAAAGAAAAACTATTTTGTTACACATATATATATATATATACATACATACATACACACACACACACATACATATATATATATATGTATAATACATATAATATATATAATATATACATACATACATACATATATACACATAATATATATAATAATAATATATACACACACACACACACATATATAAATATATATATACATATATATATATATATATATATATATATATATACATATATATATATATATATATATATATATATATATATATATATATATATATATATATATATATATATATACACATATATATATACACATATACACACACACAAACACATACATATATACATCAAATAGCTGTGCGATATTCTGCCAGTAACAGCACTCGTACTGCCTCTTCACCTTTGTGTATTATTCTGCCCACATACAGCAACAAGCAGAAGACAATCTATAGTTTGGCAAATATTGCAGCTGTTGGACAACATAATGTACTTTTGATGATTTTTTTAGTGGAAAATGTAGTTGTTTACATTGCAGCTATGCAGTTTATTTATAAGGATAGTGCCTATTTTAAAATATTGTTAATTTCTGAGAGACAGCGAGTCGCCGGCCATTAACCTAGCATACTGAGCAGACCAAAGACAGTTGATGTTATCTATCCACAAGATGGCGACAGAGACCACATAATAAGCCCGTTCGAAGATTAAAATTTTTAACTACAGCTGATCAAATCATTAAGAAACTGGTAAGTGCTGTATTATTACATCCTGTCCTATACATATACTAAGTTGATCTCTCTCGTTTGTATGTTGTAGTGCTGTATTTATCCCATATAATTGTAGTGTATTGAGTGAGAGATGGGACTCGCATATCAGGAATGGCTGTTGTGTTGGCAGAAAGAAAGAAGAAATGCCCGCATGTGTTTGCCGTTTTTCCTTATTAGTATTTCCTTAATATAGAGAAATACTGCAGACTGTAATAGTTATAATAACTCCACCCCCACCCCACATCCCTGGTCTTGAGGCACCCACTCTCCCGCAACCTCCTGCAAATCAACTCTGTCTTTTTTTCCCAACTTGAGATGTCTGCGAGTCTCGCGTTAACACAGCACATTCACGGCCCACCACTAATAAATAAATAAATATACACACACACACGCACACATTAACTTTTTTTCACTCCATTTACCTTGAGCGTAGAGTGTAAGGACGGCCTGGATGGCGATATAAACTCCAGAGAACTGATAGGTCTCAAACATCACCTACAGGGAGACAAGAGGGTCAACACACACTTCACAGATGATCAGTCACAAATGAAAATCACCAGTCAAAAGTTTGGATAAGCTTGTGTAATGTTTTTAAAAGAAATGATTGTTCTGCTTACCAAGTGACACTGCAATATTATTGAACAATAATACCATTTCTATTGTACCTATGGGAGCTTAAAATCGAAGGAATAAATACAATTTGAACCGATATTCTACACGAAAATGCCATTTTAAACTGTAACAGTATTTCAAAATAGGACTTTTATTGTTTTGATCAAATAAATGCAGCCTTGATGAGCAGAAGAGACTTCTTTCGAAAACTGTATTTGATTTTAATAAAGATGATGGCTGTAACCTCGATGATCTTCTCTCTGTTTTTGGTGGGGTTCATGGGGGGCTCGGTCAGCAGGATCTTGCAGTTTCTTGAGTCGATGTTGAGTTTCTCCGGGCCGAAGGTGTAATCCCACAAGTGCTTCATGTCATCCCAGTTCCTCACGATGCCGTTCTCCATGGGGTAGTTCACCTCCAGCATGGAGCGCAGTTCACTCGCCTCGTCGCCCACCATCAGGTCCTGCAGAAACACACACACACCAGTCAAACACCAGCTGACTTACACGGTCTTGCACATCTCCAAAGATGACAAAAGAGAAGCGGAGAGTTGGAGATGACAAATATCAGTGAGGAAATTCATTCAATCAATGCAGGTTTTATGAAACGCATGCAGCACTCATGCCGACCTCTGCATTTCTTCTCATATGATAAAAAAAAATATTAAAAGCGCTGAAAATAAAAATTGGGTGAACAACTCACAACAGCTGAAAGTTGATGAATACATGGTAAAAGTTTAAACTATGGATTTATCTATTTATGATTCAACAACGTCACTATCAATGACTTTATACAAAATATAAACTATATTTTATTATTTAAACACTATTTCAAAGATATATTAATAGTTTTTTTATTTACAAAAAAAGATAAATAAATTAATTGATTAATTAAAAAAATATTTAAAAAAAATAAAGAAAAAAAAATATTAAATAAATGAATTAAAAATAAATAAAAAGAAATAAATAAAAAGAAATTTAAATAAATAAAAAGAAAGATAGTAAGAAAAATAAATACAAAAGAAATAAAAGAAAAAGAAAGAAAAATGAATAAATAAAAAAATTAAAACAAATAAATAAAAGAAATAAATAAAAATAAAAAATATAAAAAAATAATGAATTATATATACATATTTAGTTGAAATTTTGTAGTTTGTAATTTTTGCTGCAATAATTAGCATGATTTTAAAAGTACTATTTCTATTTCTAAAGATGTTGGTGACTAAAATATTATTTTAATAAATATATCACTTTGATATAATAAAATATATTACTTAAATTCACTGAGAAATGGATTATATATTAATAAAAAAATATTTCTTCAAATACTAATAAAAATAACAAAACAACAATAACAAAGTACAAAAAGAAATACAAATAAAGCAATAAAGCTAAACAAATCAAAATAATAAATGTATTAATTAGAAAAAAAGCTAAAAATATATATAAATTCTGTCCAGGCCCCTAATTTAAATATTAAACATGAAATAAACAAAAAGTCATTAAAAACAGTCAAAACTAATACAAGTGAATATGTATAAACTCGGAAAAAAACAATACTAGAAAACTACACAAACATAAAAAAACAACAACAAAGGCTTCCATATTTTTAACCACAAATAAACAATGTAAAAATGCCCATTAATCTCTAGGTTTAAAAAACACTTTTACCTCAATAATTTGAGATTTCCTAAAACCAAGATTTTTGTATTTTGGACACAGCACACACTGCAATCTGGGTAATGACAAACATTTCTCAAACTCAAGCACTTCATCCAGGTTAGTGAGAGAATTACATATATTAGTCATTTTTTCACCAAACTGCTCTGCGTCTTCTGAGAGTGTTTGAAGAGTTTCACTACAGGCTGAAAAACTGCCCTTATCAAGGTGTGTGTAGAAGAAAAATCACTACAGGTTAGTCTAACGCACGCACGCACGCACGCACGCATACACACACACACTTACCATCCTCCTATAATCCTACAGCACCTCAATACAGTAACAGAAGAGAAAAAGACAAATATGGAGAAAACAGGAGGTAAGCAATGAGACTAAAAACTGATTCTGGATCAGTGCCTCTCATCAGTATCATTCTTGAAATAAAGGACTATAAAAAAAGAAAGAAATAACATAAAAAAAAATAAATCACACATAAGCCACACACATAAGTTTAAAAATAATAATGAATTGACAAATAAATAAAATACATTCAATTTAAAGTCTGTGCGACCTACAAATAAACAGTGTTTATGTCACTAGCTCACATTGGTTGCCAAATTTGTGAAATAAAGGACCAAACTACCAAATAATACATGTCATTAGTATAACCTCATTCACCATCGGAAGGCGCTATAATCCCTCTCATTGGAGAATACTGCTTTCACAATCCAAAATAAATAAAGTAATCCAACATCAACACCTGAAAACTAAACAACCCAGTTGCTTTACACATGTCCTGTTTTGTTGATATGATTATATGCGTTACTACGGAGACATGTTAATGCACGCCTGTCAATCAATTCGGTGAGCGGGGGGACCGCACTCCTACGTCAAGTTGCAGTCAGTCTGATAACCGATCCAATTGGTCCACCGTTTTTATGTTGTTGAATTGAAAAAAAGGACTGGGTGTGTTTATATCACCCCCACAGTTAATAATTTATTAAACACTATTTTTAGGACAAAATTATTAGCCTCTTTAGGCTATATATTTTTTCAGTAGTCCACAGAACAAACCATCGTTATGCAATAACTTGCCTAATTACCCTAACAAGCCTAATTACCCTAATTAACTTAGTTAAGCCTTTAAATGTCACTTTAAGCTGTATAGAAGTGTCTTGAAAAATATCTAGTCAAATATTGACAAAGACAAAATAAATCAGTTATTAGAGACGAGTTATTAAAACTATTATGTTTAGAAATTTAGTTTAGATCTTCTCTCTTTTAAACCGAAATTGGGGGAAAAAATAAATAGGGAGGCTAACAATTCAGGGGGTCTAATAATTCTGACTTTAATTGTACATAAAATAAATCCCTAAACCCTAAACCCTATGTTTAGGGTTAGAAATGATGCAGGATTCAGGTGTTTTTCAGGTGCCTAAAAAAAGCGTGATATTTTTTCGATCTGCAATAATGTACATCTCAAAGTTTCTATATTTGCTTGAAACGGCCTAAAAAGGATATTCATTATTCATGTGAACTGCTAAAAAACGCACAGCAGGAAGTAAGAGACAAGAAGGAAGTTACTCAAGCTGTGCTTTTGCAAAACATGACCGTTCGTGGCACTGCTATTACAGTTTTCAACCTCTGGCCAAAAGTCCACTGAGTGGCCAATACAGACGGTACTGTATTTTCAGCTCACTTATCCAATTATTTATAAATGTTTTAATATTATATCCATGGCAAAACTTGTACTAAATATTTAAAATATAATTCACCATCACAACTGTTTCTCAAAAATTAACTGTACAAAAGTAAATTAATGAATACAAATAACATCAACAATATTGATTAAAACTAATTAACAACTGATTTATTTTATCTTTGCCATGATGACAGTAAATAATATTTGACTAGATATTTTTCAAGACAGTTCTATACAGCTTAAAGTGACATTAAACGGCTTAACTAGGTTAATCAGGCAAGTTAGGGTAATTAGGTAAATCATTGTATAATGTTGGTTTGCTCTGTAGACAATCGAAAATAAAATGCTTAAGAGGGCTAATAATATTGACCTTAAAATGGTTTTAAAAAATAAAAAACTGCTTTTATTTTAGCTGAAATAAAACTAATAAGACTTTTCCAGAAGAAAACATACTACAGGAAATACAGTAAACAATTCCTTGTTCTGTTAAACATTGTGTGGGAAATATCTGTAAAAGAAATTCAACTAAGTTCTATTAACATATGTTTTATGGTCAATATTTAGCCAAGTATTTCAGGACAATTGTACAATGTACTGCAGTGAACCCAAATAAGAGTAAAATGTCAGTTTAGAGAGTAAACACTACCTTGATCTCGATGTTTCCCACTTTGGCAGTGGAGCGGATGATCGGCCTCCCGACCAGAGCCGGAAATATGTGCTCTGGGAAATTAGAGCCAGCATATCCACACTTCACGAACTGAAAGAGACAAATTGCTCATTATTATTATTATTATAAAAATATGACCAATGAGAAAGAAGAAAGTTTTTTTTGCCACCTAAGAACAAAAATAAGCAGAATACAGTTGAAATACAGCACTAAAACTAAAAAAAAAAATTGATCTTAAATGTCAGATTTTAATTAAATATTTAAATAAAACTAATACAATTATGCTGAAATTGCTCAAATTAAAAAGGACAAACTGAAATTAAACAAAAACAAGGAAGTAAAATAACTAGCTAAAAAAAATTATCACAATAAAACAAACTACCAAACAAACACTGTTGATTTGGCGATTAATAGAAATACGTAAATAGAAATACTGAGTTAATAAAGCTAATAAAACGGCAAAAGACAGAACAAAATCCCTTAAAAAACAATACAAAAATAAAAGTTAAACATTTCAAAGAAAGACAGAAAATGTGATTTGACCAAGCAGAATTAAATAAATATAAGAATATATACATAGGAAAAATCTGACATTGCGATTTTCTGTTTTGATGCAATAAATATTGCGATATGAACAGATAATTAGCTCTATTCGGAAAGATTTAATTTTTTCAGACCAACTAATCAAGACTTTTTGCATAAATTATAAGCAAAAATAATTAAATAAACAGTGCTTAATGGTTTTTCTAACAGTATTCAAGTACGGAAATAGAAGAATCAAATGTTAAATATCATGGTCATCATTATATTAATAATAAAAATTATATATATATATATATATATATATATATATATATATATATATATATATATATATATATGAGCAATTCCAGTGTTATGGATGTGACATTTGCAGTAAAAACTCAAAACATAATTTCACACAGAAAGTATATGTTGACATTATATCGAAACTTCTGTTTATATTTTCCAAAATAGCTCACCACAGAGTTATGGGAGCAAAAAAAATATCAATATGTAAACATGTTTTATATTTTAAATTAGGAAAATAAACATGCGTTATGAATGTGACAAAAAAAGTTTGCGAATTTACAGTCGACAACAGATTATTTAGAAATTCTGACAGTTAAACTGCACAACCCAAAAGACACAATGCTCATCAAACAGATATGAGTCGGCTCACTATAGAATTAAAATAATTGATTTTATTTTATTTGACATTTTTGCATTTATGAAGAAGAAGTGTCGTTATGGATGTGACACATTTCCGTTATGGATGTGACAGCTGTGAAATTGCCACTTGTGTGATTTTGGCAAATTAAATATAATAGTTTGAAATACTGACAGATACATTCACGAGTATTTTTACAGTCCTGTAAAATACTTGCTAACACAAAAAATGTAGAAACGGTTTGTCTATTTTGCTGAAAACTAAATAATTTTTTATGGCAAGGTTGACATTTGCGTGGAATTGCCAATATATATATATATATATATATATATATATATATATATATATATAATTATTAATATAATTTTTGCAGACAGAAAAACAATGAACAGACAGACAAACCTATCATGAAACAATAATCTGTGCAAAATGTAAAATAAATCAAGAAACAAGAGAAAATAGTGACATACAAAACATATACGACCTACAAAAAGACACAGCAATGGATTTAGAGAGAAATTTTTTTTTACAAATCTTCCCAATGATGTATTGTTTAGACATAATAATAAAATACACCGACATAAATATCTAAAGATAAAACAAAATATTAAAAACAGAAACAAATAAAATGTGCAAAACATTTAACATGACAACTACAAATACAAAGAAAGCCACACACAAACTTTCAAGTATAAATTAAGGTAAACAACTGTGAGCCGTTTCACCTGCTGTAACGAATAATAACAAAATCAAAGACATGTGGTGAAATGAATGTAAACAAACTACATGAGCATTTCAATGCAAATGTCAACCTAGCCATGAAAAACAATTTCACCGAAATACCAAAACCGTTTCAACGTTTTTCTTTTGTGTGTAAACAAGTATTTTACAATACTTGTGAAATACTCAAAAATGTTTGTCAATGTTTTTAAACAATTTTATTTGATAAGTCACACAACACAAATGGCAATTTCACATCAGTCACATCCATAACGCAGAAATGTCACATCCATAATGAAGCGTTTCCCTCATAAATGCTAAAATATTCAATAAAAATCAAATCAGTTTCTTCTGTAGGGAGTCGACTCTTCTCCTTTTGATTAGCATTGTTTCTTTGAGGCTGTGCGGTTTATTTTACTGAATTTCTACAAACCGTGTTGTGTACAGCAAATTCGCTGACTTTTTTTGGTCACATCCATAACGCATGTTTGTTTTTCCTCATTTAAAGTACAAAAGTTTACAGATTTATTTTTTTTCTGGTCTGTGGTTCCATTCAGTTGTTCCGGAAAATATTAACATTTGTTTCAATATATGCGACGTAGTGGCGCAGTAGGTAGTGCTGTCGCCTCACAGCAAGAAGATCGCTGGTTCGAACCTTGGCTCAGTTGCCGTTTCTGTGAGGAGTTTACATGTTCTCTCTGCGTTCGCGTGGGTTTCCTCCGGGTGCTCCGGTTTCCCCCACAGTTCAATGACATGCGGTACAGGTGAATTGTGTAGGCTAAATTGTCCGTAGTGTATGAGTGTGTGTGTGAATGTTTCTCAGAGATGGGTTGCGGCCGAAAGGGCATCCGCTGTTTAAAAACGTGCTGGATAAGTTGACAGTTCATTCCGCTGTGGCGACTCCGGATTAATATAGGGACTAAGCTGACAAGGAAATGAATGAATGAATGTTTCAATATAATGTTAATGTGTACTTTCTATGTGAATTTATGTGTTGAGTTTTTACTGCAAATGTCACACCCATAACGCTGGAATTCCTCACATATTAATGCTTTAAATGTTTAATACACAGCTTTAGGTCCAAGTGAGTCAGACTCTGCATATTTCAAATTGGTCAAAAAAAAGGTCAAATTGGTTTTATATTCACACACTGGGACTTTCTCCTTAACCTTCCTGTCGTGTTCACATCCTGCCCCTTACTTTAGTGTTCCCGGTCAAAACTGACGGTCTGTTTTAACTGCTCTTATATTAGCACAAAAATAATTTTTCTCCACCAATTTTTTATTCAACATTCTTTAGCTGTGAACAATGCGTCAAAGTAGTGTTTAACATGAATTAGACATAAAATAACTGCATTAAAAATAGGCGCTGAAAATATATTACAAAATGAAAAATGGATGACAGAAATCAAAATTCTTTGTTTCATTACTAATAGACACCTCACAGCGTCTGACCAAAGAAATTAAAATTGTAACCCATCTGAATGATTTATCAACCAGCAAAGCACAAACAAAATGCTATCCTTTCCTGTGTTCTGAGTGAGCGAAATTTCAGTCTTCGATTGGACTATATTAGCGTACTAATATAATTAGTGTATAATGTATAATAGTGTATATAATAGTGTAAAATAGAGACTGGGGGTATATACGGTGAGCATGGACAGACAGAAAGAAAGACTTTTTCTCTGTGCTTCTTTCCAGAGAGAAAAATAAATAAATAAATAAATAAATAAACACAAAGAATAAAATAAAAAAAGAAAGAAAACAAGATTCCTTTTCTTTTTGAGTGAGTGAGTGAGTGAGTGAGTTGGGGTAGTGTGTGTGGAGATGTTCTGTCTGCTGAATGAATATAGCCTGGATACCCATTTATTTCCTATGGCGGTCACTTTTGACCTGGAACACCACAGGTGTAACAGAATTGATTAAAACACTCAAAATTCAATGAAAGAGATGATCGTCACTTTTATAAGTTCAAGTGTATAGCATGGAGGATATCATAAAGCCTTGAGGCAATCAGATGTAAAACACAATGTTTATGAGTGATTTAAGTTGTACATTGTTCCTGTCGTGTCGAACACGACAGGAAGGTTAATAATTTAAATTCAGAAAAGTATTCTTTGCCAATCCTGTGATTTCTTTGGAAATTATATTAGCAGCCAAAGACGGTCAATGTACAACACTGTTCACAGTCAAATGAATTGTGCTAATGTTGTTTTGAAGTCGTACTTACATGTGACTTCTGACCGAATATCCAACCAACTAAACTCCTCTGACCACATTTCTAGAACTGCTCGATCGTGCAGATTCGCACTCTATAACATCAGAAAGATCCGACCCTTCTTTTCTGAACATGCAGCTCAACTCCTTGTTGAAGCTCTTGTTCTCTCCAAACTGGATTACTGCAACTCTCTACTAGCGGGGCTTCCAGCTAACTCTATCAAGCCTCTTCAACTGCTCCAGAATGCAGCAGCACGAGTGGTCTTCAATGAACCTAAACGAGCACATGTCACTCCGCTGCTCATCCGTTTGAACTGGCTGCCAGTTGCTGCTCGCATCAAATTCAAAGCTCTGATGTTTGCCTACAAAGTGGCTTCTGGCCTTGCTCCTTCTTATCTGCTCTCGCTTCTGCAGATCTATGTGCCCTCCAGAAACTTGCGTTCTGTGAATGAACGTCGCCTCGTGGTTCCATCCCAAAGAGGGAAGAAATCACTTTCTCGAACACTCACGCTCAATCTGCCCAGTTGGTGGAATGAACTCCCTAACTGCATCAGAACAGCAGAGTCACTCGCTACTTTCAAGAAACGACTAAAAACTCAACTATTTACTCTCCACTACACTTCCTAATCTGTAATTGCCTCTCTGAATATCACACTAACTGTACCCAAAATAATAATAATAATAATAAATAAAAATAAAAATACTAATACTACTAATACTTCCCTTCTTAGACTTTACAGACCTGAAACTTGCCTTTAGCACTTATTCATTGTTGCTCTTAGTTGTGTAAATTGCTTCCTTGTCCTCATTTGTAAGTCGCTTTGGATAAAAGCGTCTGCTAAATGACTAAATGTAAATGTAAACCATAGTAAACAATATAGGGAGGGAGCTATCATTGAACTAATTTGCGAATATAAAACCAAATTCACCTCAGTGTTGGTGGTTTTGGGAGGAATATGAACATGTATTATTATGATAACACCACTCGGTTTTTTAGATTATATGATAATTCATACAAAACGTTACAGATTTTTCCGCATTTTTTTTGGTATAACTGTGTGAAATAGCTGTTGCTTCCGCCCACATAAATAACACGGTTTTTGCGAGATATTTGCCACAACATTATTTAAATATCACAACAAGTTCGGTTTTATGGAGAATGATGATGGAATGCGTTGGTTTCTATACTCTGTCTAGTACGTCACTTCCTCTCTCGGCCAGATGTGAGATTGCAAACTCGGAAGTGAGTTCGTGATCATTTCTCTTTCTTTTTAGCGACACGAACACACACGCAACGTTAATTTTAATGCGCATTTCACTGTTTTTCGTTCTTTACGCACGCTCATACTGCGACCTCATAAAACAATCAATGAAATATGCGATTCATGTCATTACATACACACAATGACATAAACATAAACACGCAGCACTATTTAATATCTATATTAACAATGGTTTTCGTGCACCTGATCGGGTATTTCTCCACAGTGTGTAAATCACAGGTAATCAGTGTGTAAAATAAGCTGCCATCACTTCACTTCCTGTTCCGCTGCATCTTTTTCCTGCAAGTCGTCATTTAATTGTATACAGTCGCGAAGAAAACGCGCTGTTCACACCGGACGGGGTCGCTGAGAGTCCGCTTTCACACTCACCCCTGTCCCGTTGTCACAGACCACCACTTTTTTGCCCTGGCTGTCCATTTTTGTCCAGACTCGGTGAATCCGCCCTGATCTCTGCACCGCCGCCGCTGTTCTCGGCCAGGCGGAAGTCACAGCCCTGCCCTTCACACCGCTTCAAAATAAGAGTCAGACAAAATAAAAGCGTTTACGCTACTGTTTATGTATTGATGGAACGCTGTTTATGTTTTTATTTTTAAGAAATAGGCTCATTTTACAACTCCACAAGAGTTAAACGGGTGAGTTTCACCATATTGTGAAACATTCAGCCGATCTCCAGATATGGCGGGAGCACCTTTAGCTTAGCTTAGCATAAATAATTAAATGCGATTAGACCGTTAGCATATTTAACTTTCATATTTAAAGCGCGACTCTTCAATAGTTACACTAAGGTGTGTACTAAGGTTGACAAAAAAATAAAAAGTTGCTATTTTCTAGGCTGATATGACTAGGAGGGGCCACATGGTGGCTCAGTGGTTAGCACTGTTGCCTCACAGCAAGAAGGTCGCTGGTTCGAGCCCAGGCTGGGTCAGTTGGTGTTTCTGTGTGAAGTTTGCATGTTCTCCCTGTGTTTCCTCTGGGTGCTCCGGTTTCTCCCACACTCCAAAACATGTGGTACAGGTGAATTGAATAGTGTATTAATTTGTATGGATGTTTCCTAGTACTGGGTTGCAGCAGGAAAGGCATCCCCTGTGTAAAACATATGCTGAATAAGTTGGTGGTTCATTACGCCTGATAAGTAAAGGGACTAAGCCGAAGGAAAATGAATGAATGAATGAGATACCTAGGAACTGTACTTTCATTTATTGGTATAGTTGGCGGTTCATTCCGCTGTGGTGAGCCCTGATTAATAAAGGACATTATGCCGAAGGAAAATGAATAAATGAAGTATTTGAGAGCAGATTTTCACTTACTTTATAATTTCCTTGCACCAATTTTGACAGACATTCGTTAAAATTCCATACGATGATGAGAATTATTATAAATAATAATCACAATTTTACATGAAATTGAGAGTAAACACAAAACAAGCAAAAAAGCTCTCCTGTTTAATGACTTACACTCACAAACAACAAAATTGCTGTATAAAAACATGTCATGTCTTTTTAAGTGCAGATGGATAGCGATGACAACTGATATACTTAAACATAATGTCCATATTTCCATTCAGTCCACATTAAAGTCCACTCAAACAGGCAAAATCCACCTTTTATTCTCTGGTCCCTTAAGAGAAAATCCAAAACAAAAACACACAATCAAACATCTAAAATGATTCAAAGGTGATAGTTTACACAGTGACAGCAGTTGAGCTTTGCTTCCTCGAATATAACCACAATCAAAAACACATAAAATCAACAGCTTAAATAAGACCAAACAGTAACAGCAAACTTTCGTTGACCTGAAAAAGCAAAAATCCGACATGAAATATACAGACAGTTTTCAACATTAAACTCTGTCCTCGTCAAAAAAATACTATTAAATAAACCAAACACACTCAGTTCAAGCACACAAGATTTACAATTTACAGAAGCAACCAGCCATATATATCTTACAGCAACAATGAGTGTCATTACCCACAATCCTCCTGTTATAGAGCCCACAGTAAAACACAGAGTACCGGTTTAGCTTCTGATAGACAGCAATGCAACAGCAGGATCATGTATTCAGTGTTTGAGACGTGTGTGTGTGTGTGTGTGTGTGTGTATTAACCAAAGTGATAAAGAACGATTATCAACCCTTCATAAATCAATGCCACATTTAAAGTGTACTCTACAAAAGAAATGTAGGGTTCAACCAAGCATAAAGAAAATTAAGCGTATTTCTAGAATTATTATTTTTAAACAAATAATTAAGCATATCTCCTCTTAAAAAAACATTTTATGCAAAAACATGCTGATACGACAATCAAAGCAAATTAGTTTTTCTTAAAAATATGTAGGAATTAAATGTAGTGCAAAAAAAAGTTTCCACATAAAATTATCTACATCAAATCAAATTAAATATTATTATTATTATTATTATTAATGTTTCATGCAAATTATGCCAGTTTGCAGAGTGATTTATTGATCTATTTTTATTTCTCCCTGACACTGGTGTTAGTGTTTGCTTAATTGTCAAGAAAATAATGTCACAAAAAAATCCAAATAATCAAGAAAACTGCTTTTTTTTTAAAAACTCAAAACAATTTTAGAAAGCAACGAATCAGTTCCTGAATCCATACAACATTCATGGTGTAATTAACAAATCAATATTCAAAAATGATATTAACCTCACTTTTTACTTTATTTCTCCTGTCAAAACTCTCAGCACTATGGAAGCCTGTTCCTGCCACTGAATAATAATAAAAAAAACTCATAAATAAAATGAGTCACAATTCCTAGTTATAAAGTCGCAATTCCAAGTTAAGTCACAATTCCGAGTTATAAAGTCACAATTTCAAGTTGTAGTCGCAATTTCGAGTTAAGTCACAACTCCAAATTCTGAAGTTGCAATTACGAGTTATAGTCAAAATTCCGAGTTAGTCACAATTCCGAGTTATAGTCAAAATTCCGAGTTATAAAGTCGCAATTTCGAATTAGTCGCATTTCCGTGTTATAAAGTCGCAATTCCAAGTTGTAGTCGCAATTCTGAGTTGTAGTCACTATTTCAAGTTATAAAGTCACATTTCCACGTTGTAGTCGCAATTCCGAGTTATAAAGGTGCAATTCCGAGTAATAAAGTCGAAATTTCTAGTTCTAATCTCAATTATGAGTTATAAAGTCAAAATTCCAAGTTATAGTCTCAATTATGAGTTAGAAAGTTGCAACTCCGAGTTATAAAGTTAAAATTCTTAGTTATAAAGTCACAATTTAGAGTTATAAAGTCGCAATTCTGAGTTATGAAGTCACAATTCTAAGTAATTGCGAGCTATAAAGTAGCAATTCTGAGTTATAAAATTAGAATTCCGAGTAAGAAAGTCTGAATTCTGAGATTCGAAATTCTAATTTTATAACTTGTTGTTGTAAAGTTGTAACGTTATATCACAGAATTGCATGATATAATCTCTGAATTGTGACCTTATCTCTAAGAATTGTGACTTTGTAACTCAGAATTGTAACTTTACATCTCAGAATTACGTGATATAATCTCTGAATTGTGACCTTATCTCTAAGAATTGTAACTTTATATCTCAGAATTGCGTGATATAAACTCAGAATTGTGACCTTATCCCTAAAAATTGTGACTTTCTAACTTGGAATTGGGACTTTATAAATCAGAATGCTGACTTTATAACTCGCAATTGCGATTTTGTATCTTAGAATTTTGGCTTTATAACTTGGAATTCTGACGTCAAACTTGCAATTGCGTCTTTATAACTCAAAATTGAAGATGTTCAGAATTCTGACTTCAAACATTTTTTTTAATTTGTATTTTTTTAATTATTATTCAGTGGCGGAAACTGGCTTCCACAAAATACTGTAATCATAATAAATAAAAAAATGTAAGTGAGCACAAATTAATTAAAGGCAAAACACACTTAAAGCCGCAAAAACACTTCACAATTTAAATAAATGCTTGTTTTTGAGTAATGAGAGAATAATTGGATTTTAAAAAAAAATTTGGGGGGCCAGATTACAATGATGCATAAATAAATAAACATAAATAAATTCAAGCATAATTCACACAACGTAACTTTTGGGGCAAACTGTACTTTTAACTACTTTTATAATCAAATCACAACTCAAAAAGCATAAAAAAAGTATTCTAAAAATCTGCAATATTCTCTTTATGCAAAGCATCGTTTTTTTTGGAAGGACTGTGTTGTTTGATAAATGATCCAGTTAGTTATTTTCCCCATGATGCCTCAGTGTCAGGTTAGAGACGTGAGGATCAGCAGCTTGAGGCGCTTCAGTGCAGAATCTCAGTGTTACATGTGGAAAAACAAAAAATCAGCTCAGAGCAGCACAAACTCATCTGTGCTTCCTCTTTTGTTGTTGCGGCTCAATCTGCTGCAGGTGAAGATGTGTGCAGGAGCGTCCACGGACCCTCCACTCGGACCCTCCATGCCATAGATCTGCCCACGGCCCTCCACAAACGTGAAGATGGGATACTTCTCCTTAGAGGACGACAAAGCCTAAAATATCATCAGAAATATTAGGAGCGTAACAGTAGATAGATTATTAGTCTGTCTGTAAAATTCAAATATTTTGAAACAGTGATGTTGAACAGATTTCTGTCCACAATATTTGCTATTATATTTGTTATATTAGATTTTATTATAAAATAAATGCTAAGGAAATTTTTACATTTAAATGCTGTATTTAGTTTGAATGGGCTCTTCAATGATATCATGTAAGGGTGGGACCAATTTGACCCTCACATGAGATCCACCAATGGAAAACCAGAGTCGATAATCAACACAGTGGAGGAGATATCCATCCATTATTATTCAGAAGTTTACAAAAGACATTTCAGTCCAGACACTCACTTCACTGACTGCCGTGCACAAGGACTCGAAGTCTGTTTTAGAGCGAGCGTAGAGGCCGATGGTGCAGCTGGGGTCCATTCGGCTGAAGTTCATCTTCCTCGGAGAGTTACAGTGAAAAGACTGTGAGAGAAAACAACAGTTATAATATAACTTGATAGCAAGGTTATAATAGTTTTGGATTTTTCATTAGTTTTAGTTTCTATTTCGTTTGACTTTTTGTTTACAAACTCATTCGTTTTAATTAGTTTTAGAGGTAGATTTACTAGTTTTTATTAGTTTCTATATTTTGAAATTACTTAATTTGAGGGTGCTTTCACACCTGTGAATCGATTCAGTTGTTCCGAAACAGAGATTACAATTGTTACATTGTTGCTCTTTGCTCTTGGAGCGGTTCGCTTTCACACGGCAAAGTTTCTAATCGGACCAAAAGAGCTAAAACAAGTCACGTGCGAGTAAACTCTCCTCACATTGGTCAGAGTGTCAGGGTTTATTTTGCAGTGTCCCGCTCAGCTGTCAGGAGAGGTGGTGGTTTGGTGGTGATTGACAGGGTGCGCGCACGATGTGTCTGAGGAGAGACGCGGTGGGGAGGGGTGAGAAGGGTGCGCGACAATGCCTATTTGAGGACCGGGAGGGAGACACGAGATCATCACTCGTTTGCGGGCATCCGGAGACTCGCGAAACTTCCCGCCCTACTCATAATTCTCTCTTCATATAGCCGTAAGCCTATTACATATCCATAAAACACTGTGATACAACCGCGCTCGGATCGCATCGTTTTCTCACTGCAATCGAACCGCTCCAGGGTTCGTTTCAATCGAGCCGAGACCACCTCATTTAAGAGATCTCGGAGCGATTACTTTGGCGCGGAACAGAGCGCGCTTGCCCTGTTCACATATGCCAAACGAACCGCGCTAACTGGGCAAACGAGATACGTTCCGAAACAAAAGTGTAGGTGTGAAAGCACCCTTAGTTTAGTTTTTATTAGTTTCAGTTTTTTCTAAATAAGGATATTTGTTAGGTGCAAGATTCAAAATCAATAGAATAAATATTGTATAATAAAAACTTAGCCCTACATTTTTAGAAATCTGTATTTAGAGGACACATGAACACTATCAACTACCATCTACTCAAATTCATCTACCATCTACCTCAAATTCAAATACAACAGCCCACAAAATAGCAACCTTAAGCACAATATGTTCGCAAGGCTGCTTTGAGGTTAGATACACAGTAGTGATGGAAGTTCAGATATTTCACTCGGATGTTTGGACACAACACACGAACATTATGTAGTCAGCAATAGTAATTTCAGTCAGCTAAAACCACCGTGATCTGAAAAACGTCTTACAGTAAAGTTTTGCCACCCAACTGAAACATGATTGACTTATTTAAATTCCATTACGATGTACGGTTATGAAATACACTTTCGTTTTTTCACAAGATGCTCTCATTTAAGCCTTCGGTTAACCTGCATTGCAGTTGAAGTTTAGTTCAGTCACAGCAGGCTGTCATGTACTGTTTGTGTTCGGTTCACTGAATCACGCATGCGCAGTATTATCGGTTCATCGCTTCTCAAATTTGATCTCAGTGTAACGTTACTGTTCTAATAACTAAATGAGAGTATATATTGGATTATTTCGAGTCAGAGGGGGGTATTAGGCTTCCTAAAAAGTAGTTTGTGGATAAGTGCTTACTGGAGACGCGAATCGTTTCAAATGATGCAGTTCATTTTGGTGAACTCGTTCAACTGGTTTACTTAGAAGATCTGATTAAAAAGATTCGTTCGCGATAGCGATACAGAGATAAAAAACAATTTTTGGGCACAAATGTGTTAAATTAATAGTTTTAAGTGCCTGTAATGCTGTCACCGTGCTGCTGTCATGTCCACTCGTTGTTTTTGTCATGGGAGCAACAGCGAGGACTGACTGGAGGAGAACTGGCTCAAGCAGGACTACAGACTCAGTTGCAGTACTGGTTAAACCCCTGCAGCGTGAATTAGATTGACTTCTAAAAGGCTTACAGTAAGATTATGTGTTAAATAAATTTACAAATACGAAAATGAAGGAGGTTTTTGCTATAAATTTAGTTAGTTTCAGTTAGCTTTGTATGTACACAATACAGTTTCAGTTAGTTCTGTTTTTTTTTTTTTTTAGTTAACAACAATTATTTTAAATTTTAGTTTTTGTTTTTTCGTTCGTTTTCGTTAACTATAATAGCCTTGGTGTCAGGCATGGTGAATATCTTTTTATAAATGCTTAAACTGCCCACAAAGTGCTTTGAAATGTGCATTTTTTTATTCAATGTTTGACATAATCTTAACGGTAAAATGATGAGGGGCGGGGCCTAGAGTAGCTCCTCCCCTTTAAAAAAACTGCCAATAGTGTTTCACACCTCTGCCAGTGAGAGCAGTTGAGCTCAAATGAAAAGCAAATGAGAAGCATCTTGAAGGGGGCGGGGCATGTCAGATGCTAGAGAGCATTTGATTGGTCAGACGACTTGAAATTGATTTGAGAAACTGAAATGGTTGCTGAGAGGATGTGAAAACAAATCTTTGACAACATTTCTCATTTTGAAGGCTTCTACTGTCCTCTGGAGTTCACAATTATTGAGGAAGCTTTCATGACTGATATGAATTATGCATGTTTACCGTCAAGGCAACCTGGGGTGCTGAAATATAATTGGTTAAACTGGCAGTGGGGAGGTTTTAGAGACCAAAACACACATTTTCAAAGGAGAAATACTGACTTTAGAACTGATTTCAGATAAACAAGTATGTTCACTAAGCATGTTTCTCAAATATCTGCAAACATATTATGGTATTTTTATGAGTTCTAGGGGTCAAAAATGTACATACAGCATCTTTAATGTTGTTTTGGGTCTCACCTCTAGAGAGAAATTGGCTTGAGTGACATCCACCACCGGCTGACAGTAGTGTGGGTCCAGATATAACAGCTGCTCATCTGCAAGAACACAGTCAGACAGCAGCCAATCAGAGAGCAGACTGGACCACAGCTACCAATCAAAACAGAGATTTTCATAGAAGCATACCTTGAAAGCCGACAAAAAACAGTGAATGCTTGGGTTTCCCTCCAATAATTCCTATACAGCATTTTAACTTGAGAATATTCTAGAAAAAAAGAAATTCTTGATTTCAGACAAATGTTAATAAAATGACATTTATTTAAGCTAAAAACAATGCATTATATAATTTAAAAATATATTTATATATTATATATATGATAATTATATTATGCATTAGTGCACAAGTAATACACAAGGCCACTTTTTCCATGTTGTTAAAAATTTTTATTGTAATGTAATGCTGAACAATATTAATAAAAAGCATTAAAAAATAAAAATTGAAAATAAATAATAATAATAATGTGAAATAAAAATGTTTATTGATGTAACTACACTGGATACCAAATGCCAATATTATTAATTCAAGAAATTAAATAGACTTACATTCCTTTGCTAAAGTACATACTAAATTTACTAAAAGTAAATACTAAAGTACAAATAGCATAAAATAACAACAACAAAGAAAAATAGAAAAATAAATAAATAAATATATAGTAAATATTGTTTTAAAAAAGGAATAATAATAATAATAATAATAATAATAATATAATTCAAAACTGTTTATCAATGTAACTAATCTAGGGGCCAAATGCCAATATTATTAATTCAAGAAAATAAATAGAATTACATAACTTTGCAATACTAAAATACATTAGAAAAAATACAAGTAATATAAAATAATAACAATAACAACAACAACAATAAAGAAAAATAGAAAAATAAATAAATAAATAGTAAATTTAGTAAAACAATATTAAAATATTAATAATAATGATAACTAACAACAATAACAGTAAATAATAATAATAATAATATAAAATAAAACAGTTTATCAATGTAACTACACTGGATGTCAAATGCCAATATTATGAACTCAAGAAAATAAATAGAATTACATTCCCTTGCAATACTAAAATACATTATAAAAAATAAAAATAATATAACAACAACAAAGAAAATAGAAAAATAATTAAATAAATCGTAAATTAGGAAAAAATGTAATAATAATGATAATAATAAACAATAAATAATAATAATATAATAAAACTGTTTATCAATATAACTACACTGGATGTCAAATGCCTATATTATTAATTCAAGAAAATAAATAGAATTACATTCCTTTGCAATACTAAAATACTCTAATAAAAATACAAATAACATAAAATAACAACAACAACAAAAAAAAGATGAATAATTGGATATAAAAATTGTTAAATAAATGGATGAATAAATGAATAAAATTAATTAATATAAAATATAGTAAAAATATTGGTATTTTAGGCCCATTATTCAAGATGTTTAAAAAACATTATGTAATAGAATATAACAATTACACACATTAAATGTAAGACATCACAAAACTTATATTATTCCAATGCAATACTACATCACATTTATTCTATTATTAAAAAGCATACATTACAGCATTTTAACTTAAAGAAAAGATTCTTCAAATTTAAGACAAATGTAAATATAATAATTTTTCTATAGTAATATAGTATTTTAGTAATAATAAACCACATTTGTCCAAAAACAATTACATAAAATAAAAATCTATTTATGCCGAAAGTGGTTTATTTTTAATTGTTGAATTTCTGCATGACCAGTAGACGTACCTTGACACACTCAATGTATGAAGGGTTTAGTGACTCTCCCCCAAGTCGCACTGGCACTAGAATGACGACTGATTTCCACCCCACACCGCTGGACTCACACAAACTCATGACATCTTCTTTATATACTGCAGCAGAAGCAGAACTTTACTCACACGCATGCGCAGGGCACAGTTTCACTTTCACTTTTATACTTTTAACTTTTATGAACCCATCATCCAACATGCACAATTTTTTGACCTCAGTAGCACCATTGCATTTTACAGCACAATAAGAATTAACATGGGCTACAGATTCTCTGTTTTTAATCTGCTCATGTGATGAACAATCTACAGACTCACCAGTGCAGTCCTGCGCCACATACACAGCAAGATCCTCAAACTCAGCAGCTCGCGCCACAGCTTTTCTGAAAGAAGAAGAAGAAGAAGAAAAAAATCTAAGACAGCAGGAAATCAACTGTTCAGTTCAGGTATTCAGGGAAATTGTCTGAGATGCATGATAAGAGTGTACAATATTTATTTGCTATGATTAAATTGGAATTTTTTCTTTCTCACCTCAGCATGTGTGCTACTACAGACGGGCCATACCAGTCTCCTGCCCTCTTTCCAGACTCCTTTCCCAGCTCTACCAGTTGGTGGACGCCAAAAGGAGCGGAGGGGTGATCCCCAAAACAGGACACTACCTTCCGATGCAGAGCATCTACCTGCGGGTCAGGACTGGCTGAAGGACATCTGGCCGGCGCCCGCCTGTGGGCCTCAGTGATGCCTGGACTGGGGTTTATCTGAGGAATAGAGCTGCTCCAAGAGGAACTGAAAGACGGCATGGACATCCCAGCCGGACGAGAAGGAGAACGAGGCTTCAGCACCTCGAAATCCACATCTGTGAGCGCATGACAGTCTGACCACCTCCAGTCTGAGACAGAGAGGAGAAAAACACATGAGACACCTGCTATGAAAGACATGGGAAAAAACAGGAGGCTATGAACATTTGTGGTCAAGAAATTGGTCACACTTTACAATAAGGTTCATTAGTTAATGTTAATTAATGCATTTACTAACATGAACAAACAATGAACAATACATTTACTACTGTATTTGTTCATGTTAGTTAACGTTAGTTAATGAAAATACAGTTGTTCATTGTTAGTTCATGTTAACTCATGATGCATTATTTATGTTAACAAGCATGGACTTGAATGTTAATAATGCATTAGCAAATGTTCAATTATGATTAATAAATGCTGAACAAGTGTTGTTCATGATTAGTTCATGTTAGTAAATGCATTAACTAATGAACCTTATTGTAAAGTGTTACCAAGAAATTAATATTTAAATTGTGGGAAAGTTTATAAATTATATATAAATATATTTAAATTGTTTCATAAGATTTGTACTTTAAATAAAAAGTAAAAATCCTCAGTTTTTTTCTGAATGCATCAATGAATTGTGGAGAGAAATAAATGTAAAAAAAAAAAAACATCACAATTTTCATATTAATAAAAAAATATATTTTTTTTGAGCAGCGAATCAGCTTATTAGAATGAATTCTGCTGGATCATGTGACACTGAAGCCTGGCCTAATGATGCTAAAAATGCAGTTTTTCACCAAAGTAATACATTGCATTTTATTAACATTTTATATTAGAAAACAGATTTTTTAAATAGCATTAATATTTCACAATTTAACAATTTTTGTTGCATTTTTGATTAAATAAATGCAGTTTTGGTGACCATAAGAGACTTATTTCATAACATTAAAAACATTTTATTAACCCTCAGATGTTTTGAATAGTGGTTGTGAATGTAAATGAAAAACATTTTGGTCTCAACATTGAAATAAAATGACAAAAATTTAAGTTATTTTTATATTTATATTCCGCTTTGTGCTCTTTAACTCTTTCACTTGTATGATCACAAGGATGTGATTAGCCTTGGTTGGTCCCTGAAGTGTACAATCACACTGGTGTGATTAGTAAATTCAGAGCACACACTAAAGAGGGTTTATGATACTAAAGGATAGTTTAACTATTCTAAGTGATAAACTTGACACACCACCACAGGAACTTTAGAACGCAATGGATTCCAAGTAATTATTTTAATTAATTTAGTAATTAATGGATTCTAAGTTTATTTTATCTTTTCCATAATTACAGTAAATAATATTTAACTAGATATTTTTCAAGACACTTCTTTACAGCTTAGGGTGACTTTTAAAAGCTTAACTAAGTTAATTAGGTTAATTAAGCAAGTTATTTTATAACGATGGTTTGTTCTGTAAACTATTAGAAAGAAATATATAGCTTAAAGGGGGTAATAATATTGACCGTAAAACAGTTTATAAAATATTCAAAACTGCTTTTATTCTAGCCAAAATAAAACAAATAAGACTTTCCATAGAAGAAAAAATATTATCAGATATACTGTGAAAGTTTCCTTGTTCTGTTAAACATCATTTGGGAAATATTTAAAAATAAACAAAATTCAAAGGGGGTCAAATAATTCTTACTTTAACTTTATGTATGTATGTATGTATGTATAGAAGAATAAGCGGTCAAACTAAATTGTATTATGTTTTAATTGATGAAAACTGCTAGTTTTAAAACTCATCACATTTTTAAAGATAATAAAAATAATGAAAATTTGTTACGACATCAAATAAATATTTTCTAAATAACCGTGTCCCTGACAAGATACTTTGGTTTATAAAAGACCACTCATTTATTGTGGATATCTTCTGTAAATAATGGTAAAAATGTTGACATGTCATTTTCCCCCCACAGTCCAAAGACATGTGTCATAGGTGAACTGGGTGAGCTAAATTGTAGTGCATGTGCGAATGAGAAGGTATGGGTGTTTCCCAGTGATGGGTTGCAGCTAGAAGGGCATCTACTGTCTAAAACCGGATAAGTTGGTGCTTCATTCGGCTGTGGCGACCGCTGATTAATAAAGGGACTAAGCCGAAAAAAAAAAGAATGAGCCAGTAGAAGACTTCTATGGGCAGTGGAAGTGCATGTGAGACCTGTGGGCATGAGGTGTAGCAGGAGCCCCTGCGCCAGCATCATCTGTCCGCTGCGCAGCATGCAGCCCCAGCCGCAGTCTGTGGTCAGACTCGACCCATCCAGCTGAGGAAACTCCCGTCTGTAGGTCAGCCACACACATGACACAAACGTCTGCCGGAAACGCTCCACCTCGTCTGAGAACAAGATGCCAAAAACAACACAATCTTTACTAAAATGTGCATTAAAGGGGATCTGTTATGTAAAAATCTCTTTTATAACAGGTTTAAAAACACAGTTGTGAGGCAACAGTGTGCGAATATAGCCAGCCTCTAATGGTGAAAATGTATCAACTCTTTTTATTTATAGTGACACTACATAAAAACTGTCTGCAGAAACATATTCTCCCTGCCCATTAGTGACAATCTCTCCCACATTAGCATAGACAGCCCTGAGAGAGAAGCAGACATCTGCTATTAGAATTTTGAAACTGCTGCTATGGTGATACATAGGCATTTGTAGCTCCACCCCCTTTTGAAAAGAGGGCTGGGAACAGAATTTCATTTGAATTTAAAGTGACAGTCAACAAAACAGCACAATTTAGATCAAAGACTAAAAGGGGCTGCTTAAACGAGTTACAAAACATTATTTGTGGGGCATTTTGAGTTTAAATTTCACACGCACATCAGAGACTTATTTTACATTCTGTAAAAAGGGGCATAATAGGTCCCCTTTAATGACCACTTTCTATTTCCCTTCACTTTTCACACAGATATCAAAACAAAAGGTCTGCTACAGCACAATGAAGCCAGGGACATATCCAATCTGCTACAAACAGAATCAGGCCCTGTTTACACTAGTGTGTTTTAGTTTTAAAACGGGGTTTTAGATAAAAAACGATCTGCGTCCACATTAGCATTTTACCTAGCGTCTCTAAACATATCTCCGTCCACACTACGCCACCAAAAATGTATATCACGTGACCATGCGTGCACTCTAGGCATGCGCGTTCTAGCATAAACAGAAAGGTTATTGTTAGTCAACAGACGCCGGTTGGACATTAAATGCGATGGCAAAGAAAGCAAGAGAGGTATTTTTGTGGATAGATGACGAGGTCGAGTTGTTACTAAACGTAACAAAAGAATAACTGCACATTGGCGCCTAAAACAGACAATAGTGCAAACAACACTCCCATTTCTGTGCCCATGTTGTTGTTTACAGTGAAGATAGGTCTGTTGTTTTTCGGTAGTGTTAAAGCCATGTGTTATAGTCATGTGATAGGGGCTTGACAAATAAGGGAAGGATACGCAATGGCACAAAAGCCCCAATCAGGTAGCGAATCTCAGCAGTCCCGCCTACCGTTTTCAGATGTCTCCGTTTTTCCTCATCCACACTGGGACGGAGCAGCAGCGTTTTAGAATGAAAACTGCCTGTCCAGCGTTTTCAAAACGCTCCATTTTCGGCGCTCGAGAACTCCGGCGTAATGTGGACGGATGGCGTAACCGTAGTAAAACTTATGCGTTTAAAACAAAAACGCATTAGTGTAAACGGGGCCTCAGATTAAAAACTTTGTAATGTGTAAAAAAATAACTCCATCTCTGACAAAAAAAAGACAAAATTACAAGACTGTGAGCTTCACCAGTCCCTCCAGGATTTTGTAGCAACATTTTTATTTTATACTTTTGGCCTAAAATTGTGATGGCTTTTTTCCCCAAAATATAGGCATTATTTGCTTTAATTCTTGTGTCAAATTCTTTGTTTTGCTGTGAAAATACACACAAATCTTGTAAAATGTTTCCTTTTTTGATCTTAAGAACCATTGCACTTTCAAGATCTGAGAAACACTGAGAGAAAAACTACAATACTTAGAAAAATAGTGAAAGAGAATAAAGAAACGATGATACTGAAAAATGTTTATACACACAGATATTGCAAAAGAAAATTGAGACTAGTAGAAAACTCATAATTTTCTCTTTTTTTCTGAATTTATGATTTATAAACTTTTCGTAAACCCAAACTTTTTCATATAAAAGGCCAAAAACTAAATATCATTGATAGTCGTGGGCAGAAGATAAATATATTAAACTATTTTACATTCAATTTGCCATGTGCGGCAGATCACATGCCTCAGATCACATGCCTCACCTTCATTATTGAACAGAAACGACTGCCCCAGCAGGATCAGAGGAGAGCTCTTGTTGAAGGAAGTTTTAGATTTAACGGTCCAGCCTGAGAAAATAAAAGACAGGAACTTACTAACGCGGTCATTTTTAAACATGTGTTTCTACATCTGACTTCAAAAATAGCCCAGCAGAAAAAAAGGAACCAAATATTTGTGTCATTGTTTTTTGTCAGTCATGGAAAACATAAAAATCAAAATTAGGGCTGGATGATAATCTCATATCACTATAACGATACGTATCATAATATATCATTTCCGCAAATTCAATAAATTATTAGTTTATATATATATATATATATATATATATATATATATATATATATATATATATATATATATATATATATATACACATACATACATACATACATACATACATACATACATACATACATACATACATAAACTAACCATAATTTTTTTTTTTTACTTTCTAAAGTATATACTAATAAGTAGAAATTTACTCATTAATATGTGATCACAATTCTCACTTATTTTAGAACTCCAGGGCAAATGTTTAATTAAAAATGAAGAAATATAAATTAAATATTAATTTTAAAACACTTAGAAAAGCCTAGCAACATAAAAAGTGCAGCACACTTCTTTTAATCTTGCGCCTTGCGTTCTCAGAATGGAAAAAGAGCGTTCCGTGTGACTGGCTTCTTGTTTATGTTTCTGTCTACATCCCTGTAATGGTGTGTAATATTGTGCTTATGTAAATTTGGAAAAAGTACTACCATAAACAAAGTGTTGTGACACCACGATATAAACAATAGACTTTAATACAGCTGAAGTCAAAATTATTTCCTCGAAGCAAGCTGAACTGCCGCTCTAGGCAAAGGATGGTCACGCCGCCTTCAACCCCAACCCTCTCTATTCTGCCACCCTAGACACGGATATAACAGAGGGCGCGGGTGGTGAGGATAGTTTTGGGGACGCCGCTCTCTCTATTCTATCGCCCTAGACGCGGATATAACTAAGGGCGTGGGTGGTGAGGGTAGTGTTGCGGACGCCGCCCTCTAGTCGCGCATATTACTGAGGGAATGGATAGTGAGGGTAGTGTCGCGGACGCCGCCCTCTCTATCCTGCCGCTCTAGGCGTGAACTGAGGGCGCGGGTGGTGAGGATAGTGTCACGGACACTGCCCTCTCTATTAGTCGCGGATATTACTGAGGGCGCGGGTGGTGAGGGTAGTGTCACGGACGCCGCCCTCTCTATCCTGCCGCTCTAGGCGTGAACTGAGGGCGCGGGTGGTGAGGATAGTGTCGCGGACACTGCCCTCTCTATTAGTCGCGGATATTACTGAGGGCGCGGGTGGTGAGGGTAGTGTCACGGACGCCGCCCTCTCTATCCTGCCGCCCTAGACGCGAACTGAGGGCGCGGGTGGTGAGGGTAGTGTCTGGGACGCCGCCATCTCTATTCTGCCGCACTAGGCGGACGCCTAGGTTGCCTCAATGGATTTGCCGGCCCTGGATGTTTAACAGATCAAGGAATTTTTCACAGTATTTCCTATAATATTTTTTCTTCTGGAGAAAGTCTTATTTGTTTTATTTCGCCCAGAATAAAAGTGTTTTTATTTTTTTTAAGGTCAATATTATTAGCCCCCTTAAGCAATATTTATTTTTCTATTGTCTACAGAACACCCATCGCTATACTATGACTTGCCTAATTACCCTATCTTGCCTAATTACCCTAGTAAAGCCTTTAAATGTCAGTTTAAGCTAAATACTAGTATCTTAAAAAATATCTAGTCAAATATTCTGTACTGTCATTAAAGATAAAAGAAGGTCACTTATTAGAAATGAGTTATGAAAATTTTGTTTAGTAAAAAAAAATCCTTCTTTAGGTTAACAAAAAAAATAGGAAAAAAATTATAAATCTGGAGGGTTAATAATTCTGACTTCAACTGTATATCGCCATATTGCACAGCTATAAGCATATTTAATCATATGCATGAAAACAGACCATATTTGACGTTGTTCCAGGCCGACATGAACTTGGCTTTAAGGCGATCCACTTCATCAGGCTCTCCAGAACCTTCTCTGATGCCGTCGGGAACCGCCCCATGGCCAAGGTGGCGTTTGGACGAAGCTGAAGCCTTGTCCTCATGAGCTCCACCACCCACTATATACTGAACAGCACTGGGAGACACAGAGTTCATGATTCAGGCTGGAGACGCAGCATTACAAACTTCAGCCTGAAAAACAGACACACAATGAGAAGGTTTGAGAGTTGGCTATTGATTATTGGATAATGTATACGCACAAGAGGTTAAAGTACAAATTAAATCATAACTAACTGATTTTGTTAGCCCAAAAAATTAGAACATTAATGTTGCATATATTGATTTTTTTTAGCATTTACCTAACATTTCTTTCATCCCTGGACATGACTCCAGGAAACCTGCAACCAGTATGCATTTATTTACCATGGAACATGAATAATCAAATCAAACCTTATACCATAGTAAAGCTTCAGTACTTTCTGTACAAGCAGCTATCATTCATGCAACAATAATCCTGATGTAATATCACAATAGACACCATTCAGACTAAAGGAAAAAAAAACATTCCACCTGTGTGTTACGCAGACAAACACGTCACATGACACCTGACTGAGGACAGGTGTGGTGACTGAGTTCAAGCTCACTACAGAGACAACATTGTCACTTTCCTTTTCCTTGTTTTCTCAGGGAAGTTCACACATACGAACTAATGAGAGGAAATGAGGCGACCACTTCAGAACAAAAGACAACGTCATAACACAATAAAGCAAATTCAGGAAATTTTCCGCTTCGTACACTAGACTGCTTGGGGAAAGTGGATACATGTGAGTTTTACACCATGTGACCACTGAGTGCTCAGCAGAAAAACTCAACACCCCTGATCGTCACAATGGCCTCATTTAGAACAGCATACTACATTAATACAGTATGTATCCTGTGCATATTACATTAAAATAAACAAATAAAATATTGGTGGGTATTTTTGAAAAGTTGAATCAAGGTAAACTTACAAGTAATATAAACTTAACTAAATCTGGTATTTAAAAACATTAAGTTGAAACCTTACATTTTAGATATGTTTCTCTCGATGTATATATATATATATATATATATATATATATATATATATATGTATATATATATATATATATATATATATATATATATATGTATATGTATATATGTATATATATATATATGTGTGTGTGTGTTCTGTATGAGCAATTCCAGCGTTATGGATGTGACATTTGCAGTAAAAACTCAAAAAGTACATTTAGATAGAAAGTACATGTAAACACTATATTGAAATATCTGTTTATACATTCCAAAACAACTAACCGCAGAGTTAAGGGATCAGAGAAATATCAATAACATTTTTCGATTTTTAAAGTAGGAGAGGTAAAAAAAAATGAAAATAAACATGCGTTATGGATGTGAGCAAAAAAGTCTGCGAGTTTACAGTTTACAACATAATCTGTAGAAATTCCGTGAATTAAACTACACAACCCTAAAGAAACAATGCTAATCAAAAGGATACGAGTTGGCTCTTGGTATTTTATTTGACATGTTTTGCATTTATCAGATAAATCTTTGCTATGGATGTGACATGTGGGAAACTGGCACTTCTGTGACTTTGGTAAATCAAATATAATTGTTTGAAAACATTGACAGAGACATTTTTGAGTATTTTATCAGTACTGTCAAATACAAACCTACACAAAAAAAAAAACTTAGAAAGGGTTTCTCTATTTTGGTAAAACCTTAATTATTTTATGGCAAGGTTGACATTTGCATGGAATTACTCGTATGCACTGAATACTTGCAACTTATAATATTTGATAAACTGTTACAATTTGGCATGAGACGATAACCGTGTTCAAGGTATACCGGCATTTGGAAAAGTCAATGGCTGCGTCTGAAACCGCCTACTACTCAGTAGGTCCTGCATTTAAATTTAAACGTACAACTCGGCTGCTAGAAAAGTAAAATACAGTATGAATGTGAAAAGTATGAATGGTATTCGGACGTACTACATCCACCATTTTGTCATGGTCACGTGACATACTTACGTCAATTGCGTCGCTTTACTCCCATTCATGAATTCACTCGCGGGGAATCATGGGATAGCGCAGCATGCATGGGATGCGCACTCCAGAATCTCGCCAGAAGTAGTAAGTCATCCGGGTATTTCTCGTATACTGATTTTCCAATTCTATGAATTCGGACATACTACTCTGCTCGCATACTGATTTTAGCGTACTGTATAGTATGGAAGTATGCGGTTTCGGACACAGCGTACATTTTAAAACTGTCAAAATTTTCTGTAATACCGTTCCTAAGGTATGCTTACGATTTTACATTTAAAATAAAAACATTTTTTTAGGACAACAGTCTCTCTGGCAGAAAAGATATCCAAAGATGCCGTTTTAAATGGTAAAAAATAAATGTTTTTGAAGTAAACGAGGGTAGCAGAAGACAATAATTTACTGGAATTATTTATGTTACTAAACATAGAATTATGTTTACTTCTCCAAACTTTTAAAAAATGTTTCTTAAAATACATTGTGTTCAAAGGAAAACAGTTATTTTTTTTACCCAGGCGTAAAAAAATAAAATAAAAAAATACTATATAAATCAGTCATTTAAAATTTCTGGATGCCAAAATATGAGATCCTGAAGAACAAAACAAAAAATAGATAAAGCCAAAAATAAAGTTTAATAGCCAAAATTATTGTTTTTTTTTTTTTTTTTTTTTGTATTTTATGCCAAAAAAATCATTAGAATTTTTTTTCACCTTTATTGATGGCAGTGGAGATTTACAGACAGGAAAGTATGGTGAGCAGAGAGAGGGGAAGGATCGGCAAAGGACCTCAAACCGGAAATCGAACTCAGGTCGCCGAGAGTATCTGGGTGCTTTATGTCGATGCACTAACCCCAAGGTATTGACGCCGACAAATGATTATAATTTCAAGTAAATAATATGTTCCATGAGGACATATTTAGTTCATTTACTATCAAAAATATACATATACATACATATATATGTATGTATGTATATATATATATATATATATATATATATATATATATATATATATTTTTTTTTTTTTTTTTTTTTTTTTTTGACATGCATTGATAAGAATTTAATTTTGACAGCTTTAAAAACAATTTACATTACATAAACATTACATTTAGATCATAAGATTTATATTTGGACTTTTTCATATTTCAGATATTCACATATTTTGCCAATATTGTCTCATCCTAATATCGAATATTAATTTAACTTTTCGGATTATGTGTACCCTTTATCAGCATGTTTTGCAGCATACAATGACTTTTACACACAAAATTTTTCATTTACAGGTTTACAACTGAACTCTTCAGCTTGAAATTAGCAGGCAATTTAACATGTGTCAATCATTTAGTATGCTAACATTAAACAATGTTTTGCATTTGGTTTTACATACATACCAACATTTAACATTTAATTTAAAGATTAAAATTTTAATATATTACATATTTTACCCAAAACTGCATATAATACAGTAAGAATTACGCCAGTATCTTAGGCTACTTAATTTTACACAAACCCTACGCCTAAAATCATGTTTCTCCAGGTAAATATTCAATTCCTTTATTATAAATAAGTCATTAATTTATTGGAACTCAGTAACCGCCTAAATGCAGTCACAACACAGCTTTTACAAGCTAAAATTAATTGAGAATTCCTTGAAGACAACCCGATAATGGTATTTGAGGGAAATGTTTTAAATCTACAGATATTTAGACGTGTATCTAGTGCTTTTTAAAATCAATTCAAACCAAATATACTAACCATTTACAGCGTTATTTTCATGTCAGACCAGGCATGTGAATATAAATCTAACTGTACTTAAATATGGGAAAGTACTTGCTATGTTATTTTCGGGTTTATTCAAAGATTAAGATAGGCTAAAGATTGTAATACATTACATTTTTACACAACACTGTATATAACACAGTAAGAACTACACCATTAACTTAGCTAGGCTACTTAATTTTACACAAAGCCTAAATAAAAAATCATGTTTCTCCAGTTAAATATTCAATTCCTTCATTAGAAATAAGTCATTAATTTATTGGAACTCAGTAACCGGCTAAATGCAGTCACAATACAGCTTTTACAGGCTAAAATTAATTGAGAATTCATTGGAGACAACCTGATAATGGGTTTTGACTTAAATGTAAAACTATAGACATTTAGACGTGCATCTAGTGCTCTATAAAACTGAATTTAAACAAACATACCAACCATTTCAAGCGTTATTTTCACGTCAGACCAGGCATGTCTGATGTTCCGGATATTTTCATACTTTTCCTCTGAATCTCCAGTATCGCTGTCCGACCGCAAGGACAAGCGCTGTTTCAGACCGAACTCAGGCCTCTTCCAGCGCCGTCATCTCGCTGATTATCGGGTAAAGCTGCAGTCATGAGTGTCTGTTTCTTGGCTCTTTACCCGGCTGTCGAAAAATTGCAGATCGGACGAATAGTGTTTAAAACGACGAGCGATTAAACCCGTGTGCTGCTACTTCCTGTTGTCATGAAGATACACTCCCTCGACCCGCCCTAACACGCAACGTGATTGGTCAGACTCGCCGGCTGCCGTTTGATGAATAGACGATGTAGATGTACGAGAAGTCCAACGTTTAATACAATTTTTAGATATTTATTTTCAAAACAAATTACATGTATTGTTTTATATTACATCACGATGTATTTTGTTTATTTTTATAATTTATTTCTGTGAAACAAACGGATATCATAGATCGCAAAGAAGTATCGATGTATATAGTATACTCACCGGCCACTTTATTAGGTATACCTGTTCAAATGCTTGTTAACGCAAATTTCTAATCAGCCAATCACAGGGCAGCAACTCAATGCGTTTAGGCATGTAGACATGGTCAAGACGATCTGCTGCAGTTCAAACTGAGCATCAGGATGGGGAAGAAAGGTGATTTAAGTGACTTTAAACATGGCTGTTGGTGCCAGATGAGCTGGTCTGAGTATTTAAGAAACTGCTGATCTACTGGGATTTTCACGCACAACTATCACTAGGGCTTAGTGTGAATGGTCTGAAAAAGAGAAAATATCCAGTGAGCGGCAGTTTTGTGGGCACAAATGCCTTGTTGATGGCAGAGGTCAGTGGAGAATGGCCAGACTGGTTTAATCTGATTGAAAGGCAACAGTAGCTCAAATAACCACTCGTTACAACCGAGGTATGCAGAAGAGCATTTCTGAAGGCACAACACACCTAACCTTGAGGCAGATGGGCTACAGCAGCAGAAAATATCACCGAGGGCCACTCCTGTTAGCTAGTAACAGGAAACTGAGGCTACAATTCACACAGGCTCACCAAAATTGGAAAATAGAAGATTGGAAAAACGTCGCCTGGTCTGATGAGTCTCGATTTCTGCTGCGACATTCGGATGGTAAGGTCAGAATTTAAATAAATATAAAGTCAATATGGAGCAAAATCTCTGAGGAATATTTCCAGTGCCTTGTTGAATCTGTGCCATGAAAGATTAAGGCAGTTCTGAAAGAACTAACCCGGTACTAATAAGGTGTATCTAATAAAGTGGCCGGTGAGTGTATAGTGCAAAGAAATATTATATATCAATTTGTGACATTTTATTGTCCACCATTTTATCACAAAATTCATTTGAAACATCAATATGTCCTTACATTTTACATGCTTTAATATACTGTATATATTCTTTACATACTGACACTAAAATAGGATTTCTCAGCTTACCTTCAAACTTTGGTTTGTGAAAAAATGCAAATGATTTGGTTATGGCAGTGCTGGTGTGTTTTGTTTTTATGTGGTTAGTCAAATTCTGCTTTCATGTCCACAATTAAACTCCATATTTTTATATGCTTACATGCTTATACTAATAGACAGATTCTGCTTTGCATTGAGTTATGTCATACAGCGCAGGATTATATAAGCATTGCTTCAAAATGTCAAACATTCAAAACTAGATTTATTTTGCAAAGAGTCAAGTTTGTGCTTTGTTTACTGTTGAGCGCTAAAAATCATTATTGTGAATGTTTACACATTTGATAACTACAGTATCCAGCTAGTATTTTTAAAGGTCATTTTAAGCACTGTTAATAATCTGTAGCTCGTACTGTGATAAAGGAGGTCAAACGCTCTGTGAGCAAAGGTCTGCAACTGTTGACAAAAATAAATAAATCTAGCAAAGACAAAATCGGTAAAACAAAAAACCCAAGCAATATCTGAAATCACCATTGTAATGATAAAGGTTTCAAAATGTTGTAATTGAGAATTTAAAGATCCCATGACATGAAGATTGACCGTGGGGGTAGGGGAGTGTTAATGCGTCCGTCTTGATGTCCTCTATAAGGAAGTGTGCTGCAAAATATCAAAATTCCTTAATTCGTTTGAGTCCATTATTTATCAGTGGTCATCACAGTGGAATGAACCGCCAACTATTCCAGCATAGGTTTTATGCAGCAGATGCCCTTCCTGCTGCACCCCAGTACTGGGAAAAACGTATACACTCTTGCATTCACCGACACATAACCATACACTATTACCAAAATCAACTGGCCTAGCCGGTACTTGAACCAGGGACCTTCTTGCTGCGAGGCGACAGTGCTAACCACCGAGCCACCTTGCCGCCCCAACATCAAAATTTGCATTTAAAAACTTTTTTAAAACTTTGTAACTTCCGCCAATGTGAATCAGCTATTTTTATGACATCACACATGATTATCAGATTCTCATTAGATTTGTCCAACCAATCAAATGCTCTCTAGAGAATCTATGCTTTAAAAAATCTGTGTAGTTTTAACATATCACTGGGTCATATATAAGTAAACTCATCATTGGGTTAATTTTTTCAATCGTATTTAAAGGACACTCTTTAACCCAATGGCTGGGTTCGCTCATATTAGGTACAATGGTTTAGGCTACAACAACCCAGCATTTATTTTGCAGTGTAAAGAGGAAGAAATTACGAAAATACAGAGCGGCTTCTGGGTCCAATCGCTACATCATACTGTACGTGATGACCCAACAAATGGTAATATTAAACGTTTACAAAGCGATGTAATTTTTTCGAAAATCTCAATCGCAACATATCGCGTGACGTCACATTGTGCACCATTCACTCATAGCAAACTAACGGTAAGAGGGGCGTGGCTAAGAATATTGTGGCAGAGGCATCAAACTGACATCATCACAGAAGGACCGACTCTCCAAATACAGAAGCAAATGATCAGGCTTTGATTGAAGATTACCAAAACAAACAGATTTACGCAATTGACATACTAATTGTTGTCCTAAAGAATAACAATGCACGCTCGCATCATCATCATCATTTTCATCCACTTATCCGGGGCAGGGTCATGGGGCAGCAGACTTAGGAGAGAACTCCAGACTTTCCTCTCCCCAGACACTTCTTCCAGCTCCTTTGGGGCGATCCTGAGGCGTTCCCAGGCCAGCCGAGAGACTTAGGCCCCGTTTACACTAGTGCGTTTTAGTTTTAAAACGGTGTTGTAGATCAAAACTGATCCGTGTCTACACTAGCGTCTCAACTAGCGTTTCTGAACATATGTCCGTCCACACTACGCCACCAAAAACGTGTATCACGTAAACATTCGCGCACTCTGTGCATGCGCGTTCTAGTAGAGACAGAAAGCATGTGTCACGCTCGGCACTTTGTTATTGTTAGTCAACAAATGCCGGTTGAACAATGAACGTGATGGCAAAGAAAGCAAGAGAGGTATTTTTGTGGATACGCGACGAGGTCGAGTTGTTACTAAATGTAACAAATGAATAACTGCACAACGGTGCCTAAAACAGACAATACTGCAAACAACACTCCCATCTCTGTGTCCGTGTTGTTGTTTACAGTGAAGGCTGGTCTGCTGTCATGTGATAGGGGCTTGACGAATAAGGGAAGCATACGCAATGACACAAAAGCCCCAATCAGGTAGCGAATTTTAGCAGCCCCGCCTCCGTTTTCAAATTTCTCCGTTTTCCCTAATCCACACTGAGACGGAGCAGCAGCGTTTTAGAATGAAAACTGCCTGTCCAGCGTTACCAAAGCGCTCAGTTTTCGGCGCTCGAAAACTGGCGTAGTGTGGATGGATGGCGTAACCGTAGCAAAACTTATGCGTTTTCAAACTAAAACGCATTAGTGTAAACGGGGCCATAGTCCCTCCAGCGTGTCCTGGGTCTTCCCCTAGGCCTCCTCCCGGTGGGGCATGCCTGGAACACCTCCCTAGGCGTCCTGGAGGCATCCGAAACAGATGCCCGAGTCACCCCAGCTGACTTCTCTCTATGTGAAGGAGCAGCGGCTCAACTCCCGAGCTCCTGCCAGGTGAAAGAGCTCCTCATCCTTTCTATAAGGGTGTGCCCTGCCACGCTACGAAGGAAACTCATTTCAGCCGCTTGTATCCAAGATCTTGTCCTTTCGGTCATGACCCAAAGCTCATGATCATAGGTGAGAGTAGGAAAGCTAGCAAAACAGTGTAAATTTAGATTTCACATCAACCCACACATTGGTTTAGTCCATATTTCACTTAACATTCTTGAAAGCAGACAACAGAATAATTGTAATTGTATACAATATCTCTTTATTAACTGATTACACACACTGCACCTCAGTTCATGGATCGATTGATATTTGCAGCAAGTAAAAGTGATGTACAGAACCAAATAAATAGAATAAATAACAGATTCATTCTGACACAAGCCGTCCAAAATGCCACATAATAAATGATACAAGACCGAGATACTCTGCAATTCTCCTATATTTAAAACATTCACATTAGAACAGAATATCTTCATGTCTTAATTTACCTCTATGTACAGTATTGTACAGGGGAGTTCAATAAAACAACCAAGAACGTATTATAAAAAAAAATCAAACAATAACTGACATGAAATAAAGTGCATTCTCAAAAGATCACATTTAGTAGGAAATTATAGAAACATGGCCACACAAACACATATTCTGACACATGAGTGGACTTCTAATAAGTGTGAATTGTTGTTTTTCGGTTCAGTTTGCGGTGTAAATTCAGAACCGAATAAGACACAGGGTTTACAGTACAGATTAAATAAAAACATTTCATTATTTGCTCTCATATTCATTCAACAATAACAGTCACATAAGGTGGAAACATTCAGGCCAGTGAAGTGTTCAGTCATCTTTAACCACAACTGAGAATTCATGCAGAGCAAAGAAATAGCCCAACAATCAAACATTTGCGTGGTTACAAAACATACCATTAGATATATTAACATATTTAAAATCTTTACATCATCCCACACGAAAGAAAAACACTATAGAAATTTGTAGTAAATGCCAGTGTTTTTAAACTATTCCGACTTGAATCTGTTGCAGTGATTGTATAGTTGCTACACAACAACGATAGTAGGGTTTAGTTATCAGTTGCCTATTGTGAATACCATGCTGCTGTAGCATTCATTGATAAAATGTCGTATACGATACACCAACTTTACTATAGCATGATTCAAAAACACTGTAATATTTACTGCAAATGACTATAGGTGGGATATACTGTATTTGTGCATATGTCATTGTCGCGTCTCCATTTCACAGATTCATCCAAATACTCTCTGATAAACCTCTTGAGTTTCTCTATAATACAATAAATAAACCTATGGTGCTTTTATTAGGTAAATATAGCAACCTTCGCTAACACTGAAACCAGATAGCCTGTGAAAGAGCAAAATATGACAGAGCTGCTCGAGAGAAACACTGTCAGAATACGTTTAAGTTACGGAGGGATTATTAAAAAGGCATTTCATGCTACAGTAAATCAATACCTCTGTACGGTACAATGAAATACAAATAAATAAAGCACTCTTGGTCTCGTCACTGCAACTCCTAATACTACTGACCAGCACATGTAAATCTAACGTGGATCATAGTGAGTGTCCCTGTTAGCCAGCAGATGGCAGTACCACTCTATCTATTCCTGCCATACCGCTAATCACCCTCATAGCTGTAGCTTTATGCTAATTTTACACAGCTAAATGTTTGAATTAAAACAATAAACCAACAAATATACTGTGTATTGATTAAATGATCTGTATTGGGTGAAGATGAGATATCCTGTTTTGAGCACCAAACATTATATAAAGCTAAATACAGTGAGTTTAATCTTTAAAATAATTTGTTATACCCCTGCTCAAAATACAGCTTGGGTTTAGCTGGTCGACCAGCCTGGTTTTAGGGGATTTTGGCCATTGCAGGCTGGTTTCAAGCCATTTCCAGCCTGGTTTTAGGGGGATTTTGGCCATTACAGGCTGGTTTTCAGCCATTTCCAGCCTGGTCTTAGCTGGTCAGGCTGGGAGATGACCAGTTTGACCAACCTACCCTTCTGAAAAAAAAATCTTAAACCAGCCCAGGCTGGTTTTAGCTGGTCGACCAGGCTGGTTTTAGAGGGGTTTCGGCCATTTCCAGGCTGGTTTCCAGCCATTTCCAGCCTGGTTTTAGCTGGTCAGGCTGGGAGATGACCAGCTAAAACCAGCTTGACCAGCCTAGCCAGGCTGGGAGCCCAGCCAAAACCAGCTATGTCCAGCTTAAACCAGGCTGGTCAAGCTGGTTTTAGCTGGATTTAGCTGGTCATTTTCCAGCCTGACCAGCTAAGACCAGGCTGGAAATGGCTGGAAACCAGCCTGGAAATGGCCAAAACCCCTCTTAAACCAGCCTGGTCGACCAGCTAAAACCAGGCGACCAGCCTAGGCTGGTTTAAGCTGGATTTTTCAGCAGGGTAGCCAGCCAAAATCAACTATGACCAGGCTGGACATGGCTGGAAGCTAGCCAAAACCCCTCTAAAACCAGCCAACCGGCCAGCTTTTCTCAGCAGGGACATGTTGAACTTATGTGTAATTCAGGGTAACTGATATATTAATATAATGTTGAAACATTGTTTTATTTTCATTTTAAAACATTGTTTTAACCCAGTGTTGGGTCAGATATGGAGTAACCCAACAACTGGGTTTAAAAATATCAGTTTAAAAACATTTAACCCAACATTAGATTTGTCCATATTTGATGTAAACTATTGAACATTGCTAATTTTACAGAGCTAAATGTTTGAAACAATAAACCTACAAATATACTGTATATTGATTAAATGATCTGTATTGGGTCACCAACATTGGATAAAACTACATACAGTAAGTTTAATGTTTAAAATAATTTTTAATACCCCCGCTCAAAAACAAAACAAAAAAAAACAGCTTGGGTTTAGCTGGTTGACCAGCCTGGTTTTAGGGGGATTTTGGCCACTGCAGGCTGGTTTTCAGCCATTTCCAGCCTGGTCTTAGCTTGTCAGGCTGGGAGATGACCAGCCAAAACCAGCTATGTCCAGCTTAAACCAGGCTAGTCAAGTGGGTTTTGGCTGGTCATGTTCCAGCCAGACCAGCTAAGATCAGGCTGAAAATGGCCAAAACCCCTCTAAAACCAGTATAGTAGACCAGCTAAAACCAGCCAACCAGCTAAGGCTGTTTTAAGCTGTTTTTTTTAAGCACGGACATGTCAAACTTTACGTGAGAAATACTGTTCCAGTATCATTAAGGGTAACTGATATAATAATATAATGATAATTATAGTATAATTATATAAATAAATATAATTATAATATGTTAATTATTTTAATATGGAGAAACCCAACAACTTGGTTTAAAAATATTATTTAAATGAAATTAAAAACATTTAACCCAATGTTAGATTTGTCCATATTTGATGTAAACGATTGACCTGAAAATAAAACAGTAAACAAACAACACTAAACTTACATAATAAAAACTGTATATTTTAAACCCATTTTCATCTTTGACCCATTTGTTGATAAAATAAATTGAAGTCTGAATAGAAATTTAAATACTTTATAAAATAAAAATACATACAATTTAGTTCATTATTATATTATATAATTTCTTTCTAATGATTTATTATTAATACCATACATTATCTTTGGTTGCTGTAGTGGAACCATTGTTCATCCTCATAACCATGTCTTAGCGTTCAAATGCTAATGTTTCGCAAATAGCAAAATAACTAATGCTCCATCAGTCTCATCCCTGCAAACAGTTACACTTTGCATATGCTGACAAGAAAAAAACGCAGCTAAAGTCTACTTATAATTTCTCTGCATGTCAGTGAACAACATTCAGATCACAAAGAAATGCCAACAGACGGCAGGCTACACCCCCCACCTCCCCTCTGGGTTGCCATGACAACAGTGACATTTACTGATGCTTGAATAACTATAGAATATATTTACCATAGAATCCACTCGGGAGATCCTACAACCATCATAAATGTGCTGAAACTACAATCCTCGCAATCAAGATCTGCGTAAAGACAAATGTAAAAAATATGTGTCTAAAAATATCACTTTAATCCTGAGTTTCTTAACCAATTCCATCATTTCACAGATTTACAAATTGCATTAGTATTCATTTCAGTGCACTGCTGCTTCTAAGTGAATGTGGATGCAGTTGGAATGCTTTTTTTTTTTTACAGCTAAATAGTGTATGACATCTAGCAGCAAGGGCTAACTGGGTCATGCTAACCAGACAAACCATGTCCTCTTGCATTAAACACACAGAGTGAAAAAAACATGGCTGAAGAATTATAATTCAGGTACCTAACATGAGACTTGAGTGCAAGTCACAGAGAGGTCAACAATCACTTTCAAGGGGAATTCATAAACAGAGAAAAGATGCGCTAGTTCAAGTCAAGAGCTGTGCAACACTGACCTGCAGGCGAGAATTAAATCTGCTTTTACAGATACACTACACTTTCTCTTTTGGAAATAATAGACTCATTTTACAAGTCCTTTAAGTTAAACCAATGAGTTTTATCATTTTAAAATGCATTTAGTCTATCTCCAGGTCTGGCGGAAGCACTTTTAGCTTAGCTTAGCTTAGCTTAGCATAGATCAGAGGTGCTCTGTTCCTGGAGACCTACCTTCCTGCAGATTTCAGCTCCAACCCTAATCAAACACACCTGAACCAATTAATTATGACCTAACCAGCATATGATAATTACAGGAAGTGTTTTTGATATGGGTTGCAACCGATATCTGCAGGAAGGTAGATGTCTAGGAACAGGGTTGGTCACCCCTGGCATAAATCTTTAGCTGTTTCTCAATGTGCGTTTTTCAGTGTTCTTGCGCCCTCGTGTTCTTGTGTAATGTCATCATCAACCGCCAAAGCTCAGTTCCAAAACTCAAGATCACAAGAATGGTGGTCACGTGAAAGTTTCCGGATGTGTTCTTGATATATAGGACGCATCGATGCAGACTTGAGTGCAAAACTCAAGAAGTCTCAGAAGTGATTGTGGCTGAATAAGGGGGTGATCACACCGAACGCGCATTTGCGTTCCAAAAACGAGAGTTGCACTGCTCTGCCTTTTTTGTCGACAAGAAAAAAAGAAGCACAGCATGCTTTTTTAATGTCGCTAAGCAATGATTGGATCAGCTGGGTATTGTTCGAGAGTGTTGCTGTTGATATTAATATAATTTTAATAATAATAATATTGTGAAAATGAAGATTTGTGAAGTCATACAGCTTTGGATAACTTAGAACAGCAACCACAAGTCTCTCCTCCATCTTCAAAAGTCTCCATTGTTGTCTTGACAACACAAACACTGCACCTTTGATTAAAGAATGAAAAAGACGAGAGTGACGTAACACGCTTTTTCCGCTCCGAGTTGACATTTTTCAACTGAGAGCTCACGACGTGCAAGGGCAAAAACGCAAGGCGCAGCAGGCGGTTAAAACGCGAGGTGCACAGGGTGCATAAGCAGCATGCAAATCGCGTTTGCGGCCGTTAGTAAATATGCGTTGAGAGGCGCTTCGTATGGCACGTTCGGTATGATCGGCCCTTGAAGGAGGTGGGAAGTGCAGCATTTTATATAGATTTATTATTAAAGTTCAGAGATACAACTTATTTGTCTTAGGAGCTTTCCTAAATTAAACGGTGAATATAAACATTACTTTGAAAATCTTAATGAAGGCAAAAACACATTACCTTTTCTATATATATATATATATATATATATATACATATATAGAAAAGGATAAAAACAATAGATTGTTGTATGCATGCTGTAATGTTTAAATAATTTTCCATTAAAAATGCGTGAAGGTCATGTGACCATCGGGAAGAACTAGGTAGGATGCGTTCTTTGTTCTCCCTAAGTTTCTTCTTCTGAGGTAACTTGGCAAGACCACAAGAACGCGAGTCCATTCTCTGCGTTCTTGGAATTGAGAAACAGCCATTAAATTTGATTATACCATTAGCATCCTGCTCAAAAAAAAGTTTTCCTCTACTAATTATACTCTCATTCTGGCATAATAATCAAGAAACTTTGCTGCAGTACCATGGCTGCAGCAGGTGCAATGAGATTATGCAGCTTGAAAACAGTCCCCAGATAGGTAACTAGTTAATAAAGTAGCCTGGTGAAGGTGGCAGGCAAGATCATCGGTTTTGACCAAACTGGTCCAATGGTAATTTACCATGAATATGTTTTAAAGAGAGCTTAGGGTATCCTATGCACCCTGGATCGTCCATTGTACTCTGTGTTTTAGCTGCTGCCATCAGGACATCGTTTTAGAGTTCCTATTTGCAGGACAAAAGACTAGAAATTCTTTTATAATGGCGGCTATTGGGTTATTAAAGGAGTCCAGGGGAGAGGGAGATGCACCTACAAAATGACGTATTGTATGTTGTGTGGTAATATTTTGTTAATGTGTAAATGGAACTTCGCTTGTGTTACGGCACCTTGCTGCAATTTTAGTTTCCCTAAACTGGATAATAAAGTTGAGCCTGAGTCTGAATCACAGCGTGTAATTGTGTTCAGAGGGTTAATGATTTCAACATTTGTAATTCAGTATGATGAGAGAATTGGTTAAGACTTAATATTGTAAGGGGGATGAATCTATGGTGTTAACAGTCCCCGGCTTAAAGTCCATGTTAAGCGTAAGTTGCTGCAGAGTTTTGAGTAGGAAGTGGGGTTTTATTTTTGCACTCATCCTATCATTGTTCACTCTCAGCAAACTAATGGCTATAGGGGCGTAGCTAGGCATATTTGTCCAATCGAAGAAATACTGCCATTCCACAGCAGAAACAACAGGTCAGATTGTAATTGAAGATTACCAAACCGAACCTTTAAGCAGTATGTGTTCACTGATAATGGATTAGCGTACATGAGTAGAATCTCCTGAATTAGGTACAAGCCAAAGAAACAACTGACAAAGCAAAGCATGTGCTCGATGATGTTCTGTCCATGCCAAAAACGTGATATGCCGTGTTCTCAGTTTTTTTGTTTTAAGGAAAATAAGTGGTTTGTCGCCTTAGAAAACGTAGGAACGTTATTTTGGTGTTCACAGTATTCAGCATTGTTTGATCTGTTAAAGCACTTCACACTTGATGTTTAGTTTATTTTTACCTGCACAAGCACCAAGAAACATGCATTCACTCACCTTCTCACAAACACGCAGCATACGTTGTTATATAATACATATATCACGATTTTCTGACGCAGCTCTGCATGTACAGTAAATAACAGCCTTTAAAATAACCTTGGAGTTGCTGTCTTTTGTTCAGTGTAAAATGGTTTAATCATTGCTTTCACTGGCTGGAATGTCCCTAAGTGCTTGAAAACACAGAATTCTGCTAAACTCCCAATAAAAGGCAATTTATTTTCCACCAAACACAAGATCAAGAGCCGTTCTTAGGAGTAATGAGAGTCTTCACCTGTGGAGAAGAGCTAGTAGGACTGGCTCCTTTGGAGTTTGGTCTACCCTCAGGAGATGATTCAGGCCTACCTGGTGCACATGCCTGGGTAATCTCCAAAGATTTGTTGGTATCTTTGGCCTTAGGCCCCTCCTGAGTTCCACCTTTTACAGCCCCTATAGATTTCCCTGTGCTTGTCAAGTGTGTAACCAAACCAGTCCTTTCTGCAGGAGGTTGAGATTTGAGCAAATCAGGAGGCACTCCGGTTGGAGAAGGAGTTGGGGATGGAGAGTGTTCTTCTACAACCTCCAAGAGACATTTATCCTCCCAATCAAATGATCCACGGTAGCAGCTAACAGCAGATAGGCCCTTGTCCTGCCTAAGTTTTCCCAAGGCAGAGCACTGCGTCTGGGGTGGGTGAGATGGGACAAGCCCTTTGGATGGTGCTAAGGCAGTTCTTACCCTGACATCTGACGTTCTGCTATGTGGGTCTAATACTCCCTTCTTGAGACTGTCACCATTACCGAATCCCTCATTTGCTTTGGTAACCTCTGTGCTTGTTGTTTTCACAGGGGGACTACATGGTATACTTGGCTTGCCTTGAGCTGAAGTATTGCCAACGTCTGATTTCACTTGCTTTTTCCCGTTATCATTTCCTCCTTTCTCTAATAAGTCTTTGTTGATTAACTCTGATGGAATTAATGAGAGTGGGGACTTGGTGGTTCCTAGTGTCTGGCTTTGAGGAATCTTTGTAAGACTTCCTTTGTCGTCATTTCCCTCTTCTCTAATGGAACTCTGATCTATTGTTTTGGTAGAAGGGGAAGACACTGTTGTAAGGGGCGACGGAATGGAGGTTACTATATTAGACTTGGACTCTGATGCTATTGGAGAAGATTTGGTTAGTGGTGGTTGCCAAGTTTGAGGTTTGACTAGGCAACATTCTTGTATAGTGGAAGTGTGGCGTTGAGATGTTTCAGAATTTGGAGATGTCTTACTCCCAGGTGGAGTAACTGCCGCTGGTTTAGATTCAGTAGGTCGACTTGGTTCATTAGCTTTACCAGTCCTCTCCCTTTCTCTCTCCCTTTCTCTCTCCCTTTCTCTCCCAGCAAGCAAAGCATCTCTACTCAAAGGTGACTCTTGCCGGCCTAGTTTCCTGACTGGCTTCAGCACACCAGTTTCAGGTGGTAATGGGGTCGGCTGGGTGGGTGAAGGAGAATTTGTTGGTGCCGAAGCCAAATTCTCACCCTCAATTTCCACCAAACTCTGCAAGCCAAGCTCACAATGGAAACCATCTTTGCGATAATCAGAATGTCCGACCTCCAAACTGTGCTTTCTCATAACCCCAATCCCCCCTTTCTTCTCAGATGAAGATGAAAGCGGTGATCCAAGTTTTTCAGCTGACTGCACTCTTTTGAGTAGCGGTGATCGAGGAGGTTCTGCACTCTTGGGTCTAGGTCTTATTATTGGTGGGGATGAGTGTAATTTTGCAGGAAAGGTTTGCGTCGTGTTGGAGCTTCCGACTGTGTGCCCTGGTAAAGGAGGTGGAGAGGATTGAGTTGGAGATGGTGTATGAGCCAGCGGAGACAAAGGGATGTTGCCAGCTGACTTGCAGCGAGCTGAACGATACTGGCGGTGTAGTTTAGGTGAAAGACCATGCAGGGAGCTGGGTCTCATATGCTGTGTTGTTGCAGGGGAATTTGGGGTACTTGAAGCAGGAGAGCTGCTCTGAGAAGAGGCACCTGGGTTAAGAAATCAAAGCCAATCAAAATTAACAACTAAAGAGTTCATTTTAACATTTCTGTTCTTGGTGTAATCACAGAATATAGTTTGAACTCACCAAGGTGGGATGACTCAGGGGTTGAGCGGTAGCTTTGGGTAGGGGAGTGACCTGACAGGCTATGTGTAGGAGACCCAGGAAGACTATCGCTAGATGACAGGGACCGATTTAGAGATGACAGACTACGGCTTGTATGCAGCAGGTTGGACTGCTTAGTTATTTTGCGGAACAAAGATCCGCGCCTCTTACTGTCAGTAATAGAAAAAGAGAGTCAAAAAGTCAAATGTAAGATACCTAGGAGGTAAAAAGACACCTTATTGTTATATTGATTTACAACTGAAGGCACATTGAACCTTTCTTGTCCCTCTTTGACTGTCCTCTTACTGCGTCGGGCCATCTTAGACTTGTAACTGGACCTGCGTGCTGGTCCCACTTTAATGGATGTATTCTCAAAAGGTGTTGTGGTTACAGTAACCTTGTTTCCACTCTGAACAAAAAACAAAGAAACAAGTAAGCCAATCTGAAACTTTCTAAATAAATTCTTGAAAAGATTCATTTGTGGTCTACTCATGGTCTAACTCCAGATTTGATTTTTGCTATTTAGATAAGAACCTCTCATTTTAGGTCTCACCTTAAGTATAAGCTCTACCACCTCGGTATGGACTAATCCGTGCACAGATTCACCATTGACATGAGTAATGAGGTCACCGGCACACAGTCCCGCCTCCTGGGCAGGGCCTCCATCCTCTACATGCTGTGATTTAGACAAGAATTCAATTAATAATTAATTAACTAAACAAAAAGCCTGCTTTCTCATATATTGTGTTCCCTTCTCACCCAGACAATATGGTGCACACTGTAGACGTCAGTGTCTCCTATGTAGACCCGAATGGCACGGAGTGTGAACCCGTACTTTTTGCCAGAGCGTTGGATAGTGATTGGGGAACGGGGCACCGTGACTGTGGGGCAGTAGTCACGGCTGGGTGAAGAGTCTCGCGATGAGGGGTTGGACGAGAGAGAGCGTGGAGACATAGGGCTGGCCAATGGAGAGTTACCATGCTGCTCAACTAGATAAAAAAAATCAATATATTATAACATGACAGATTTGTCAGCACTTGGCACCATTTTTATGGCAAGTAGGTACAAGTTCCATGCACATATTACATTTTACATTTAATGTCACAATGCATAATATAATAACAGTGGTATTAAGGAATAAATAGCTCCCCCTTGTAAACGGAAATTGAACAGTACCTCCAGGTATAATGACAGAGAGTGCTGTTGCAGATGCAGATTTGATGACCTTGTTCCCCGGACGTGAGGTGCGTTTCTCCCCATCACTAGACAGCTGCTGATGGCGTGCTCGCCGAAGCACCAGATCTTTGGTTGCCCTCTGACCGACGGGGTCACCAATGGCAACCAAGTCCCTAGAGATTACTGCTGGGGCTCCTGTAGACGGTATGGTCTGTGGTGCTGACACCTCACCTGGCCTTGATGCCTTGTCTGCCAAATTTACATTCACAGACACATTTCTCAGACTCAAACAGCAGGGCTGACCAACCAAGCAACCATATCTAAACAATCTAATCAAGATCCCTAAATCAGGCATAGGCACCTTTAGCCCTGGAGAGACATTATCATTTTGGACTTAGCTCCAATCAAACACACTTGATTGTAGATTACCAGATTCAAACATATTTGCATGTGGGAATCCCTCTTAGGTGAGTGGGAAGTACTGTTAAGTACGATTCTTAAAATTGTACGTAAACGTTGCTTTGTTTACGGTTTATATGTGTGCAGAACTAGTTACAGTTTCCCTTTGTGGAATGTCAGTAAAGACTACAGCCACCTGCAGGACTCGCGTGCACACATAGGGTTCAACCTGTGCATCAACATGCCCTTTTTAGTCATGGATAGAAAGTGCCCTTACAAAAAATCTGAATTGCCCCTGCTCCACATCCGTCCCCCGCTCTTTAGTTCGCGACAACAACCCCCCACCCCCTGCTCTTAAGTTCACGACAACTATTAACGCCCCCTCCCACTCCACATGCCTCTTGGAAGGTCTTTGCATGGGCGTGGCCACCTGTAGGTGTGGAGAGATACATTCATTTAGTCAGCTGTCTATTCGGACATGCAGTACTGGGACCAGACACAGTCAACACCACAGTCGTTTTTGTTGCCGATAGTTCTTTGGCTTTGTTTGTCCCGGCCTTAAGAGTTACTAGAAAGCTACAACCAGGTGATTTTATTCATAAAGGTTGGTTCAAAACTCTTTCCAGGGCTGGAGTTGACCATGCCTTCTATATATTATATCAATTGTTTTGCCTCTTCCCTGAGTTACCTGTACTCTTACTGCTGCTGATTGACATCACTTCCTTTCCATTCCTCTGTTCGTTAGCACTGGGTGAGGATGGAGGAACTGCTCCTTCTGATGATCCGGTGGCTTTAGCAGTAACTTGTCGCTCTCCATCGCCTTCTTGAGAAGAAGCAAATCTATGCGTGTCCATTAGGGCTGAAAAACGACGCCGGGCGCCCATCGGAGGACTGCAATCTCCCTCCATATACAAAGACTCAGAGCATGACAGACGCTTCCTATAGAAGAATATTGAAGTTTTGATAAAGCATCTTCAAAGCACTGTCTTAACTACAAACAATGCAGTGCTGCAACACATGATAAAAGGTATCTTTTTCATGTTAAAAGGAGTATTTGTCCTAACCATTTGTCCCTCAACGTCGCGGGAAAACAACCGCATAAACTAATATGACAGTGATCACCTCAGGTACTGATTATGGGCTTTATTTATTGTTAAAAGCTACCAAGTTTTGAGTTTGAATACCATTTTTAATGACATTTATTGCCATACTACTCAAAGCAGTAGCAGATAGTTCATCTCAGATCTTAAAAATAAAATAACTAGCAAATGGTTTGAAAATGAATGCAAGAACTGTGACTCACTACAAACCAACAACATCAGTCACTCATGACCTTTTAATAATGTTAAATAGGTTAAATAGTATTAATTATATTACACCCATTACCATTTGGCTGGGAGTGCAGTGGGTGATTTTTAAATGAATCGCTGGTATGTTTTTGTTGCGTTGCGTTTGGTGCAGACAACCAAACTGCTTGTCGCTGGATGGTGATACTTCTAATGCTGCGTTCCCACCAGACGCGGAACGCGCATCAAGCGCGAGTGATTTACATGTTAAGTCAATGCAAACGCGTGAATAGACATCCTGCGGCGCGATACGCGCGAATGGCGCAGCGGGAATGACGCGAATGGCGCGTTGCGAATAGCGCGATACGCTCGAGGCGAATTGAGCTTTTTGCGCGTTTGACGCGCTTAACGAGCATTTTGCGCAAATCTCTTGAGTACGAAAATCTGAATTTCAGCGGACATTCGCGCTGCGTTAACCAATCAGAAGCTTGCTCTTGTGGGGGCATGATTGTGAAGTATAACCAGTTGATGGTGTCCCGGGGGAAATCCTCTAGGCGACACCGACAACAGTCATCAAACTAGGCTTGGCTCAGTCAGAAGCACCGTTGAAAGCCTCCGCGATCCAGGTTCAGTGTCTGGAGGAGTTTATGAGCTCACAGAGCTGGATGCACCTCTAAAAGCATGTAGTGGACTCAGACACGGTCCTAAACGTATCGACACTGTTTTTCAGCCTTTACAAAGCACATTAACACTGTTATTTTCCTCATAAAATCCATGTTAGCCTTTTAGCAATGAAGCTACAGTCACCGGGAAGACAGATGCCCTGCCTATCACGCGAATCCGCGTCTGTTCTGAAGTAAATTTGACACGCTAATGAAGCGGTGTTTGACGCGCGAATGAAGCAAGTAAACTCAAATGTTCACGCGGCTATTTACACGCGAATAGCGAATAACGAATATCCGTGCGTTCCGTGTCTGGTGTGAACACAGCATAACAGACATCTCACGGATGCTGGATGAAATCAAACTCTCACAAACGTACATCTCAGGTGAGCCTGTCCTCCAGCTCTTGTCTCTCATACTGAAGCTTCCGAAACTCTCCCGCTTGGTTATCTTGTCATCGCGGCGCCCTTTGTGCTCCCGGCGGGTGACTACAGGTGTCTTCTGCTCCAGCTGGGACAGGTGCTCCATGCTGCTATACACCTGAAAGACAGACAGCAATGCCAAAGGGGTCTTAGTTTACAGCAGGGGTGGCCAACCCTGTTCCTGGAGAGCCACATTTCCTGGAGATTTCAGTTGCTACCCATATCAAACACACCTGCCTGTAATTATCACGTGGTGTTCAGGCCTTAATAATTGGTTCAGGTGTGTTTGATAAGGGTAGCAACTGAAATCTGCAGGAAGGTGGCTCTCCAGGAACACCCCTGGTTTACAGCATGTGGCAACCACTGAGCCACCATGTCGCCCCCTAGCTTTGTCTCGTAATATTAAAAAAATTAAATAAATAAAGGAGGAAGTGGAAACTAGCGTTGAATGGTGACGTTAATAAAAAATATGTAATATGACATGTAAAATGGACACATGAAAGGAACATTCAAACAGCAACTAATGTAAACACATGAATCATATTATTGTCTTATTCAGATTAAGGGAAATAATTAGATTACTGATGTCCATTTAAACGTAGCCATTGTGAGGAAGCATGAAATATGAATACAAGCGCGTGTCAGACTGACCTTGCTGAAGCGTGGCGAGCAGGAGGAGAACTGTCTGATCTCCACAGGCTCGTCGTCATTGGTGTCGTCTTCATCGTAGGAGTTGATGTGGCGATAGCGTTCAGAGCGTGCTGCGACAGAGAGAGAGAGAGCGAGAGATGATGGTGAGAGATATAGAGCGATGACTATCAAGGACAGACTAATGCGAGTGTCCTCACTGTCGAAGTAGCTGGTGTCCTCTTCAGACTCAAGATGAGGGATGAACTCGGCCTTCTGCCGGAGTAAACCGTTCCAGTCCAGTCCTGAGAAAAACGAGTGCTGCTTCACTTCGAACGCACCACCTGTACGAATGTAAAGAGATGTACGTCTATACAAGAAAATAAATTAACTTAAAGACGTCCTATCATGCAAAAATCACGTTTATAAGGGGTTTAAACACAGTTGCAACAATCTGTGAATATAACCAGCTTCTAATGGTCAAACAGAATTAAGTCTATTTTTTATAATCATACTTGATTAAAACAGTCTGTAGAAACACTCCGATTGACATTCTCCCCTTGTACGTGTCATCAGAAGGGGAAAGCCCCGCCCATTATACACATATACACATATATATACATATAGACCCATATACACATAGGCATTTATAGCTCCGGCATCTTTTAAAAACAGCACAATCTCATTTGAATTTAAAGCGACAGTCAACAAAAAGGCACAATTAGAATCCAAGCCAAAAAGGGGCCGATTCAAAGAGTTATAAAATGATTTGTGGGGTATTTTGAGCTGGAATTTCACACACACACACACACACACACACACACACACTCTAGGGAGATTATTATAATTTACATCTTGTAAAATAGAGCATGATAGCTCCACCTTAAGAGTAAAATTAAAGGAGTAGTTCACATAAAAATGAAAATTCTGTCTTCATTTACTCACACTTGAGTTCTTTGTAGTTTGAAACCAGTAACCATTGACTTCCATATATTTTTTCTTTCCTACTATTAAATTTAATGGTTACTGGTTTCAAACATTCTTCAAAATATCTCCTTTTTTGTTCAACAGAACAAAAAACTTAAGGGAGAGTAAATGAAGACTGCCTAAATACACTTACTGGCCACTTTATTAGGTACACCTTACTAATACCGGGTTGGACCCCCTTTTGCTTTTCAACTGACTAAATCCTTCGTGGCACAGATTCAACAAGGTACTGGAAATGTTTCTCAGAGATTTTGGTCCATATTGACATGATAGCATCATGCAGTTCCTGCAGATTTGTAGGCTGCACATCTATGATGTGAATCTCTCAATCCACCACATCCCAAAGGTGCTTAATTGGATTGAGATATGGTGACTGTGGAGGCCATTTGAGTACAGTGAACTCATTGTCATGTTCAGGAAACCAGTCTGAGATGATTCACACTTTATGACATGGTGTGTTATCCTGCTGGAAGTAGCCACCCTAAGATGGTACACTGTGGTCATAAAGGGATGGACATGGTCAGCAACAATACTCAGGTAGGCTGTGGCGTTGATGTAATGCTCAGTTGGTACTAATGTGCCTGAAGTGTGCCAAGAAAACCTCCCCCACACCATTACAACATCACCAACAGCCTGTACCATTGCTACAAGGCACAATGGATTCATACTTTCATTCATGTTGTTGACGCCAAATTGTGACCCGGCCTTCCGAATGTCGCACTAGAAATCGAGACTCATCAGGCCAGGCAACATTTTTCCAATCTTCTACTGTCCTTTTTTGTGTGCTTATGCGAATTGTAGCCTTAAATTCCTGTTCCTAGCTGACGGGAGTGGCACGTTCAGAGATGCTCTTCTGCAGACCTCAGTTGTAACGAGTGGGTATTTGAGTTACTGTTGCCTTTAAAACAGCTCGAACCAGTCTGGCCATTCTCCTCTGACCTCTGGCATCAACAAGGCATTTGTGCCCACAGAACTGCAGCAGACCATTGTCTTGACCATGTCTACATTTCTAAATGCATTGAGTTGCTGCCAGGTGATTGGCTGATTAGAAATTTGTGTTGAGTTGTTGGACAGGTGTACCTAATAAAGTGGCCGATGAGTATACATTTATAATGTATTAAAATTAGTATTTTTAAATCAGCAATATCAAGGAATGCTGAATGAGTGTATCTGAGATTTCACAAAAATTATTAAGCAGGGAAAACTCTTGCAAAATATGATTTCAAAAGAATGGTCAAGTGCAGACTGGAGTTATGATTCTGAAAATAAACTTGTGATATTAATATATATTTTAAAATAGAAAAATAATCATTACACATTATCAATAATATTCCACAGTTTTACTGCTTTTACTGTACTTACAATTAAATGCAGCACTGTATTCTTTTAACAACAGACCCAAAACTTTAAAATACCACTGTTTTCCTTTACTTTTTAATACGCACCACTGAATCGTTCACAGTCTCGCAGAGAACCAGTTATAAAATAATAAGGGTCCAATTAAAATTCATGTTGACTTGTTGAAGTTGTCTTGACAGGTTATATAAATGTGCTAAATTTAGACTACACACAGCTGAAACTATCACAAAGAGACACATTTCCTAAGAATTTCAGCCTCTGTTTTGTCGTTTTTAGGTCTAAACTACCCATTAGCATGTGATTTTAGTGCTCTGATCATTAGAAGTGCAGTGACATGCATTAAAATGTGTTGGAATGCAATCTGACCAAATGTGTTTTCAATTACCTCTGGAAGTTTTCTAAAGTAGATACACAACACATTTTAGACCTTGTTTACATCAGTATTTCACCACCATCCAACAGACAGGCACTGCATTCTGACTTCAACTGTATTTTAAAACTATAGGTGTCAATGGCTTTATCCCAGCATTCTTCTTGTGTTATGTTCAACAGAAGAAATAAATAAGTTTAGAACCACTCAAGTGTCAGTAAATGTAATTTTTTTTGTGAACTTTCCTTTTAAAAGCAGGTGTAAACTACGTGTTTCTGATGAGTGTGTACCTGTTCCAAGTCGCACCAGTGGGTTGGTTTGCAGCAGAGACGAAATCAGGCTCTGAGCGTCAGCAGGCAGTGCTTCATCTCCATTGGGCCATTCAATATAATCTACACACACATGCACACACACACACACACAGCACTGAAGCGCTTCATAACATTTTATAGCACAGATGCTGCTTTTACAACCAGAGATATGTCAGGACATGATGATTATGATTCAACCTCAAAAGCGTCCAAAATAAACTCCATGCACACTTCGACTCACCTGTGATCACCTGACCAAACAGCTCCTCAGGCGTATCTCCGAAAAACGGCACGCAGCCCACTAGGAATTCGTAAAGGATGATTCCCATAGCCCACCAGTCCACAGGTTTCCCATAGCCCTGCCTGAGAATGACCTCTGGAGCGATATACTCTGGTGTGCCGCAGACCTGAGACAGAAACGGAGACATTAGGCAAGGCAAGTGTGCTCATATAGCACAATTCATACACAATGGTAATTCAAAGTGCTTTACGTAAACAAGCATAAAAGAAACATAAAGGCATACTAGTGCTATCTGTCGGATGTAGCACAGTGCTCATTCAGTAAAGGCACAGCTAAACAGATGTGTTTTGAGTCTTGATTTGAATGTGCCTAATGTTGGAGCACATCTGATCATTTCTGGAAGCTGATTCCAACTGCGGGGGACACAGTAGCTGAAGGCGGATTCACCCTGCTTTGACTGAACTCTTGGAATTTCTAATTCACCTGATCCTAAAGGTCTGCGTGATCAGTTTGGTTTGTATTCCGTGGGTGTATCTGTAATATATTGCGTTCCTAGGCCATTTAGTGATTTACCGGGGGTCGCCACAGCGGAATGAACCACCAATTACTCTGGATTATGTTTTCATGTGGCGGATTCTCTTACAGCCACAACACAGGACTGAGTGGACACTAACATGTGAAACCTCAGTGGTGGGAAACACCCATAAACATTCTCCCATTCACACACACACTCATTCACTATGCAGGGGTGCAGTTTGTAGGAGGGGTAGGCAGGCGGTAACCCCCCCAAGATTCATTCATTCATTTTCCTTCGGCTTAGTCTCTATTTCAGAGGTTGCCACAGTGGAATGAACCACCAATTATTCCAGTATATATCTTACGCAGCGGATGCCATTCCAGCCGCAACCCCCCAAGATTCATTCATTTATTTACTTTTCGGCTTAGTCTCTTTATTAATCAGGGGTGCCACAGGGGAATGAACCGCCAAATTAACCAGCATATGTTTTACGCAGAGGATGCCCTTCCAGCTGCAGCCCATCACTGAGAAACACCCATACACTTTCGTTCACGTACATACACTACAGACAATTTAGCTTACCCAATTCACCCATAGTGCAAGTCTTTGGACTTGTGGGGGGAATCGGAGCACCCGGAGGAAACCCACACAAACACGAAGAGAACATGCAAACTCCACACAGAAATGCCAACTGACCCAGCTGAGGCTCGAACCAGCGACCTTGCTGTGAGGCGACAGCACTACCCACTGCGCCACCACACCGCCCCGATATCTACTTGTAAAAGTGGTAATTAAAAATGAATTGATTAATCAAGCACACCAGCACTTCAAACCCTCCCACAAATTTTCAAACCAAAAACTACGCCAATGACACCAACAGCAAAATTAGTTTCTCTAATTCTAAACCTTTATAGCAGGTCTTTGGACTGTGGGCGGAAACAGAAATACACAATAGGTATAAGAAATAGAAACAACAAAGAATTAAAATGATTTAAAACTACTTTTTAAAACTGGTTTAAAGCTGGATGTCCACCGAAGCGTTTTTTTCAAGCGGTTGCTGTGATATAGAGTATCCCAGCTTTACTGTTACAAGTTAAAAGTTTTTAGCAGAATAATTTGTTGACAGCTACATAGTACTGTCCCGCCCATGGATGGCTAGCTCAAAAGTAACACTGATGGGTACTGCGATTTCTCATCTTGCAATGGCTGAAAAAAGTAAAACGTCCCCTCAAAAAAATACAGCGCAACCATTGACAACAACAGAACCCAAATGTTCAGCTTGAGAAAAATTTTTAAAAGAGTCTAAAAAGAAGATAAAAGAGTGTAATCTTACTAAGTTGCTATTGAATTTTATTTCAGTGAACTTCCTGAAACAGAATATTGAAAAAAGCACGAGGCTTTCTTTTTTCCGCTTCATTCCCTCACAGCAAACTTAACGGTAAGAGAGGGTATTAATATGCAGTTGCTATCAAAACACTCAAGCAAATGAACAGATTTTCATTGAAGATTACTAAAACAAGCTATTTTTTTCAGTGGATTAATTTATGGATTAATTATCGTTAAAATACTCTGTGAACAACAGCTATGCTAATTATTTTCTTTGTTCTCTATTTCCACCTGGGGATCCTCATCCGGAGACCCCTAGAGATTATGCAGCATCATTGATGCAATCCAAGACCTGTGAAAAAATTATGCCAAGGTATCCATAATCCTGGACCAGGCCGTATCCTGAGCTGATGCTGTGGGGGTCATGGAAAAATGGACAGCGTGAGACTGATTCCTGAAACACCACAGAGACAGGCGAGTCTCCGCATTGATCCTGTGGGCCAGCCTGTACACCTGCTGGTGACCTACTCACATCTGCAGCTTCTCCACAATGGACTTCTAGCGTTCTCTAGCCTCTCACACCTAGAATGCAGCTCTGCACAAGATGTTTGGCCAGAGGAGAAATGGTGGTGCCCAACTGAGCCTGGTCTCTCTCAAGTTTTTTTCCTTCACTTTCATCAATTGGTGAAGTTTATTTCTCGCCACTGTTGCCACTGGCTTGCTTGGTTTGGGACTTGTGGAGCTGTGCATCGATCGATTTGCTCTTCAGTGTTTGAACTTTCAGCAGTGAAAATTAAACCACACCGAACAGAACTGAACTAAACTAAACTGAACTTCAACTCTGAAAACTGGACTGACACAATTTCAGTTTACTACAACCTCTACGTTAAGCTGCTTTGACACAATCTACATTGTAAAAGTGCTATATAAATAAATATTTATTTAATTGAATTTATTCATCTTAAGAATAACAATGTGAGCTATCAAAATAAATATTGTAAACTTTGATTTCAAGTGGACTTTAAAGGAATAAAAAAGAAAAACTGTTGACCATAGCACAGTTCATTACAGTCCTGCCTACACCTGACACCATCACAAAAGTACCAGCGACCTTACCTGTTTATCCAGGAACTCCCTGGCATCCTTCTCGATGTGTCCCTCATACAGGTTAGTGGTGAGATTCATGAGTCCCATCTTTGACAGGCCGAAATCAGTCAGCTTAATGTGACCCATTGATGTGATCAACAGACTGTGAAGAAAAAAGCATGAGCTGTGAACATTCGCTTCAGAAATAACACGACGAGCTGTACGCTTTGCCATCTGTTTCACACCTTGTAATGGAGCACGGCAATCAGTCATGGAAGTAAAAATCTCATTCATTTTTTTCTCTACAGGGGAATCGATTCGTTCAAGATAGACACGCGAGACATACCAACCCACTGATTATGTACCCCTATATACATTTCTGGAGAACGCCAATTATGTCCCAGGAGGTACGTTTTTTTGCAGTTTTTGTTTTTGCGAATCCACCAGAGGCCACTGTGTATGGTTTCTGAGATCCCCAATTTCTCTTGCAAGAGCCATTTGCGCCTGCTGTTCTCACGTAAAACCACCAGAGGCCATTGTGTACGCTTTTTGAAATGTAAAATTTCTCTTGTGAGTGTCAATTGCGCCTGCTGTTCTCGCGTAAATCCACCTGAGGCCGCTGTTGACTGACTGACTGACTGACTGACTGACTGACTGACTGACCAACCGATCAATCACCACATCTACCCTTCTCCCTAAACCCAACCGATAGTGTTTTAAAAATCAAATTCTCCGACGTATGCTGCGAGCCACAGGACAAACTGGTAACAGTGGAAAAGCAGTCCACAAGGAGGTAATCAGTCAGCTGGTAAGCATGAAAAGGAATGGTGTCTTACCCCATAACGTCCATTTTAAAGAGGAAATGAAGCCATGCGTTCCTCTTACTACATAAAAAAGTTATTTTTCTAATCAAACTCATTAAAGTGAATTGGAATTTCACAAAAATATTACAGTAGGAGAGTTAACATTTAATTAATCTACTATTGGTGTATCCTCAACATCAATGAGATATTAATGCCTTCTAGAGTTTCCTACCAGAGGAAGGGACATCACTTGGAGAAAATCAGTTTGTTACAGATTGTTCTGGCTTTTTTTACCAACCAATGTAAAGAAGTTGATCAGAATGCAAGGAAAAATGCATTTTTTATTGACTGAAATTACTAATAATACAGAAAATTTATGTTTAATGTAAATGTTTAGGTAACATAGTAGCGTCAACACAACAAACATGAAAGCTAGGCTGAATGTATGATTCAGGAGGCGGAGACAGTCAAAAATAACGGGAGTCATAAAGTTAGGACATTTTGTCTAGAAAATTTTATGTCTTTGAATAGACAAAGATTTCTGTAAGACCTATTTTTGGATGTCTTTATCAGGTTTTAAACGTCTGTTATAGAGGCTTTTAAATTTTCATGATATTTCAGACATTTGATGACTGTACTGTGTATCATATAAAGTACATAAGACATTTATTGATTGCATAAGTCTGGAACCTTTGGAAATCTACATGCACAATTTACTTTCACTATTATACTTCAGCTCCGCTCCAGCAGGGGGAGCTCTATTAGCAGCTTACTTGTCTGGTTTCAGGTCCCGGTGCACGATGCCGTAATTATGAATGTACTCCAGCGCCAAAACGGTCTCGGCAAAGTACATCCGAGCCATATCCACCGGAAGAGCTCCGATATTCTTCAGCAGAGTCGCACAGTCGCCACCTAAATCAGAAAATGGATGTGATTTCAATACAGCTCAATAACGTTCAATTGGAATCAGATTGCTGAAACTCTGTAATGCCGTACCCTCCACGTACTCCATAACCATGCACAGGTGACGGCGCGTCTCAAAAGAACAGAACATGCTGACCACGAAGGGGTTTTCAGCGAAGGTCAGGATGTCCCGCTCCACGAACGCCTGCTGGATCTGGTTCCGCAGGATCAGGTTCTGTTTGTTGATCTTCTTCATTGCAAAGCGCTGTCGAGTTTCTCTGTGCCTGACCAAATACACAGCTCTACAATCGCAATGAGAGAGAGAGACCGAAATCTGCTTTATCCATATTTACACAATGGCTTTGAGCGATTTCAGAGTACAAAAGGATGTTAACGCATTCTCACCCATACGCTCCGTTGCTGATGAGTTTGATAGTCTGAAAGTCGGATTCACAGGGCGGTTTGATGGCTTTGAGCTTCCCCTGAGAGAAACACACAGATAAAAGTGTGACTCGGGAAACAAGTCGACTGGAGCCTAATTTCACTCCCTATGGCTTTTTATGTCTATCACTTTCATCCTGGATCCCTGCTGCTGCGTTGGTGTTGCTAGTCTTTAATTAAAAATATTTTTACACAGTTTATATTTTTTTTACACTGTCAATGCTTAAAAATAGATGTTTTGAACAGCAGACAATGCTCTAGGCTAGTTTTCAACAACAGACTGGGCTCTAGGCTATTATTTACGAGCAGTTGGTGCTCTAGGCTAGTTTTGAGCAGCAGACAATGCTATAGGTTAGTTTTGAACAGCAGATGGCGATCTAGGCTAGTTTAAAACAATAGACGATGCTCTAGGCTAGTTTTGACCAACAGACGATTTTATAGGCTAGTTTTGAAAAACAGACGATGCTATAGGTAATTTTTTAACAGCAGACAGTGCTCTAGTTTATTATTTACTAGCAGATGGTGCTCTAGGCTAGTTTTGAACAGTAGACGATGGTCTAGGCTAGTTTTTAACAGCAGACAGTGCTCTAGGCTAGTTTTTAACAGTAGACAATGCTCTAGGCTAGTTTTTAACAGCAGACAGTGCTCTAGGCAATTATTTACACGCAGACAGTGCTCTAGGCTAGTTTTTCACAGCAGACGAAGCTTTAGGCTAGTTTTTAACAGCAGACAGTGCTCTAGGCTGTTATTTACTAGTAGATGGTGCTCTAGGCTAGCTTTCAACAGCAGCAGGTGCTCGAGCCTAGTTTCTAACAGCAGATGGCGATCTAGGCTAGTTTTGAACAGCAGATAATGCTATAGGCTAGTTTTTAACAGCAGACAGTGATCTAGGCTAATATTTACCAGCAGATGGCACTCTAGGCTAATTTTTAACAAAAGACACTGCTCTAGGCTAGTTCCTAACAGCAGATGGTGATCTAGGCTAGCTTTTAACAGCAGATGGTGCTCTAGGCTAGTTTTTTTACAAGCAGATGGCGCTCTAGGCTAGTTTTTGACAGTAGACAGTGCTCTGACTTTGAACAGCAAAAAGCACTATAGACTGTTGTTTTGAACAGCAGACGGTGCTCTAGGCTAGTATTTACTAGCATATGGGGCTTTAGGCTAGTTTTTAGCAGCAGACGGTGGTCTGGGCTTGTTCTTAACAGCAGACTGCACCATAGGCTAGTTTTTAGCAGCAGATGACACTCTAGGCTAGTTTTTAGCAGCAGATGGGGCTCTAGGCTAGTATTTACTAGCAGACTACGCTATATGCTAGTTTTTAACAGCAGGCTGCGTTCTAAGCTAGTTTTTAACAGCAGATGGCACTCAGGCTAGTTTTTAACAGCAGAGGGCACTATAACAATCTGTAGATGTTCATTTTTGATAAGAAGCAAAAACAAGTTTTTGTGTTCTTGTGTGAGCAAGCAAATTATACACAAAATCAATGAAAATTCGGTAATAGAGGTGAATTATCGCTGCACAACACCAATGATGCAGAATATACAATCGCCCTAATATTTGCCTCAATCGTGGCTGATGACATCACAGCATGTGGAAATCTGGAACAGCTTTTACCGACACTTTGCTTTTGATTTTATTGCAATAACATTAATAAAGCAGTAGTTGGATTTTTCCACTGGTCATTTCCACACACACACACACACACAATGCAGACTCACATCTGTGTTCAAACACCATGTAAAAATTAATTTAACATAATAGGTCCCCTTCATACAACAAACAGGTGAATATTATAATCAGATTCTATCTTTACAAAACAACACTCACTTCAGCTGAGTCGTCCGTCTCCGGTGTGTGTGGTCCCTCGCTGTCATAACTCTCCAAATTCACCATATCTGCAAGTGAAGATGATGCTTAGTTATTAAAAAATATTGTGCATTAATCAGTCACAGACTTTGAGAAATTTGATCATATTAATGTTTTCTGAAAAACAACAGAATGATGTAGTTGGTTTCTAGTCAGATCAATTCAATAGTGTCAAAATAATTCTTAGACTAGGGATGTGGTGAAAAATCATTTGAGAAATTACTCTATTCCCTCTTGAATTGATTCTAAGCTTAGTTTTTGATGCTACAGGCTAGTTTTTAACAGCAGATTTCGCTCTAGGCTAGTTTTAACAGCAGACAGCACTCTAGGCTAGTTTTCAACAGCAGACAGTGCTCTAGGCTAGTTTGTTAACAGCAGATGGTGCTCTAGGCTTGTTTTGAACAGCAGGCGATGCTCTAGGCTAGTTTTTAACAGCAGATGGTGCTCTAGGCTTGTTTTGAACAGCAGGCGATGCTCTAGGCTAGTTTTTAACAGCAGATGGCTCTCTAGGCTAGTTTTTAACAGCGGACAGTGCTGTAGCTTGGTTTTTCAACAGTAGACGGTGCTCTATGCTAGTTTTGAACAACAGACAGTGCAGTAGGCTAGTATTGAACAGCAGATGTTGCTCTATGTTAGGTTTGAAAAGCAGACAGTGCTCTAGGCTAGTATTGAACATCAAATGGTGCTCAAGGCTAGTTTCTAACAGCAGACAGTGCTCTAGGCAACATTTTAACAGCTTATGGCACTCTAGGCTAGTTTTTAGCAGCAGACAGCACTCTAGGCTAGTTTTTAACAGCAGATGGCGCTCTAGGCTAGTTTTTAACAGCGGACAGTGCTGTAGCTTGGTTTTTCAACAGTAGACGATGCTCTATGCTAGTTTTGAACAACAGACAGTGCTGTAGGCTAGTATTGAACAGCAGATGTCGCTCTATGTTAGGTTTGAAAAGAAGACAGTGCTCTAGGCTAGTATTGAACATCAAATGGTGCTCCAGGCTAGTTTCTAACAGCAGACAGTGCTCTAGGCAACATTTTAACAGCTTATGGCACTCTAGGCTAGTTTTTAGCAGCAGACTGTGCTTAAGGTAAGTTTTTAACAGCAGATGGCGCTCTAGGCTGGTTTTTAACAGCAGATGACGTTTAAGCATAGTTTTAAATAGCAAATGGCACTCTAGGCTAGTTTTAAACAACATATGGTCCCTTTTTGAACACTCTTGCAATTTACTTCAACCTTTCCTAGCTTTAATAATGATTATATTAGATTCAAGTGGTATTTGTAAGGAACTGGATGCAAGCAGAGAACGGCAGATTGTAAAGCATAAAGCGCCATTGGCTGTTAAAAAGCAAAGCTCAGAAACCCCTCAAGAGAGAATTGTTATGCACTTTGAAAATCTCAGTATTGATTTCTCTAACATTTACTCATCTTTCATCATTTTGGTGCTTGAAAAACATTTTTTTTGTCACATAATTATGTATAAGAGTGCACAGTAAATCAGAAATGCACAAATTCTTACTCCCAACAAAGTAAGACCTTCTCTAAAATTCATAAATAATCCTCCATCTGCCTGTCTATGAGCAATTACGCAGCATATTGCCAAATCTAGTCTAAAAACAACACCTCCAGTCACCACAGCAACCATCCATGCTGGACAGAAAAATGATCATTGATCTAAATATAGACTACAGTATAAATAAACAACTTACGGAGAAAACATTGAAAAAATACAAACAAAGTTCTAAAACGGCAATTAAAAGGGCATATTAGTTTTCAGTCTCAATAAAACGGCATAGGTATTTTAAAGCTGTTCTCTGGCATCTTGTGTGATGAGGTGATTAAAGTAATCAGAAGTCATTTCAAATGTACTATTACGTTTTTAAATAAAATGTTGAATTTGGATGTGTTTTACAGTGCATTAAAATTAATTATCAATTATTATTAATCTGTAATTAGAAAAACAGCAACAGTCAAAGATTACTCAAAGATAACTGCTAAATTAAATTAAATAGAAAATAAATTTAATTCAACTGGTTTCATTTTTTAATGAGGTTGTAATTTTGAGTTTTAAGTTTTTAATATTAGCATTAGTATTTTAATAGTTATTTAATATTAGTATTAGTATTCATTTTTTTATTTTAGTGAACACAAGATAATGAAAATAATATTATACAGCTGATTCATTAATTGTAAATGTACTAATGCATCTTTAAAATAAAAAGTGGTATTGTGTTTTTTTACAGTACATTACCAAACTATTAATCTGTATTAACAATAGGAATTACAGTGAAATCTTACGCAAAGATACCTGTTAAGTTGAATTTAATAATAAAAAAAGTAATTAAATTGGTTTGATTTTTTAAATGAGGTTAAATTTATGAACATGAACTATTTTCGTGAACACAAAATAATTGAACATTATTCTACACTACCTAATAAAAATCTTGTCGCCTATCCAAGTTTTAGGAACAAGAAATAATAGCTCGACTTCTAGTTGATCATTTGGTGTCAGAATTGGCTTATATGAAAGGCAAAGGCCTCTAGATTACACTTATTTTACTAAAATAAAATATGATCATGCCTTGATTTTTAATTATTTAATTAGGACAGTAAGCTCTGACTTTGCTTAGACAGAAGTCTTGTCACTTAACAGAAATAATGTCCAGTATAGAATATGAAGTCATGCTGCAGTGGAAACAGAATGGATATTGTGTATGACTCCCATGAGCTTGGAGGACTGCATCCATACATCCCTGCAATCACTCAAATCACTTATTAATAAAGCCATCTGGAATGGCAAAGAAATCCTTCCTGCAGGACTCCCAAAGTTCATCAAGATTCTTTGGATTTATCCTCAATGCCTCCTCCATCTTACCCCAGACATGCTCAATAATGTTCATATCTGGTGATTGGGCTGGCCAATCCTGACCCTTGATCTAAACCAGATTTCCGTTTATTTGCGGTTGTGAATTGCATTGTGGGATGTTGATCTCTGCTCTGTTGACCTTTGATGTTGAAAAATCAACTCTGCAATTAAACAAAGTGACTTTCACTGACTTTTATTTTTTAGTAGTTTGAAATATGTTTAAGAAATAATACAGAGAAATAAGTCTATAAGATAACAGAAAATGTGCTGGAAGTTTATTAAAGGTTTTTGTAGTGTAATATACAACACCAACCCAGACAATACAGTATATCACTTTAAACCATAAAAAATGTTAATAAAAGCCACTTTTAAAAACGTTTTAAGGTTAAAAGTCATTGGAAGAAAGATCACAGTGCCATAATGTGATTCAAAAGCATTGTTAAATAAGGAAAAATAAAAACATGAATTACAAAACATGGAAAACTGCAAACTTACAGATACTTTTAACAGCGTAGAAGAGCATTTGTAGAACAGTGAGAGAGAGAGAGAGAGAGAGAGAGAGAGAGAGAGTGTATGTTTTCATAAAAATCCTCATTACTCTCTCAGTTTGCCAGGTTCACAGCGGTTCGTACACATTTCCCAGCATCCTGGCAGGAAAACAAACTTCCCTCCGCCTGTGCGCGCAACCTAACCTGCCCCACTATTGCAACAGCGTCTCTCGGCGTGACCTACATTCCTCTCTCCTGTTTCTCATGTTCAGTTTTTTAGCCGTGTTTCTCTCAGTTTTACCTTCCAGCGGGTCTCTGGTCAGGCCGAGCTGGCTGATGATGTATCGTGGGATGTCTGCTTTCATCAGCTGGCCCTCTTTAGCGTGATCCTCCGCTGCCTCTAGGAGATGGTAAAACTCCTCAGGGTTAAACTCCTGACGGAAACAAGCAGAAATATGACAGTTCCAGTTAAATGGAGTCCAACATACTGTAAAAAAACATACAAAAAAAAAGTTTAGGTTTGGTGGTATTTTGTTACACTTCATTTTTTGTAGTGTTCTAGTTAGTTCTAGTCGTGTTTGAAGGGATAGTTCACCCAAAAAATAACATTCTGTCATCTTTTATTCATCCTTCACAAAGTTTCCTTCTGCTAAAATTGCATGTTCCATGAAGAGATCTTGAAAAAGGCTGGAAACCTGTAACCATGGTATTGTTTTTCCTACTATAGGAGTCAATGGTTACAGGTTTCTAACATTTTTCAAAATATCTTCTTTCATGTTCAACAGAAAAAAAGAAACTTATAAAGGCTTGGAACCCACTTAAGGGTGTATAAATAGTGAGTAAATGCTCATTTTTGGGTGAACTGTTTCTTTAAGTACAGTTTTATGCAACCCAAGCTCATTCTGAAAACGTAGCCCCGCGGACGTTTCTGGAGACCGCAATTTACGTGGCCGGAAGTACGTATGGCCGCATTTCGTTTTTTCAAGTGAACGCTATGAGGCGGTGAGACGCCGCTACTCTTCGCGCTCGCCGGCTGGGCTGACGGCTCGCCTCCGTGTGGAGGGCTTTCCTGGCACAACCAGTTTGTCCAGTAAGCTCGTCGTGTTACGTCGGCGGAACGGAGGCCCGGAGGAGGAGGAGGAGCCGGTCAAGTTCGACGACCGGGTCCGAGTCCGGGGAAGAGCGGTTTCAGAAATCAGGTAAGACAAAAAACAGAATCAAAAAAATAAAGCGAATGAGTTCATAATAAATGCGGTGAAATCCGAAGGGCTTTTCTTTTTCTGCACGGCTTTCATAAATCGTTGCTTAGGTTAAGGGAAGAAGGAGGAGGAGGAAGGTGGCCGGGTCGGCTGACTGGCTGGTGTGCCGCCCAGTCAACCGTTCGACATTCAGCCAGTCAGTCAGTCGGACAGACGATCGCCCGACAGCGTTCTCCGGCGACTTTTTATGCGTAGACAGCGAGGGCGCGAACGGCAACGTGCGCTCACGAGAGGCGTTAGAGACGCGAAAAAGCGCGCACAGCGGCCTCTCGCGGATTCGCAAAAACAAAAACTGCACAAATACCTACCTCCCAGGACGTATTTCGCGGTCTCCAAAAACGTCCGCGGGGCTACATTTCCAGAATGAGCCTGGGTTGTTTATATGAATCAACTACATGTAATTACTAAACACGTAATGCAATTGTTGCATTATTTGTGCATAATTAATTTTTATTACCATAGTATGTACATGAAACGTATGCAGTTATGCATTATTTATAGTATTTACCATAGTAAATATGCAGAGTGCGTAGTTATACATACTTTTTTGAAATGACCATGGTATGTATGTGGAACTTATGTAATTATTCATAGATTATTGTTTTTACTATAGTATCTACATATTACATCTATTGTAATTCACATACTATCTAGATGGAACATATGTAATTATGCATAATTTATTGTAATTAGCATAGTGTCTACATGGAATACATTGAATTATGCATAATTTATTGTAATTAGCATATAATGTACAAGGAACATTTGCATAACTTACTGTAATTAACATAGTATCCACATGTTACATGATTAATTATGCATCATTTATAGTTGCTACTAGTATTTATGTGGAACATATTTAATTATGTATAATTTATTGTTATTACCAGAATAGCTACATGCCATTGACTTGAACAGTTTTTGTTCCCACTATAGAAGTCAATGGCTACCACACAGCAGTGTTCCTCATAATATATTAGCTGATGTATTTGGAGCAGGTGGAGGGGGAGTAAATGATGACAGATGTTGCGGCTGGACTCTTGGATCTTCTGTGTTTGATAATATCGGTGGAGGGTTTTGTTGCACTGAAGCCGTTCAGCACGTTGTACTTTCTTCTCCTGACCCTCTGTGACCCTATCAGCCAGTCACCATGGCAACTGCACAACGTAGGCTGAAGACGAGACCGAGCGCAGCGACAGCAGATCAAGTTGTGTTTGTGTGTCTCTGTGTGTGTGTATGTATGTACATCTGTCTGATTGTGAGTATATGTGTGCGTGTATGTGTGTGTGTGTGTGTGTGTATGTATGTACATCATTCTGCGTGTGTGCGTGTGTGTGTGTGTGTGTGTGTTTCTGTGTGTTTATGTGTGTATGTACATCATTCTGTGTGTGTGTGTGTGTGTGTGTGTGTGTGAGTGTGTGTGCGTAAATGTGCATCTGTCTGCATGTCTGTGTGTGTATGTGTATCTGTATGTGCATCTCTTGTGTGTGTATGAGTGTGTGCATCTGTCTGCATGTTTGTATATCTGTGTGTGTACCTTATGTGTGTGTGTGTGTGCACCTCGTGTGTGTTTAGTATGAGTGTGTGCATCTGTCTGCATGTTTGTTTATCTGTATGTGCGTTTATCTCCTTGTGTGTGTGTGTGTGTGTGTGTGTGTGTGTGTGTGTGTGTGTGTGTGTGTGTGTTTATCTGTATGTATATCTCTTGTGTATGTCTATGTACACCTGTTTGTGTGTGCGTGAGTTTATGTGTGTGTGTGCATCTCATGTGTGTGTCTATGTACACTTGTGTGTGTGTGTGTGTGTGTATCTATATCTGCATCTTATGTGTGTGTGTATATACAACTGTCCATGTGTGTGTGTGTTTCTGTGTGTGTATGAACATCCTTCTGCATGTGTGTGTGTGTGTGTGTGTGTGTGATCGTGTGTGTATGTTTATCCTTGTATGTGCATCCTATGTTTTCATATGTGTGTGTCCATGTTCATCTGTCTGCATATATGTGTGTGTGTATATGTTTGTATGTGCACTGTGTGTGCGCATCTGTGTGTGTGTGTCTATGTACATGTGTCTGCATAAGTGTATTTGTGTGTGTGTGTGTGCCCGTGTGTGATCGTGTGTGTATGTTTACCTTGATGTGCACCTTATGTGTGTGTGTAAATCTGTATGTGCACCTTACAGTATGTGTGTGCGTCTGTGTGTGTCTACGTACATGTGTCTGCATATTTGTATGTGTGTGTGTATATCTGTTTGTGCACCTTATCTGTGTGTGCATCTGAGTGTGTGTCTATGTATGTGTGTCTGCATATGTTTGTGTGTTTATCTGTATGTGCACCTTGTGTGTCCATCTGTGTGTGTATGTACATCTGTGTGTGTGTGTGTGTGTGTATATGCGTATATGTGCATCTGTCTGTATGTCTCTGTGTGTATGTGTACCTATATGTGCATCTCATGTGTGTGTGTATGAGTGTGTGCATCTGTCTGCATGTTTGTATATCTTTACGTGCACCTTATGTGTGTGTGTGTGTGTGTGTGTGTTTGTGTGTGTGTGTATCTGTATGTGCATCTCACGTGTGTGTGTGTATGTACACCTGTCCATGTGTGTGTGTGTGTGTGTATCTGTATGTGCATCTCATGTGTGTGTGTGTATGTACACCTGTCCATGTGTGTGTGTGTGTGTGTGTATCTGTATGTGCATTTCATGTGTGTGTGTGTGTATGTACACCTGTCCATGTGTGTGTGTGTGTGTGTGTGTGTGTGTGTATCTGTATGTGCATCTAATGTGTATGTGTCTGTGTGTGTGTGTCTATGTACATCTGTCTGTATGTCTGTGTGTATATTTGTATGTGCTTCTTGTGTGTGTGTGTGTGTGTTTGCGTCTGTGTATGTGCATCTGTCGGCATGTGTGTTTCTGTCTGCATTATGTGGAAGTGGTGTTTGTATGCGTGTCTGTGTGTTTGTGTGTGTATTAGTGTGTTTGCATGTTCTAGTTTGTGCATGTATGTGTGTGTCTGTGCATGTCTGTCTGTCTGTGTTGTGCGCGTGTCTGTCTATGTCTATGTGTGTGTGTGTGTGTCTCTCACCAGACACTCCAGCAGTCGTGCAGGCCGTGAGATGATGATGAAGAGTTTCTTGACCAGCTCAGTGATGAAGGTCAGCTCTGAACTCTCCGATCGCTCGTACGCCTGAAAACACGAAACAATTGGATCACGCACAAACACACATGGAAACTAGGAAAACCCTGGAGAACTGGAGAAAAGTCCACATCCTCAGACAGCTTCATCTACACGCTCAGTCTGTACACGCTCAACAACTTACATTCAGACTTTCGTTTATATTGATCGGCAAGCGTAAAATTAGTTTTGTGGACAAATATAAAAACTCCTTCATAAAATTTCAGGCTTAAAGAAAAGATTTGATGATGTTTATGAATGACTACACAATAGGGCTCCATGATATTGGAAACATCTGACATTGAAATATTTTGTTTTGATGCTATATGCACTCACTGGCCACTTTATTAGGTACACCTTACTAGTACCGGGTTGGTCCCCCTTTTGCTTTCAGAACTGCCTTAATCCTTCGTGGCATAGATTCAACAAGGTATTGGAAATATTCCTCAGAGATATTGCTCCATATTGACATGATAGCATCACGCAGTTGCTGCAGATTTGTACTCACCAGACCAGGCAATGTTTTTACAATCTTCTATTGTATAATTTTGGTGAGCCTGTGTGAATTGAAGCCTCAGTTTCCTGTTCTTAGCTGACAGGAGTGTCACCCGGTGTGGTCTTTTGCTGATGTAGCCCATCTGCCTCAAGATTGGACGTGTTGTGTGTTCAGAGATGCTCTACTGCAGACCTCAGTTGTAACGAGTGGAAATTTGAGTTACTGTTGCCTTTCTATCAGCTTGAACCAGTCTGGCCATTCTCCTCTGACCTCTGGCATCAACAAGGCATTTGCGCCCACAGAACTGCCGCTCGCTGGATATTTTCTCTCTTACAGACCATTCTCTGTAAACCCTAGAGATGGTTGTGTGTGAAAATCCCAGTAGATCAGCAGTTTCTGAAATACTCAGACCAGCCCATCTGGCACCAACAACCATGCCTTGTTCAAAGTCACTTAAATTACCTTTCTTCCCCATCCTGATGCTCGGTTTGAACTGCAGCAGATCGTCTTGACCATGTCTACATGCCTAAACGCATTGGGTTTCTATCCTGTGATTGGCTGATTAGAAATTTGCGTTAACAAGCAGTTGGACAGGTGTACCTAATAAAGTGGCCTGTGAGTGTATATTGCAATATAAATGGATATAATTAGCTCTATTTGGAAAGATTTCATATATTTAAATCGACTGGAATGATCAAAGCGAGTTAATAAATGTTCATTTTAGCATTACTTTTAATTCGGTTTATTTCTGTAACTCAATATAAAAAAAATCTAATATTTGATTATTTACTTTTTACACCAGTGTATACTAGTGTGAAATTAAACTAATATTGGAAAATCTAAGCATATAATATATATATATATATATATATATATATATATATATATATATATATATATATATATATATATATATATATATATATTTATATATTGTTATTATAATTTTTTTTTAATATACTGAAATGTGAAAAAACATTTGCCAACATAGAGAACGTTTTTTTTCTATTTTAAAAAGTAAAAACTAGTCAAAAAGCGGGTTAAAAGATACATTTTTCTCACATCAGTTTTACAAACAAAGCACAGTAAACGCAAGTAGAATGTCTACTATTTGTGAAAATTATCATCATTTTTTGCTCAGAAAACAATCCAAATAAACGGCACATATTCGACTGTACAGAAACAAACAGACGTGCGCTCACTTCATGCAGGAGCTTCTCCAGGTTTTCCTGCAGCTCGTAGAAGTAGACAGTAGTGATGAGGCCTTCGCGAGATTTGGTCAGGCAGTTTCGGGACAGCTCTGCGATCTGGTGGTGGATGAAGCTGAGGACCCCGTCAGCCAGCGGCAGCACGTTCTCAGGAGAGTACGACTCGATGAAGTCCGCCAGACGCTCCTCCATCTGAGCCGTCGCCTAGGTATAACGCATAAAATTCTTAAATTATGAGCAGAATCACCTGTTTAGTCATCACTTTAGACTTTACGCTAGAAAATCATTATAATATTCGCTCTAAGTGACGTTGGTGAACTGGCAATGGTTTCTGCTGTCCTGATGTCAGCTGCAGATGTGAATGAGTGGCGGAAAAGAGTAGTTCCAAAAGGGTTTTTGAGACTTTCTGTGTTTGATTTTCTTTTATATACACGATTATGCCATAGAATGGAGATTCAGTGCTTTGATGCATGTATATATTTTTAATAAATAATAAATAAATAAATAACATATATATATATATATATATATATATATATATATATATATAAATATATATATACACACTCTACACATAAATTTAAGTAAACGCAAACTTTTATTTTGTATGTGATTAGTTGTGATTAATTACATCGAACATCATCCCAATTGTTTATTTTCATTCTGGAATGAAATATGTTCTGTTAAACATGCTTTGATATGTTTGCTCCATATAGTTGGCAAATTTCCCACCATCTGCTCGTATGGCAGCAAGTTGAAAAACTCAATCCATGTGTGAAATGTATGTCCAAAATGCTTAAATAACATTCAGCAAACATTACACGACATCTATATATGCATGTGATTACCAAAATATAATATTTTACAAACACAGAAGTTCCATTTCTGAATGGCAAAATCCCTTTTGCCCTTTTGACTTTCATTGTAGTTTTTTACAAGACTATGGAAGTCAGTGAAAGCCAAAACTGTTTCGCTACAGGCATTCCTCAAAATATCTTCTTTTGTCTTCACAGGAGAAAGGAAGTCATAAAAGTTTGTGAGAAGTAAACAATGACAGTGTGTGTGTGTGTGTGTGTGTGTGTACGTGTTTTTGTGACATATCAGGACACAAATCTGTATAATGACATGGGTATGACACAGGTATTACAAAAAGGAGGTGAAATATGAGGACATTGGTGACATCCTCATTTCTCAAAATGCTTATAAATCCCACAGGATGAGTTTAATCAGAGAGTAAAGCTGCACACAGTCTCATGTGATGGTTGGGTTTAGGGGTGGGGGCAATATAATATATGGTTTGGACAGTATAAAATGTATGGAAACCTATGTAATGTACCCACTTTTCACAAAAACAAACTTGTGTGTGTGTGTGTGTGTGTGTGTGTGTGTGTGCGTGTGTGTGTTTTGCTAACCTTAGGAAAGCGCTCCTTGTAAACATGGTTCATCATGACAATCTCATTGTCATAGCAGGAAGATGATCGTCCTGGACTGTGGACACAAGCGGAGATTAAATTAAATCTGAATATGCATAATTAAATAATAACTTGTTATTATTAATCATTAATATTCATAAAATTGGGCTCATTTCTTTACACAGCTGTAGAAAGTGAAGTAAATCTTTGGATAAGCTGGATGTAATGTAGACTAACCATTTTCCGTACACAACAATGTTCCGTACAGATGACCTTTTAACGCTAATCTCTGAATAAATACTTACAGGTCGTAGGCAAGCTATATATCTGTGTAATCTTTATTTCTCACTCTTTCAACCCCCTGCACAACAGAGACCTTCCTACTATATGTTTCAGAGTAAATTCAGTAAGTTTGCTTCGTCCACCTAATGCGCTTAAAAACAGGCAGTGGGCAAGCTTAAAGTGCTAGTGTCGCCTGGTAGGGGAGACATTTAAAGCCACGACAATATGCTTTTGCATTTAATTTCTGCATCACACAGTATTACAGTCTTTATGAAGTGACTATTATGTTATCACAAATTGTTAAATAAATTATCTTTTGTTGATTAAATGCTTTGAAATGGGGATGTTTAAACGTCGGTTGTGGGTGATGACCGCATGGCGCAACTCTACGCCAGAGAGAGCCTGAGAGACAGGGTGCAAACGCTGTTTGGATCTCCATTGTGCAGTGATGATGTTTATATTCATAAAAGGTCAGTCAAGTTAGCGTTAATGTGCATGAATTTAATGTTGTAATATTTTAAATTGTCATGCTGTAATAAAACAAACATGATATAAAAATGAAATGATTGTGAAGCTATTTCATTTCAAATTTATAAAATTTAAAAAGTCATTAAATATATCATTGACTTCAAGTTTAACACAATAATGGTATATTCTGACATAAGATTTTAATAGGACTTCAAACAATGCCCATTTTGCCAGTGAATTAAAGTTGTGCGCCCTGTACGGAACACTATTTTAGTTGTGTATGGCAGGGATTCCCATACTTTTTTATTTCGGGACCCTGCTAGGCTAGTAATTCAAACTCAAGACCCACCATAATATTTTAATATTAAAAAATGAGTAAAAAAACGTGTCCATTCAAAGCAGTCAAAAATATATGGTGTGTGGCTGTTTGGATTTTGCGATTTGATATGCACAAAATGAGGCTTGAAGTGCTTTTTGTGGGATGCTGGCTGCAACTGTGATCTTTTTTTTTCAGAAGAGAATATGATCAACCTTAGTTGACATATTCAGAATGTTTTGTTGTCAGGTGTCGTTTAAGTTTTAAGGGTTTCATGAAAAAACTAAATAGGTTTTTAATCCACTACTACAAGCTGGGAAAACGTCAGATAAATATGCCAATGCAATTAACGTTATTGCTGAATAGATCTAATATTAACACATTTGCTTGAGGAAGGAATGATGGGGGTAGTTACATTACTATTACTATTTTCCATAACATCTACGTCCTTCCAAAACATTAGGTGACGTTAAAACTAACAGATAGCATTATAGCTATTTATTGATTAGCAATCTGTCAACGCTGGGATGTAAAAAATAGGGGACAACAAAAAGCTTCAAATGATAGAATACATAGCAAACATTAGAAAATATTGACAATAAAATAAAAGGCTTAGCCTATTAAAATCAATGGCCTATGCAGAAATTAAATAAAGCTACAAAATCTACTTCACTTTTGATTGTATTTGCATATTGATTACAGTTACTATAGTTATTTAGTGAAGAGCAGCAAATGAATCTCTCATTGTGTTTTGTTTGATAACAGATAAGTTAATGTAAGAATGCACAGATCTATAATGAAGCATTCGACTACTTTAGTAACTGTTTGTGCTCATTTAAGAGAAAATTAGAAGTGTTTAAAATAAAACACGCAGGACAGAGCAAAATAAATAAATAAATAAATAAATAAACGGAAAAACAAAGCGAAAAAAAGAAGCACTTTTCCGATGGTCCCTTACTGAGAGCTCCGCTCAGCTCGAGCTCTCCCGGCTAAACGCAGACTGCGAGGGCTCAAACGGAGCAGTGCTCGTAATGTCGAGCAAAAAAAAAAAAAAAGAGACAGCTGTAAGACATAACCAGCTTTGTCCTTTTGCAAGAAAAACACTTTAAATCTTTTTAGGGTAAGAGGTTTTTGAGTTATTGACGTCTATCGTACTGGTTTGATTCACCGCAATGTAAATATAGCTGCAGCTATGTGACGTTGCGCGACCCACCTTTGTTCACTGTGCGACCCACAGTTTGAAAACCCCTGGTGTACAGAGCACTGTTAATACCTATCATCTTCCGTACACATGCGAAGGCGGTACTTTTCCCATCTTTTCTCAAAAACTACTGCTCCAAAAGACATCAATCAAGATTTGGATTGTGCAATAGGTATTCCCTCAGAGAAGGAACACACAAGCATGCTCATCTGGCTTTCAATGACGGAGGATTGGTCGTTTAAGTGCGCTGAACAGCGAAAAGTGTACAGAACATGGTTAGTCTATGTTAAGTGTGTGTGTGCACCTGAGACTGCGCGATCGAGGCCGCATGTGCGGAGATCGGCGTCCGTCATCATCCGTGATGCTCTCCGTGCTCCCGAAGTGTTTGGTCAGGAAGTGCAGCTCGTCCAGTGTGGGCTGAAACGGCAACTGATGGAGCCGCTCCTGAGACGAGCTGGAAGACTGAACAAACAGCAGACACCAGTCAACAATACGTGTTAATATATGGGTAATATGGACAATGTACAGCTGCTTTCATCCAAAGTTGCAAACTTAAAGGTTCTCCCAAGGTTTTTTTCTTCACTCTCCTATTGGTGAAGTTTTTTTCCCTCTCCGCTGTCGCCACTGGCTTGCATGGTTCAGGATCTGAAAAGCTACTCATCGATGAATTTGCTCTTCAGTGTTTGGACTCTCAATAATGACTTCAAACCACACTGAACTGAGCTAAACTGAACTGAACTTAAACACTAAAAACTGAACTACCCTGATCCAGTTACCATGACCATTTATGTGAAGCTGCTTTGACACAATCTACATTGTAAAAGCGCTATACAAATAAAGCTGAATTTAGTTGAATTAAAGGGATAGTTCACCCATGAATTAAAATACACTAACTAAATCACATACATTTAATACACAAATACACTTCATTGAACATGTACACATCATCTATATACTATATAACTACAGGTTAACTGTTCATATATAAGAACTTTAGCTATTACAGGCTATTAGTTAGGGGTTTATAAGTGTGTGTGTGTGAATGTGAGAGTGTATGGGTGTTTCCCAGTACTGGGTTGCATGACATCCCAGTACAGCAGGAAGGGCATCCGCTGCGTAAAACATATGCCGGAATGAATTAATGAATTAAAAACTTTTTGTGTTTCTCTTTCTTGTCTCCAGAATATAACTTCGGTCTTTTCACTGATTCTATTGAATGCTCATATATATGGAGCCAAAGACACCACAGGAGCAACTTTCTAAGGTTTAAAGCCTCCTCCATTGTCTGCCACAATGCACTTGATCTGTCTAACTTCATTTATTTGTGGAGATGCTCGGTGTGTCTCGCACAGTAAATCCAGGACAGACTTGTAAAAGGAGATTACGGACCCCAATGGGTGAAGTGAATGGCAAACGACGCATGCAGGCCTGTGGTAATGATTTTCTCTCCTACACGCTGCTCCTCTGTGCTGCTGAATGAATGACTTTGGCTTTAACAACAAATATATGTCACGCTAGAGTCAATAACAGGCCCAAAGCAACTTAAGCTTGAGAATAACCTCGCTCTTTCTTTCCAAGATCACCTTCACCAACGGCCAGTTAAAGCATCATCTACATCCTCTGAAAGCACTACATTTGCAGCTCAAATGGTCGGATGAACATGAACGTATTAATTTAGGAGCTTTGTTAAGAAAAGAACAAGTAAAACGTAGTATATACTGATTTTCTTCACACTTTTGAAGACACTGTATATCCGATATTTATATTTATGAGCAGAATCTCCAGTTCAGCTCATTATTTCCAGGGGAAAATAAAAACAATCCTTTTTTTAGCTTCAGAGGTTTTATGCAACATCTTTGATCTCAGGAAAAGATGGCAAGTTGCTTTGATGAAACTCACATTTAAAGCAGAATTATAAATAAACTTAATATTATAATATTTTAATTAATATTTTCTAAACATCAGCAAAACCAAGGAGCTGGTGATGGATTGCAGGAGAGAGAAGAAAGAACACACTCCCATAACCTTCAACGGGACACCAGTGGAGAGAATTAGCACTTTCAAATTTTTTAGAGTACACATCGCTGAGGATTACGCAGTGCAGAGGATGGCACAACAGTGCCTCTTTTTCCTCAGTCGTCACAGGAGGTTTGGAATAAGCTCTCACATCCTCCGCTCATTCTACAACTGCACTGTGGAGAGCATCCAGTCTGGCTGTATCACCACCTGGTATGGAAACAGCACCAGCAGCAATCGCAAAGGTCTACATAGGATTGTGCGAACTGCTGGACGCGTAGTAGGAGGTGAGCTTCCCTCTCTCCAGGACATCTACACCAGGCGGTGCATGAGGAAAGCTAAGAGAATTATCAGCGACTCCAGCTACCCAAGCCATAGACTTTCCTCTCTGCTACCCTCAGGCAGACGGTTCCGCAGCATCCGGTCAAGCACCAGCCGGCTGAAGGAAAGCTTCTTCCCTCAGACTATCAGACTGATGAACACTTAACACACCCCACACAGACTCTTCCATACCCCTCACTGCACACCATCAATATGTAGCATGCACTGCACTTTAACCAATTCATATTTAAATACTACTATTTTACATCATCCTGTTTTTTTGGGAGTATGCTGTTGTATGTTGTTGTATTTTGCACCGTCTGTATTTTGCACTGTCTGGAGCCAGCACCTAAGCTTTTCACTCATCATAGCACACGTGCTGCTGATGATGTGACAATAAAATTGATTTTATTAATATACATTCACAAGAAATAGCTCTGAAAAATGTCCCCTAATAATAATATTGTCATGATCATCAGCGATCTGCAAGCCTTTAATATTATTATTAAGCATGTACTATCACCTGGACTTTGATTCTGCCACCTTATAAACTACACCTCCCATCATGCACCTCACACACACACCTGTTCCCGTTCACTGATGATTACACACACATAGCTGGAAGCTCACGTGGGATTGTTTTGCATTCTTCCACGTGCTTCTGTTACGTGTTGTTTTTTGATCATGTGACTCGCTAACTAGAATCAGCTGTTCTGTCGGCAGCCCAGCGGTTTGTATTCAAATCCACCTATTTAAGAAGCGGTAGATCTGTGCTTCAATTGTCAGTGCGTTATTCTTGCTCATGATTTCTCTGTAATTTGTCAGAACCTTCATTGATCTGGTGCACTTTTTTACTTCCTGATTCTGCTACTTCATATCCCGACTCTGGACACTTTGAACTTGTTTGCACTTTGAGATTTTTGACTTCATATTATATCCCTTGCATTTGGATCCATCTGACTAGTGTGTTATTTTCTGAACAGTTAAAGTCAGAATTATTCGCTCTCCTGTGAAGTTTTTTTTCAAATTTCCCAAATGATGTTTAACAGAGCAAGACATTTTTTACAGTATTTCCTAGAATATTTTTTACTCTGGAGAAAAAGTCTTATTTGTTTTATTTCTGCAGTTTTTTTTCTTTTAAGCCATTTTAAGGTCAATATCATTAGCCTCTTTAAGATTTTATATTATACTTGAAATTTTTTTCAATTGTCTACAGAACAAACCATCGATATACAATGTTCTGCCAAATAACCATGACTTTCCTAATTACCTAGTTAAGCCTTTAAATGTCACTTTAAAGGTTCATGACACCCCCCACTTTCGGTTCAAGTTTACCTCAGAATTTTTTTAAAAGATGCATGATAATGGGCGTGGAGCTTCGCGAGCAAAGAACAGGTGTGGGCGTGGCCAGCAGAGCAGGGGAGAAGGAGGGGAGCGAACAACTGTTGTCAGTCGGCTCACAAAATGAGACACAAACCGTGAGGAGACCCATGATTTCATAGCTTACAAAGTTATAATGCAAAGAAATAAACAGTAATTTAATATCATGCTACATTTATCATTGCACACACACACAACAACAATTTATATAATTTAAAAGATAATCATGCTCATATAAAAACTACATGAGGACCTCTCCCTCAATTCCCGGGTCTGAATGCAGACTCAGTGCAGCAGGTCTCGTGCCCTGCCTATTTTAACCATTATCCCTGCTGGTAATCTGGAGGATTTAGGCGAACACAGCAGCACGGCGATGTGTCTAAATGTGAACGAACTCCTGATAAAAGACAACGTCCGCCATTCTCCAATTCTTGTGCTGCTCTCCTGGCAAAAATGCTTGCTGGACACATACAGCTTTGCTGTATAGGCCTTGACAGCATCACAAGGAAACCATGCAACAAACCTTGTAGATCATGGAAACAAACACAAACGACCCTTCATGAACAGCTAAATACTGTGTGCCGTGGGTCCGTGGACGCAGTCTTACCCAATCATCAACGTAGGATCACACAGCTTGGCACTGGCAGGTCTGCCTCGCCTTCGGAAAGCACGTGCAGTCATGAATAATTAAGCAGCCGGCTCTTCTCATAGGATAAGAAAACTCCGCTATGAATAATAATGAGAAACCGACGCGTCATCTTTGCACTTGCAGTTCTGCGCTACGTCGCCGATTTTGATCCCGCCCCAAAAATCATTTCAAACCTGGAAGCTGAAATAAGCTGACAAAAGCTCAAAATTACCCTGTTTTCTCCACAATAAAAGCTGACAGGTGCTAACATCGTCCTAACTGATGCTCAACACACACAAACCTGTTCGAATCACAAAAAAAGTGCTCGAGGGTTTCGTGAACCTTTAAGCTGAATACTAGCATCTTGAAAAATATCTAGTCAAATATTATTTACTGTCATCATGGCTAAGATAAAATAAATGAGCTATTAGAGATGAGTTATTAAAACTATTATGTTTAGAAATGTGTTGAACAATCTTCGGTCACACTTTACAATAAGGTTCATTAGTTAATGTTAATTAATGCATTTACTAACATGAACAAACAATGAACAATACATTTACTACTGTATTTGTTCATGTTAGTTAACGTTAGTTAATGAAAATACAGTTGTTCATTGTTAGTTCATGTTAACTCATGGTGCATTAACTAATGTTAACAAGCATGGACTTGAATGTTAATAATGCATTAGCAAATGTTCAATTATGAGTAATAAATGCTGTACAAGTGTTGTTCATGATTAGTTCATGTTAGTAAATGCAATAACTAATGAACCTTATTGTAAAGTGTTACCCAATCTTCTCTTCATTAAACAGAAATTGGGGAAAAAATAAACAGGGGGGCTAATAATTCTGACTTCAACTGTATATTCCTGATATTTGTCTAATTTGTTTTTGCGACTTCATCACTTTCACCTGTTTTGATTATCCTGTGTTGACTTTCTATTTGTGCATACTTTAGTTACACAGTATCTGAATATTTCTTGAATAAAACATGAATGCATCAGCTCTGTGTGGATGAGTTTGTACCGTTGAGCTGGGTGTGTTGGTCCCATATCCAGACGAGGGAAGAGAAGCCAGAGACCAGCGTCTGCCATCAGCCCTGCAGGCAGAAACAGACAAGCACATCACAATACAGAAGCAGATTTTGCACAGTAGCCACAGCTAATCAGGCCCTTCTGGATTTTGTCCAGTGGATCTTGAGATTAAAAAAAAAAACAATTTTAGATTTTCTTATTTATATTTTTGTGGAGGTGACACAGTGGCTCAGTGATTAGCACAGCAAGAAGGTTGCTGGTTGAAGTCGCGACTGGGCCTGTTGGCATTTCTGTGTGGAGTCTGCATGTTCTCTCTGTGTTGGTGTGGGTTTCCTCTGGGTGCTCAGGCTTCCCCCACAGTCCAAAGACTTGTGCGATAGGTGAATTGGATGAACTAAATTGGCCGTAGTGTATGAGTATGTGTGTGAATGAGACTGTATAGGTCTTTCCCATATATGCTGGAATAGTTGGCGGTTCATTACGCTGTGGTGACCTCCAAAAAAGAATGAATAATTTTAGTGAAAAATAAAATGTTGAAGCAAATAATGCCATACGTTCTAAGAAAAAATGTAACAAAATCACACACACACACGCACACACACACACACACACACACACACACACACACATATATATATATATATATATATATATATATATATATATATATATATATATATATATATATATGCAAAATTTTATCATAAATGTTTATACATCATTATACATCTTAATCTCAAAGTGAGCTTTGAAGCCTAAGGGCTCTATTTGATGATCCATGCGCAAAGCGCAGGTCGCAAACGCTTTCAGGGCGTGTCAGAATCCACTTTTGCTAATATAACAACGGAAAAATCCGCTTTGCGCCATGGTGCAGGATCTAAAAGGGTTGAGTTTATTCTCTTATTGAGTTATAGGTGTGTTTTGAGAACAAGCCATTCAGAGTCTCATCTCCCATTCCCTTTAAGAGTCAGCTGCGTCGCGCCATGGCACATTTGCTATTTACATGACATAAAGTAAGTGTAAGTGGAAAAACTGAGCATTTCACTAGCGAGAAAACAGTTAAACAGAGCATCTACAGCGCGAGAATGAGAGATAAATTATCTACTTTCACTTTCGCTCTTTGTGGATAGGGAAACCTTGTACGCACAGACATCAATTAGTTTACAAATAATTTTTTCGTTTGTCAAGCGCAAAGATTTGTTTCAAAACTATTTCTAAATTTGGTCTATTGAAAAATCTATAATACAATAGTTTCTCAAAATAGCAACGTGCCAGCAATGCGCCTCAGAACGCCTTCCTTTTTAGTCCTGAACACCTATGGGCGCACATATGAGCGCAAATGCATTTGCTATTTAAACAGCGTGGTGCAAAAAAACAAAACTCTTGCACCAAGCTGAAACTAGCAAACAACAATTGCGTCACGCCTTGCGCCACATTGCGCTGGGTGTATGATAGGGCCCTAAATTTTTTATTTTACTTCTCATGGTAAATATAACAGGACTGTAAATTAATATAATTAAGTACATTTACTTTGCATTGTTCAATATGAATGTAGATAAACAGTGATTAAAAAGTTATTAAAGTAGTTGTAATTGAATTAAACTGACTAAAAGGGAAGGTATTTATAAAGGTAGGATTTTTTTAAACTTCACATTCACATAAACAAATAATATTTATGTAATTTAATATTTTATTGATTTATTTTTAATATTTTATTAAATTTGTATAATTTTTGTAATAGTAATTTTTTCAGTATTATTATTATTATTAATAGTAATAATATTAATAATAATAATAATATTAATAATAATAATAATAATAATAATAATGATAATAATAATAATAATACTATTAATAATAATAATAATAATTATGTTTCTTAAGCATCAAATCTAAATAATTTCTGAAGGATCGTGAAGGTAAGAATACTGCTGTTTGTCAGCTTATAAAGAACATTAAAAAATAAAAATGAGTTATTTGAAGTTATAATAATACTCCACAATGTTACTATTTTTTGTACAAAAAAAACAACAAAAAAAACAAAAGCACTGACCTCAAACTCAAGTGTCACATTTTTTCCAGCATTTTAGAATTACAATAAAAGCAAAGCGTGCAATTTCTGTGCCACGGGCAGCTTTACAGAAACACTAAACCACTGTCTAGTTTGAATGCGAGAAGCTTGGTTTCGGCTGAACGTCAGCAGGGTTTGAAACTTGTCCGTCTGATATTTCTGTGTAAAGCTTTAAATGTTGAGAACAGCAAGTGTTCAGATTTTATAAGTCTATTTCATGTGGTTGCATTCTTGTGTGGTCGCTAGGCATCCGTTTCATTTCTGCACAGTTTACTGCATGTTTCGGAGCGGGCAACGTTCCCGACGGGGTCATTAAAACTGTCATCCCACAACATGAGAAGAGCTCGCTCACAGGAGAACCAAAACAACGGTTCCACATAACGAAAGCATGAAAAGAGCTTCTCAGTAGGGCTCAAACTAGCTTCAGTACCCATCAGACATTTCTTGATCATGTACCGTATTTACCTGAAAGTACTTACCCCCTTAGCTTAATTTTAGTGGTGTTAATGATTAATTTTGACTATTAATGAAGATAAAAGATAATATAATAAAATGAATATTACATAATTTTGTATGGTATATACACTGTAAAAAATCTTGCTGACAACTTTGAGCTGAATCAAATGACCTTTTCTAGTCATCTCAACTTATATCAATCTGACTCAACGGGCTTTATTTTGATGATCTAGGCGCAAGGTCTAAATGGCAGGGAGCAAAAGCATTAAAAGTGTGTCTGAATCCACTTTTACTATTTTAAGGACGAAAAACCAGGCTCTGCGCCGCCGCACATCATCTGACAGGGTTGTGCTTATTCTCTTAATAAATTATGGGTGTGTTTTGAGCATTTGAGAGTCAGTTGCATTGCGCCGTGGCGCATTTGCTATTTACACGGTGGAAAAACTAAATGGTTCATTAGCGAGAAAACAGTCAAATAGACCATCTGTAACGTGAGGATAAAGAACGAGCCTCCTCCATTCGGGCACTTTATTTTTCACCCCAAACTCATTCTGAAAACGTAGCACCGCAGACATTTCTGGGGACCGCGATTTATGTGGCCGGAGGTACGTATGGCTACATTTCCTTTTTTCAAGCGAATGCAAAACAGAGTCCAAAAAATAAAGCGAATGAGTTCATAAAGGGTGAAGAATGCGGTGAAATCTGAAAACGCTGTCAAAATCAGATGAGGACTTTTCTTTTCTCTAGACGGCTTTTGTAAATCGTTGCTTGGGTTTGGGGAAGGAGGAGGAGGAGGGTGGCTGGGTTGGCCGCTTGGCCGATTGGCCGGCCGCCCAGTCAATGGTTCAGTCATTCAGTCAGTAAGTCAGTCGGACAGACGGCCGCTCGACAGCAACAATTTACACGAGAACAGTGCAAAAGAGGTTTGAGACGCGAAAAAGCGCGCACAGCGGACTCTCTCGGATTCGCAAAAAAAAAAAAAAACTGCAAAAATACGTTTCGCGGTCTCCAGAAATGTCCGCAGGGTTATGTTTCCAGAATGAGCCTGGGTTGTTATTTTTGCTTTCTCTTTCTCTCTTTCATGGATGAGGAAATATGTTGTACGCACAAACATTAATTAGCCTACATTATTAATTTAGTTTGTTAAGTGCAAAGATTTGTTTCAAAACTATTTCTAAACTCAGTTCTAATTTCCACCAAACCAATAAATGAACAATAATAACGAAGTGTGGTTAAAAAAAACTAAGCTATATCCAAACACACGTCCTATGCCCTACGTATATGGTCCAAAACCTGACAGGTGGACAAATCAAAGCTTGTTTTTAATAAAAATAAAGAGTTCAGAAGCAAAACCCTTTAAATCTGTCAGACCTCTTTTCTTGTAAATGAGCATTTTATATCAGACTCCTATAATTAGGTTCAGAAGGTTTATTTTATAGATAATGATGAGGTTATTAGCTTGCAAATAAAATAACTTATTTTTTATCTGCTGTTATCTTTAGACAATTCTCTGGATTTTAACAAGGTAGATTTTCTCTTGCGTCAAAACCAGCTAAATCCACTTTTCCATGCAAAAATCCAGCGTGTTTCGGCACAAATTAAGCCCTGAGTATGAGTAACACTAGCTTAAGTCACACTTCACACCATTTAACCTGTTACTGGCTTATTACCTTTCAACTGTTAGGATATTAGCTGTTTTTAGCGCTTATAAAGTATGATCTTATTGTACATCCTTAATCCTACCCCAAACCCAATTACTATGTTGCTAACTAATAAGCAGCTAATTATTAACTCATTGAGCTAAAAGTCTTAGCTAATAGCATAAACTGTACATGTGTGATAATATGTAAACAGTATGTCTAATTTGGAGTTGCAACTGATATCCTGTAAATTAATTTCTCAATTTAATGATAAAATGTGACTTATTCTGATGCTATTTTGACCCGGTGTAACTTATTTTCTGGAAATATTGTCTGGCTGACTTGTGTCGTGATGTACTGAGGCTCGTGTGTTCGTTTGTCCGGCAAATATTTCATGTTTCTGTGTTCGCAGTTAGCCGTAGCTCTGTGCTTTGGACAAAATTGATGATACATGCTGTGCAACTATCCTGCTGGACGAGATTTATATTGGCAAAATCCAATATTAGGCCTCGCAGGGCTGGAGCGCGTCAGACGGGGAAAAAAACGCAGATCAATCGTCTGTCTCTCATCCATTCGTCTCTCCTTTGCACTTGTCTTTCAGATAAACGGCTGTGGGACGGCCTGTCATTCACTGGGGAATGATGATGCTGAGATATGTGTGTGTGTGTGTGTGTGTGTGTGTGTGTGTGTGTGTGTGTTTTAGCCGTCTGGAGGATCTCCTTCCTGCTGCTTACAAACACGTCCATTTATAAACACTTCCTCAAAGCTCTGAACTAGAACAAGAAGCAACAAAAGTCCCAACATAAAGGAGTGTAAGGTACCTTAACAAATGTAAGTGGATTGAACTTAAAACAATTAAGTTGTAAAAAAAAAATCTCAAGAATTGTGTAGTTTCAGCTCATATTAAATAAGTGGTTTGAACACATAACTTTTTTCGGAGTGAGAATGCAAACAAACAGATATATAATATAATATAATATAATATAATATAATATAATATAATATAATATAATATAATATAATATAATATAATATAATATGATATAATATAATATAATATAATATAATATAATATAATATAATATAACAATAATATAATATAATATAATATATAGTAAAAATAACAAAAATATAATATAATATAATATAACAATAATATATTATAATATAATGTAACAATAACATAATATAACAATAATATAATATAATATAATATAATATAATAATACAAATAACAATAATATATTATAATAAAATAACAATAATATAATATAATAATACAAATAACAATAATATAATATAATAAAAATAACAATAACATAATATAATATAATATAATATAATAATAATAAAAATAACAACAATATAATATAATATAATATAATATAATATAATATAATATAATATAATATAATATAATAAAAATAACAATAACATAATATAATATAATAATAATATAATAATAAAAAATAATAATAATAATAATAAAATAACATTAATATAATAAAATATAATATAATAATAATAATAATATAATAATAATAATAATCCCAACAACAATAATAATATAATAATAATAAAAATAACAATAATATAATATAACATAATATAATTAGGAACAAAAATAATAACTTGACTTTTAGTTGATCATTTGGTATCAAAAGTGGCTTATATGAAAGGCAAAGGCCTCTAGATTACGCTTATTTTACCAAAATAAAATATGATCATGCCTTGATTTTTAAATATTTAATTAGGACACTAAGGTCTGACAGGGAATAGCAAAGAGATTGGTCTTGCAGGACTCCAAGAGTTCATCTAGATTCTTTGGATTCATCTTCAATGCCTACTCCTTCAACGCTCAATAATGTTCATGTCTGGAGACTGGGCAAGCCAATCCTGGAGCACCTTGACCTTCTTTGCTTTCAGGAACTTTGATGTGGAGGCTGAAGTATGAGAAGGAGCGCTATCCTGCTGAAGAATTTGCCCTCTCCTGTAGTTTGAAATTTAATGGACAGCAAAAATGTCTTGATACCTCAGGCTCTTGATGTTGCCATCCACTCTGCAGATCTCTTGCACGCCCCCATACTGAATGAAACCCCAAACCATGATTTTTCCTTCACCAAACTTGACTGATTTCTGTGAGAATCTTGGGTCCATGCGGGTTCCAATAGGTCCTCTGCAGTATTTGTGATGATTGGGATGCAGTTCAACAGATGATTCAGCAGAAAAATCCACCTTCTGCCACTTTTCCAAATGATCAACCAGAAGTTATTATTTGTTACTCTTACAACTGGGATAGACGACAAGACTTTTGTCAAGCAGTTTATATTGAAGATATTACAGTAATAACTGTTGTACACTGGGCCATTTATATTGTATGAAATTATGAATCTAACAAGTGAATCTATGCAGACCCCTCACCCCACAGAACTGTGTGGCTATAAAGAAGCTGAGATTTTCTTTGCTGTGGCGGCCATACTAAGCCTTTCCCCATTCATAGTAATGCGAGTGAACTGTCTTTGTATATCTATAGTCTTTGATAATGGCCACAATAAAAACACTGGAGTATTTATGTGTGAAAGGGCTAGGGGACTTTGGCAGGCTGTCTCAAACAAGCTCTGGCAGATGAGATGAAGTGTGCTGCTGGTTGTTTATGTGTGGATTTACCGTCTGGATGAAGCGAAGGAGAAGTGTGCGGGTGCGCTGGGAGAGAAGGTCCTCGGGCTGTCCAGTGGGCTGCTTCCTATGAGCAAACACACACACACATACACACAAACACACACACACACACACACACACACACACAAAGATGAACACACTCTGTAAATCACAGACGAAGGACATGTGTACGGGACGATTTTCTCACCAATATGTCCTGGCAGAGGAGAGTGAGGTCGGGGAAGAGTTGGAGATGTGCTGGTCAAGATCAGACTCTTGCGATTACTGGTGCGACAGCTGCAAAACAAAAAATAAACACACCATCAGGGCAATCTCACACAGACAGACACACACACACACACAAATGCAGTTGAGGTCAGAGTTATTAGCCCCCCTGATTATTTTTTTACCCAAATTCTGTTTAACAAAGAGATTTTTTCAATACAATTCTACACATAATAGTTTTAATAACTCATCTCTAATAACTGATATTTGATCTTTGCCATGATGACAGTACATAATATTGACTAGATATTTTTCAAGACACTTCTATACAGCTTAAAGTGACATTTAAAGGCTTAACTAGGTTAATTAGGTTAACTAGGCAGGTTAGGGTAAGTAGGTAAATCATTGTATAATGATGGTTTGTTCTGTAGACTATTGAGAAAATAATATAGTTTAAATGGGCTAATAATTTTGACCTTAAAATGGTTTTGAAAAATTAAAAACTGCTTTTATTCTAGCCAAAAGAAAACAAATAAGTCTTTCTTCAGAGGAAAAAATATTATCAGTAACACGATCACCAGCGATCTTAACTCCCTAAATCGCTGGTTTGAACGCACAATCACTATGGACTACAAATCCACCATTTTTGGACTACATTTTCATACATGCACTTCACTCACACACACACGTTCCTCATTCTGACTGATTACACCCTCACCACCTGAGGATAGTCAAAGACTGATTACACACACTACTTAAGCAGCATACACACTCATTCCCATCGCGGACTCTTGTTTACTGTAGGTGACATTTCAACGTGTTTCCTTAGTCTTGTTTTTCTGTGTGTTTACCCTAGCCTTATCTAGTTATCCCTGTCTGCCGCCTGCCTTTCGGCCTCTCGCCTGTTATTCTGACCACGATTCTGGATTGTCTACATACATCTGTTTGCACCAGAGTTGACCATTGCTTGCCTGACTGCTGAATAAACATGCATGTGGATTCAAACTCAGTTGTCTCTGTCACTCCCCGTGTTACAATGAGACATACTGTGAAAATACTGGGGGGGTAATAATTTTGGCTTCAACTATATGTATACATGAAGCAAAGGAGAGGTGAGCGGGTGTTCTGAGAGAAATATTTACTATAATATATAGATAAATACTAAACTATATGAATGATATTTTACAATTTAAACATTTTTGTTTTAAATACTATAGTACATCACAAGGGAAATAAAAAAATAAATATCATATAAAATAAATCTAAAATTCTAAAATATTTTTGTGTTTCTGTGTCTGAACTAGGTATGAGTTATAGTTTTGGTTTGATTTTAGTAAAGATCTAAGTTTTTTGTGTGATTTTGATCAGTTCTTTTGAGATGGCCATATAATATTTATCTATTTTAATTTAGTTTAAATAATTACATTTAAAATAACATGAAAATTATATATATATATATATATATATTATTCATGTTAATTTAAAAAATAACATTAAAATGAGTTTAAAATTAGTCCCTTATTTATCAGTGGTTACTGCAGTGGAATGAACCGCCAACTATTCCGGCATATGTTTTATGCAGCGGATGCCCTTTCAGCTGCAACCTATCACTGGGAAACACCCATACACACTCATTCACACACATACACTATGGACAATTTAGCTTACCCAATTCAGCTATAGTGCATGTGTTTGGACTGTGGGGGAAACCGGGGCACCCGGAGGAAACCCACGCGCAAGCGGGGAGAACATTCAATCAGCCGAGGCTCGAACTGGCGATTTTGCTACCTACTGTGCTACCCACATGTCTCATTTTACATAATATATGTATAATATAATATATAATTATATATATTATATAATAATACATAATATATGTACATAATAATATATGATATTATGAATATATAATAATTCCTTATACAGAAATAGCAGAATAGTTTTATAGAAAAATGGAAACTAATATTATTCCCAACAATTCCCCCATAAACAACACTAAAATACAATTACACAAAAATCTCTATATAACATGTAAACATAGTTCACTTAATTACATTTAAACAACATTAAAAGTCTATATTATATGATCTATATTCATAAAAAAAACACCGCAAAACACTTTATTACATTAAAACAACATTAAAAGTGTATATTATATGATCTATATTCATAAAAAAACACCGCAAAAATTGTACTCAACACAATACATAAACATTTAATAAATAAATAGATAACACACACACAGCATAAAACACAGAACAAACTTCACACCTCTGCTGAGACTGAGGAATAAAGTGACTCAAGGGACGAGCAGAAAGTAAACTGGCACATCGCCACGGCAACTACACTGACAGCCTCCGCAGGACCAATCGGCATTGTGATTGGCTGCTTTAGACTTCATCACATCCAGCACATCTCCCCGACACACAGCTGGAGATCACAGACTCGCTTAATGACATGATGCAATAATCAGAAAGCTCATTTCCATATAGAACCCGCTCGTCACTCTTGATCTGTACACGCAGATGCGTGTGTGTCTATGTGTGTATTTGTGTGTGTGTGTCAGCAGATATTGACTAAAATTTTGAGTTATTGCCCCCTCTTTCCCAGCACTTTCTTATCATCTTATTTCCTGTCTGTTATTCTCTTGCTTTGCTTTCATCTGTTTGTTGTTGTCGTTTCTACATGTTAGATTCTCATCGGGATAAACCTGTCAAGAACAAATCCAGGTCACTTTTAACTCCACAATCAAAACTAAAGAGGTAGAAAAGACTAAACATTGTGCAGCTCTCCATTTCAGGTAAGAGACTGCAGGAATAACCATCTAGGTCAAAATCAAACATAAACAGTAAAACAAGCAAACATCAAAAACACAAGTAGACTAAACATGAAGGCACTTTGCAATGAAGGCACTTTGCAATGCTCCCAGGGAAACAAGACTTAAAAAAGAAAAGCTATATGTGTTATCAAAATGTGCAATCTGAAACTGGTGTGTGACTGCATGGCGTGATGGGATATGTAGTTGGGGTGTTCTCCAGCGATCGGCAAGGGCTACATCACTGATAATTATAACAACTAACCCAGGCTCATTCTGAAAACGTATTCTTATATATACATTTCTGGATATTGCCAAAGACCTCCCAGGAGGTAAGTTTTTTTTTTTTTGTAGTTTTTGTTTTCGCAAATCCACCAGAGGTTGCTGTGTACGCTTTTTGATATCTCAAATTTCTCTCGAGAGTGCCATTTGTGCCTGCTGTTCTCGCGTAAATCCACCAGAGGCCGCTGTTGACAGACTAACTGAATCATTGGACTGACTGATCGACTGACCCATCCTCCTCTTTTCCTAAACCCAACCAATAGTGTTTTCAAAAGCACAGATTGACACTTCCCTAACCCAACCAAAAGTTTTACAAAGAAATCCAGAAAAGAAAAGCCCTCGCCTGATTTTTACCACATTTTACCCAAGCGGCAACCTCCCGCTCTCTCTCAGGAAGCCAATACGGAAGTAACTAAAACTGCAATTTATCCGAAATTCCGCTAGTCTTAGCCGCTCCTGGCTCCAAAACAGAGCAAATTTCAATTGAGCCCACTGTTAGAATGGCCAACTTTACAGCAGAAAAAAAGGTGTTTACAGCCTGGTACAAAAAAAGGTTTTGGTTAATACAGCTAATATTACCCTTCATGACAACTGTGAGGGGGGTGAATTTTTTTTATAACTCATCCGTTTCCTTTATATTAAGTTATATTAAGTTTGCATAATTAAGGGCGTGGTCACTTGAGTGACAGCTAGGTCTCACTGGTCGCCGTCACGTCACCTCAGCTGAATCCTGCAGATTAGCCACTGAACTCGGCATATTTATCGTATTTCTGTGTTGTTTTATGTGGCTTTACACAGTCAACTGCCTTTTGGACTTGTTTCCTACAATTATTTGATGGAATGTCATGCTGAGTGCGCTTAATTGTGCTCACAAACCATTCACGTGGCCTCCGTTCCCCATGTGAGTAAATTTATATACTTATATACCATCTCTATACATGTATTTGTTTTATTTAAGATCATTTATCGTTTATATTTATATTTAGAGCTGTAATGCACTCCAGAATCTGTCAGATTGATTAGCTGTAGGCTCTAGAACAGTCATCTGAAGCGTTGTCATACAGTGTTATGCTGGATTTCATTAATAGTCTTACATTAACTAATACAGACTATATCTGAAGTGTTTGGATGTAATTCGCGTTTTCCTCCTGTTGAGAAACGTCATAAGAACAATGTTTAGTGGCTCAATGTATTACAGCAGTGTTTTTAAAAGACTAAACACTTTATTGATATAGTATACAGCCAAGCACAAGTGGTCAGAATACAAACGAGTCACAAGTGATAAAGTATTAAGCGTTCTCCCAAAGTAAACCAGGTGTCTGAACCAGGTCCAACCTAAATGCAGCATGCGTCTGTAGCTCTGCTCACTCTCCGCCTCTTTGCCCATGTTTGGTATCCCGCCGTCGGCGTGATGACGCGCGAACAAAATGGCGACGGTTGGCCGCGCCTACTTGTGGCTTCTTTTGCGCTCTTTAGAAACCTATGGGTGACGTCACGGATACTACGTCCATATATTTTACAGTCTATGGTTTTACCACATTCTCACCCTGTTATTTCCTTGTTTCTTAAATTTTTTGGCTTTAGTTTTACCCGCTTTCTGGAATCGTTCTTCGCTGGACTCGAACCTCGTTGTTGTGGTCAACCACTCTCTGCTTCTCAAGTCTGCCAGCATACTAGGCAAGCTAACTGGGCCAAGTGGTAACAGCGGAAAGTCTTCCATATGGTGGTAAGCGGTCAGCTGGTAAGCACGAAAAGAATGGCGTCCTACCACCCCGTAGCGTTCATTTTAAAGATGAAATGCAGCCATACATTCCTCTGGCTACATAATTCTCGATCTCCAGAAATGAATATAGGGCTACGCTTTCAGACCGAGTCTATGTTGGAAATATCTTCTTGACGCAATTAAAAATCGAATTAGAAAATCGAAATACAGTAAAACAAATGAGCGCAAAACATGACCAATCACAGGAAGGGA